AGTAGCTTCAGCTCAACTTTGATTAGTCGCTTGAAACAAAAAAAATCAAAGTCCGTGAAAAATTGTCTTATCTTGATGAAAAATCTGCTCATGTATTAAACCGTGAGCAGTCATCATCGTGTTTCATATCTAAAAACTGAAAACATTATTCTCCAAATTGCCGTGCACTCCAAAAAATGGCGATAACCATGCACAACTGTTTTCGCTAACCTAAGTCTGGATTTTTTTGTACATCTGTCATTCCCTTCGAAAAAAAATAACGTTCTAGTTTTTAAAATTGTGATTCGATTGCATGTACATTTTGATTGCGGTGAACATATATGGAATGGAATCCAATTTCCGTTGTTCAAGATTCTGTAGTGCGCCGAATGTTTTCGAGTAGTCTTCGAAATTAGTAGCATTTTACACGAGTAATCACCACAAATACTTGGAAAACCACGAATTCAACCCTGTAGCAGCGAATCAAATCGAAAGAATTCAAGTAACAAAGTGATAACAGTACCTTAAAGTGGAATTTTCTTTTTGCGTATTTCGTCTTCAGAACAGCACGCTTCTACTTGAAATGAAAAACTCCTTCAAACACCCGCATAGTAATTTATCGACCGATTTGACACTTGGATTGAGGAAACTACGATTAAGCCATCCCCGCAGGCATGAGCGAGCATAAATTTTTGTCTCTCTTGCCTTTGTAAAATCCTGCGTGATTCAAAGCTTCTAATTTATGAAATGATTACACTCGGCCACCCTTCTGTCTTGTGACATGACACATGAAGAGATAACAGATTATTTCAAATTCATAATCAAGAATGCACGTAGATTTCACGCAGTTATTGCCTGCCGATGAATACGTAGAATAGTGATAACACTCCCCTGGATAAATATTTGATGAATGTGGCTTTTATGGCCCGCAAAATAAACCATTATTATGATATTTGAGGCGATAAGTTAAACATGATCAGCCCTCTCAACTTTATTCGCCAGATATTACCTTCAAATTGACTTATTTTCCTCCCTTATCAGGGATGGACTGTCTCCTAACGAGCAATAATTTCCATATCTCATAAATCCAGTATTGGAACACCGGTAAATATTTACACATGTAAAAGCACAGGATGTGAATATTTAATTTAACAACCTCTGCAGACTGAGGTTTTTTCTCCCTCTAGGAGAAGATATTGCCTTCAGTACCAGTAATTACATTAGACTACATTACCCACAAACATTTAAATATGTATAGTAATACATTTTCGTGAAATCGACTCGAAAGCGAGTAGTATTTAAAATATTCATGGACGCAAACCAAAATGAAACTTTCATTGAAGTTAATTAAAAATTGCTCCATTTTTTCTTCCAACCATACCCGCAAACTGTGTTTATTTCGACTTTCTTTATTTATTAAAGACTGAAACAACCACACGCTTCCTAACACCTTAGCATGAATGAGTTTGTGTTTCACCTTCTCATGGCACTTTTGCAGCAAATTGTGTTTAAAAAGTACTCGATTTAATTGCAGCTGATCACTACTTGAAAGAAAAGTGAATGTAAAAGCAGAATTACTTCCTTAATTACAGTATTCCATATCCTACAGCGATGAGAAGAAAAGATGCTGAAAATGAGGAGGAAATTCTAACAGTTCATGGCTGAACAAGCAAGGTTCTTCGTAACTTTGAAGGAAGCGCTTCACAATTTTACGTGACCAAAAAAAAAAGTCGAATCTTCCATTCATGCTAATGATTTCGATACCGCAGCATGGATATTTCACCCAAATCAAGAAAAGAGCTGCCAATAAGGCAAATGCAAACTTTCCCTGGCCGTTTTATAAATCTGAATCCACCTTACTCATTTATGAGACGCATAGTTATGGACAACTTTTAAAACAGCCTTTGATAAATAAATCACGTTACCTGTTCTTGAAGCCTCCTCGAAACAATTTAGTAATTCGGCTACCGTCTAAGATACAGACGAAGTATAGCGCAAAGAAAGACGGCGAAGTCCTCCAGCGACGAATGACAAACACAGCAAAATGTTACTTTTAAATATCGCGGTTTATTATCATGTGCGACTGATAAAATATACGATATAATATATGGATCGTTTCATTTTTCGGAAAATATGGATCACCGGAATTTGCTGATCCTTATTCTATCAGATAAAACCTGAATATTTGCCACTTCATGATTAGTTCCTTTAAAGTTCTCTAACGAATTGGGTCATTTAGATTTATCCAAATCAGATTTGATCATAAACTGGAATTCGCCGTTGATCTACACAGCGGTCAAACGTTAAGCATGCGCACGGGGATCAAATTTGGCCAGCTGCGCATCTATTCGCGCCCAAAATCTGACAGAAAAACATGAGCTAGAACCGCTGTCACGCAAAATATGTAAAGAAAAATTGAAACTTCAATAGAAATCTTCTTGTCTTGAGTATTATCAAAAAATTTATACGCTTCTAAAACACCGTGACTCAATGGCTTGCGTGTTTGTTTACAATTTTTGTAAGACAGCTTGGGTCTGAAAGCCTGAGAGCACGCTACCTATCCATTACAACATCCACATATGCGCAGACGTTCGACCGCTGTATTCCTCGGACCTGTAACGTGATTTAGTCAGCAGTTTTCTCCAAAAAATGGTTGACTTTGTTGTATGGAGTTGCTTTTGCGATTTTTTAACAGGCTCGAGGAAAGAGGTCTGCTGATACATGTCACAGCTACAAACACCTTTTCCCGTACCCACATAAGCTTGTTATGACGTTTCAATGAAATTTGACATATGGTTTCTGCTGGTTCCGGCTCAAACCGCTCATCAAATGCTTAGAGGGCCGCAAATTAAATGTGCTAAATCATATTTTATGATTCAACCATATTTTGCACGTTTCCATGAAATTGAACCACTGACCACTGGGCGTTGACTCGGTCCTGATTAAAAAAGTACTATATATATATATATATATATATATATGCAGTGTGTTTGAAAAAAGCGATGGACTAAATATTCAGCATAATTCAGAATTGATGGAGAGTTATGACTTCCTTGTTTGTTTGACGGCGCTAAAACACATTTTCTAATTTTCGTGGAAAAATAGTGTTGTATATACTAAAATTTTCCTGTTGGAATAGTAAAGAATGAATGATATTTCTCTCATTAATTCTGTATTTGATCTGCGATGATGAGAGTTTCATCTTATCGTTTTTTTCCTTCGCAAAGAAAAAAAGCAACCGATAGACGAGTTATATACGAATTTACGCCATCCGATCGTTTTGTCAAATGCAGTAAAAAATTATCTCTTTCGTGGCACTCCGGTGATAAACACTTTTTAGTTCAGTACAGAGAGACTGAAAACTCACGCAATTCAAGAGGAGCAAACTCTGCAGCAATAACAAGATAAACATGTGGCAATTTATGTGCGAGTTGAAATTAGTTGGGGCGTTTGTTTATGCGAAGTTGTAAAACATCAATATTGCATAACAGGTATGAGAGAGAATTTCTGAAGTCAAAGAAAGCAAGTTCTTACCATGTGCCTATGTTCCTTTGAAGCTTCAGAAATGGAATCCAAATATATTTGTTTGATTGTCAAAAAATAAAACGATTCTCCAACTTGAACTCAAACAGAGACCACTATAGATAACCTGTTGACAAGAAAGCATCGAAATGATGAGCTGAACAAATATAAACGATTACATACACGCTTTAATGGAATATGTTGTTCTTCACACCTTTCTGAAAGCTGGTAAAAGCTTTTTCTTACCTTTCCTCAAAGAAATTCCAACTTTCTTTGAAGGAAGTTTCAGGAGAAGGCATCGGTATTGAATAACGGGAAAAGGCTCAAGCTGTAATATCCTTGCCTGCTTTTTTTCGGTTTTATTAAATTGTCATTTTTCTCCATTTAATGTGCTTCTGGAACTTTCCAGTGACAAGTGATTGATGTCTTAGCAATTCAGTCGCCAAATCAATCATTTTTATTCTGTCATTTAAGCGAATTATTTCAAAAAAGCTGCGGTAGTAATAAAATATGACAATAGAAAGAATTGCAGTTATAATTTGTTCACACTAAGAATGAGTGTTGGCTATTTAACACATCGCGTCTTTACATCTAGATTGTTGCTGTTGCCACAAACATATTTGTGAGTTCAATTAACGTCGCTTCGTTGCTGATAAAAATAACTGGTTAACCTTTAAAATTTTACCAGTTTTCATGAATATATTTAAATTTCCATTTTCTAATTTATTCTTAAAAAATACTCACAATCGCTTTCTACACTCTAGTGGCCGTGACGAACGTAAGTTTTATTTTTGTCGCATGTTTCTTGATTTCCAAAAACATTTTACCATCGATCTCCACTTTGATCGTGATCATTACCAAGGTAATTTTGAGGAGAAGAAACTATTCATTTTCAACAGTACTGTTTTGGTGTTTTACCATTCTATCTCAATTTTTCTCAATCATTTGTAAAATCTAAAGGGCACAAATATAATGAGTTGTTGTTGCTATCGTAAACTTTTTTACTTACTAGTCGCTAAAACTGAATTTCAACATCCTAAACCGAGTCCTTTATGTGATGCTAAACTTAGAAAGAATGAACCAAAATAAAATCAACTCATTGAATGTCACTGTATGATCAGGCTGCCGACTTTCTCATATAATTTCAACTGATCCTTTGACCATCATTTTGTATTATACCCACTAACGAGGTATAAAACTGTTACATAGAATTGAAATGACAAACATCCTTCTCACCCGTCTCAGTATATCTAGAAATTAAGCTCGTGTATGTGTGCCAATGTGCAGTGCTCTGTAAAGGGCTCGAGTAATTTTTGAAACATCACTTGTAGTTTTTCATGTACAATTTTACCTCTCGTTCTTGATTTGCCTTGAAGTCTTTCAAAAGAAAGCCAAAAAGAAAAAGGATCTTGACAAACACAGACCACAGCTTAAAGCTGACAATGTGTTTTTTTATTATTTGACCGAACGGGCTTATGGGGGGGTTTGCAGAACTAATTCCCAGTCTATCACACATCCGTTCTAATCCATCCTTGTTTCCTTTCAGCTTATTCTTACCCCTTTGACGTTTACATACCAACAGAGTTAAATAACTTTTGCACGTCGCAAATGCTCTGAATCCGTAGCAAAAGTATTCATTAATTCAAATGACAATAATTTCAAAAAAGGTTGAGCGCCTTAATATCCTTCTTCTATTGAATTTACAATCGTTTCCTTTATTCTGGTGACATTACTGTGAGTTTCAGGGATGATACTGTGTAGAGATGTTATATGCTCGTCACTCTCAGGGGTCAAAGTTTGAAGAGGAATTAGGAATGAAATTTTTTTAGTATAACAAGGGCAATACAACATTGTTTTATTTTTCTAAGGTTAAATGATAGGGATTATTTCCCGAGTAAAACCTACAAGCCGGGTTTCACTTCAGTGTTATTATGAAGGCAAAATGAAGGTTACCGCCTTCAACAGCCAATCAGACAAAAGGAAATTACTGCAAGCAGCTGATGAGAAGTAAAAGCCCCAAAAACAAATATTAAACTGCCAGAAGCGCAGGAAAACGCAAGTACCATCAAAACGTTTATGGCATTAGTTTTGCATCTCATTGATTGAGAGAGAGACGCGAGCTTCTCTAAAAATAATCGTAGCATACAGTAAAGCAAAACGAATTTAACTGCTCCAGAATTCCTCTTGTCACTCTAGGAAATTTTATCCCGTAGAGGACTCAGTCTCTTGGTTTAAGTCTCTCTTAGTCCCTGACCAAAAAGTACCTTCTCCCAACCATTATAACAAGCAACGTATGGAAGTAGAAAATGAGAATGCGTATATCGATATTAGAGTTTGCGAGGTTAATAAATTCACGAGGGATCTCCTCGCTCTTGTCTGTCCGCACTTTTCCTCATTTGCTTAATTTTCTTTTGCAAATCGTCCACATTATAAACGCTGAGCATCTGTTTCTTGAAGATGTCTTTCTCTTGAATTATAGGTATCGGCAAAGCGACCAGTATGACACCAGCCACGCAACATATGGCTCCTACAGTCTGACCTAAAAATGTGGACGGGACCATGTCTCCATACCTGAAAAACGAAAATAAATAAATAAATAAAGAGAAAAATTAAAAATCTTGGAGTCAGCGCGCACTGAAATGATGCATTTTTGACAAATAGATTCCATGGTGCCATGCGCCTTTTTAGCAATAGATCACAGATGATGTCCTTATGTGGCAAGTACTATAAAATAACACACGAGGCGCAGCTGATTGTGCCGGTCACTGATACTCTAACCACACAGCAAAATGGAATATATTTATTTTGTATAAAAGAGAAGAAAAACGTTTTTAATGACGATGTTATCTGTGTGTCTGCCCTCCAATAGATCATAAGTGCTCACCGATCAAAATGCGTTAATAATCTAGCCTATTGTATAACTTAACGATCAAATTCCATGTTGGCGTACGCGTTCGCCTGTTCAGTAATCGATCACAAAGAATCTATTTGTTTTATGTAATAAAGAAGTAAAATTTTTTAATCATGGGTGACGTCATGCCTCCAATATGCGCCTGTCCTCCAATAGATTATAGATGAGAACGAATCAAAATGCGAGCATAAATTAGTTTAGCATATATAATCCTGCATTACTTCCCACACTCAGTCTAATACATCTATGGCAAAAATTACTTATCTTAATTTAGTCATAACTAGCAATCAAATTTATGCAACATAGCCAAAATACATTTTTATTCTACTTATATGCTAAAGCTGAGCATAAGTTATACCTTATACACACTGAAGTTCAAACATGTTTTAAGGTTGTTTTGTTAAAAACGGTTTTGAATTTTTTTTATCATAAAAGCTGATCAAAGCGATGTTTGCCGACTTCAAATTTAACGCATTTTTTGTCTCTGATTTTCATTCAGTTCAACCCGGTTTAACTAAACATATTCTGCTGGAATGAATGGGGTATTAGCTGGTCTGCTGTATGAACAACTCACCCCAGTGTGATCATGGTAACGATGGTATACCACATACTGTCAGGAATACTAATGAACTTTCCTTCCACAGCGTCGCGCTCAATAAAGTATATCATACTTGCAAAAACCACGACAGCAATAATTAAAACAAACATCAACGAGGTGAGATCTCCAACACAGCTGGCCATAGCTGCGCCAAATCTTTGCAGACGTTTGGAATGTCTTGTTAACTTGAAAACTCTAAATATTCTCAAAACTCGAAGAACTACAAAAGCTTCTAAGTTTGATCCTACCACAGACTCTAATAGCAGCGTTAAATAAAAAGGCAAGATCGATAAAAAATCGATGATGTTCATCGGGTTCTTAGCGAATTCCACAATATTCGGACAGACAAGAAGTCTGAGACAGAATTCCACGCTGAAAACACCCACGCAAATGTTGTCCAATAGATCCAAGATTCGAGTTCTTTCCTTGCAAACCTTCTCCACGTTTTCGCAAGGTACAGTTTCATAGACAGTTGTAAAAATGCTAAGAATGATAAAAAGTCCCACAATGTATATGATGACCATCCCAAAAAACGCTCTGAAGCCGGAATCCGCCTCGCCTTCCAGTAAAACCCAAATCCAATTTCGAGCTCGTCCTATCAAACTTCGAGTTACTACATGTTCGGTTTTGTCGCATACCGACCCGGACGCTGTGCTTTTGCTATCATCAGCGTTATCGTTTTCATTATCATCGTCAAAACAACAGTCGTGCACCTCTTGTGGCATAATCCCGTAAAAGGAGAGTTCATCTTCAAATGATGCATTGCAATCTTCAAACGAACGATGGAGTTTGCCACAACGATAATAATTTAGTATATATCGAAATAAATGCGGATCGCGATCTATGAAATATTCCTTTCTATCCTGGTCATAAAAACGCGCTGCAAGCTCTTCTGAGCCCAGAAGCGTTTGAGGAAAACGTTTCAGCGTGTTTTTCCACGTGACAAATCTACGTCCTCCAACATTGATAATCACTTTGGCATCTGGGCGGCGTCTTTTGAGCCTATCGAGACAAGGATATCCAGAAGATGGTCGACACAAGGTTGACGACTTTCTCTCTCTGTAGGAAGCTTTCTTTGTTTGAATAGCGCTAATGTTACTGATCATTTCGGCGTATTAACAATTACGATGCTTTAGATGTCTTCCTCGTCACCCTATGAGTCAAAAACAGTTATTATAATGTTAGCAAATTGTCATGGCCATCGCAAAACCAAACCAAAGTCATCATAAAGTCCAGCCAGAAAAAAGTAAACAAAAACAAGAAAGCAGCGAGATTTAAAACAAGCAAGGGTAACCCCATGTACTAAGGAGCGGGAAAACTGTGTGCGACGTGATCGCAGTTCTCTCTAGTTCGCATCGGAGTGATAGGTCGGCTGGTCCTGGAGAGAAGTCCTTGTGATGTTTATTACATTTAGTAAATCACTTTAAAACTCCCTAAGTAATTATAATGGCCAGCCAAGCAAATAATAATGACATTCGAACTAGCTTATGAGAGTTCTCCCATAATTTAAGATACCGTCCTCCTGACGGGAAAACAGCGCAGTTTGGAATTTGTACGAGATTGGCTGAGAAGGCGTGTGGATGAATTTCCGAAGACAGTCGCCAATCGTCGATGCAGAGGCAAAGCTTGTCAAATTTGAATGCTATCTGTACCTTTCATTTAACTTACATCTGTTAGTATTGATATAAATTAGTGAATCGCAGTGTTGTCCTTGAGGACGCACATAAATTTAATCCTGCTTTCTGTAAGCCACACAGCCACAGTTCTTCTTAATTGCTACTAATTTGTAACAGTAATGAAAAAAAACCCTTGCATATTAGTGACTTTCATCTAACGCACTCCTCATTAAAATAGAACGATATTTTGCTTGTTGAAGCTGTAACTAACTTCTTTTCATTAAGAAAAGCCTCAGGATATACTTAAAGCCTAGGATTTCGAAAAGAACCGGATACCGGCGGTCTACCGCTGGATAAAAGACTTCTTACCGCCGCCTATTAGCCTGCAAGCCAGCTTCATCTTTCATATAAATTCATATTTCGCCTACGGCCCCTTCATCGGGCACAGCCACAGCCGCTCATTGTACCATTTACCAAAACACTGCTTGAAACCCTGCTTTAAACACAATATTTTTCGGTAAAGCGATTCACAATTCAGTTTTGTCACGATACCTGTTGCCTACTTCTTCAGCCGTGAAGGATGTAAGTATTGTTTGCATTTGCGTTGAGAATCCACACCACGAGGACAAAAATTTTACGGCATACAATGGTTTCCAGCCGTTACTGATTCATTACAATTTGTCATAACGTCATGCCGTTAAGTCCCTGCAATGGTTGTTATCTTCGAGGGGGCGTTCTTTTGTGGTTTTCACGTTATCATCTATTCACAATAGGCACAGCTTCCTTAAAATTAATCTCGCCTATAATGAAATAAGGTTTAGCGACTTTGTGAGATGGCTTACTCCAGCGCTAACAAATTGCTGTATTGTAAAACATCCGATCAGTATTTGATCCGGTAAACTTCATCTTTGTCCTTTATACTTTCGCCCTCAGTTGCGAGAGCTCTCGAAAAAATTTCAGCAGAACGACAAACGGAAAAGTTTCGTATCAGTGGGTAAATAATAAACCAGCATGTCTTCCAAACAAAGTTGTTGTTTTTTTTTCACGTTTTTGGCAACCCGTTCACGAATCACACATTCCGAAACCATAAAAAAAATAAACTTTCCACCTCTGCTCATTAATTTCGTAGCAAATGGTAATTATTGTTGATAGCGTTTTGCCCCGAGGCAAGTGTTTACATTATACACCATATTGAACTAAATGTCCATGAAGAAGACCCTCTCGAAACACTCAATTTCGAGGGGTATACACGCTTGAATATTCACTGAGCGTGAGTGATGCCTCGACAAGATTATCTAACCAGTGAATGATGTTGTGATGACAAAAAGCAATGTTGTTTGCTTGCAAAATTATAGGAAATTAAAATTGTTAGCTGCCTTACCTTTGAAAACATCGCGCCAATGCGAAAGAAATCGGTCACAAAATGTTCCATCTCACATTTCCAAAAACAATTGAGCTTCCATCTGCAAAACAAGGAATTATGCATGGTTTGCATCGACGCCATAACCACCGTTAGAAAAACTAACACGATATTAAGCCGACGTTTTCATAACATGTCCAAAAAAGACTTTAAAAACCTTTAAGCGATGGAAATTTGTCTTCTAACAACATCATTATCTCAGGAACACAAATGAATAATATATAAACAAATTTTGAACAGCTCGGTTTCCTTTCACGAGGAGCCCCATTGTTTTTAAACAATGCGTTGTAATCTAGGAGAGAGCAAATGGCTTTAAATTTGTTGTTATTAAATAAATTTTGATGACGCCGGGGAGAGCGTTTGCCTCTTGGATAGCACCGATGACAGCGGAGCGATAGCACATTGATTACTGCATTAAAACCAATCAAACATGTAAATCGTGTTTTGTTGAGAAAACAAATGTAAATGTTTGTTGGCGCCTAAAAGCCGTACATGTCACTGGTTCGTTTATCTACACAAAGGTAAAGTGACAAAGGCGTTTGTATTGAAAAATTGTTTAAGTCTCGCTTAGGCTAGAAATGCGTGTTTCATTGAAAGCAACTGCACTTTTTGAACCTGTGAAAAAGCATGTGATGCCTATTTGGATAAATGTTGTTGGATTGTTGAAAAGAAAACAAAATTAGAGGGAAGCAAATTGGTTCAGTCAATTCGGGTTTTTTTTTTTATCACTATTCCCATTGTCATTTTGCAAATTTATTTTTTTGTTTTGTTTTTTTCAATTATTCTTATCATTTTTGCAGACGAATTAAAGCGGCACATTTTATCGAAAACGAAAACCGCCTTGATAAAACATGCGGCAAATGATCTGTTATCTTACTGACAAACAGATGATTACAAAAAGTTATTATTCAAGCTCGAGGAGTTTTTATCTTAATAAAGCAAAATATTTTCTGAACTAAGCTAATGTACAGGAAATATGGAATGAGCCGCTTGAGAAGTACATGCATGCGCAGAAGGCTGATGTTGAAGCTAAAAGCTTGAATATAAGAGAAAAAAAGGAAGGAGGTTGTTTTCCAGTCCGGGAAGCCCTCTCTCAGCATTTTGTCGCCGCATCTTACGCTCTCTTGGCAGCATCTAATTTCTCTTTACAATATCACCCCTGAGTCAAACGTGAAAGTCACGAGAATACGTTAAATGATCACCAACTAAAGAATCTCTTGATTGTTATGCAAATGTTCCTTGTCAGCATCTTAGGAAACGTATAGAAAAACATATAGAGAATATGCATGCTGATCTTAGGCTGTAAAGGGTTAAGAAGGCTACATTGCGATTGAGGTCGAATGATTACGTAAGCTATTTACGTAACATGATGGTTAGCCGCTATTGGCGCATTTTTAACGGGCTCTCGTTTGTGCTCTCTTGTCCATTCACGTGATTTTGGTGTCGGTCCCTCAGAGCCCTGCGTTGGTCACTTTGTCTGTTAATTATCATTTTTTTTTTCTTTTTTTGTAGTCCTCTAGAATTTTGATTTCGTTGTCTTTCGCTGTCACACGTTTTGTTTTTTGTGTTTTTTAAAATAGCCTTAATTCTCAGTTAGATACAAGCTGTACATTACAATTACATAACTTGAAAAGGTGACCTCAAGGTCATCTGTTATAACTTTAACACAAAGTTTCATGCAATTTAAAATAATGACTGTGTCACTGAGTTTTAATAACCTTTTTTTTTTTTCATAGTTCTAAGGGCTCAAGCAACAGGGTGGATTTTACGCCATGGACTCAACTAAAAGAAAAAGATTTATCTTCCATCATGATGTGATTTCAGCCAGTAATTGAATTTTATCTGCTTGTGTTTCTTATTTTGTAGTTTGAATTTTTAAGAGATGATTTACTCAGATGTCGTGGAATCCAAACCTACAATGTTGTGTTGACTAGGATTGACGAGAATTGGCGAGAATTACGACATTTTACACGACCGAACGAGAGTAACGAATCAAACGAGATAAACGTACATATACCAAGGCTTATATCGTTCGCTCGATAGCTCAAGAGAATGGTGAAATTTTCGGTTGCGTCCTCGTGTACCGGTACACAAAGGAACGAAACATTAACGAACTGCGTCACAACTCCATGTGTGGATATGAAAACAATAGGAATTCCCCCGTGTACCCGTACACCAGGACAGCCCCAAATTTTCTGTTGAAGAGACTAAAAATTGACATAATACTGCCGATAAATAACACAGAATGTTTATGCATTATATTTGCTATCTTCTAGCCCAATTTTTGACAGAAAATGGAAGTACTGGTTAACTCAGATTTAAAACTATACCCGCCAAGATATTCCAAGAGTTCACTGAAATTTGCTCTATTTCGATAAGCCCGCTGAGACATTCAAGAAATGCATTAATATCTCTTCACTCACCGTAACTCGTCGGGTATTCTGGAGACAATTCTTGTTTACAATAAAATTATGACTAGAAAAACTCGATAGATTAAAAAAAGAAAAAACAAAATGTCGAATTCCTCAGCTTGAAGAAAACTTCATTATAAGTAGCTGACGAGGAGTTCAAAAACAAAACGCAAATACAAATAATTAATATAAACAACGGTTCGAGAGGGAAGTTCTTAAGGCTCTTGCTCCCCTATGAGCGACGGAAAGTTTTTCACTGATTAAAATTTCACTGGCAAAAATATGGCTTTTTAATTTTCCGATCTATTGATGGTTGCTTAAAGAGGAGAAGCAGCGGATGATTCTTGTTTATCAGCAATCGGCGATGATTCATGGAGGTTATTTTACTAGTGAATACGAAATTATATTCAAAATTATGTATCGAATTTTAACATGGCTCCGAAAATTAACCCCGTCAGCACCTCTGGCGGTATACCGAACGCATCGCCGGAAAAATCATTCGATTGCATCTTCTTTCTTCACAATAGAAGTATGTAATGCTTGCTCGTTATAAAAAAATATAAGAACGCGTTTTCAGTATAGAGAGTTAACAGTCGCATTAACCTGTGACATGACCAAAGCTGTCGGCCTGCGTAATATTTTAGATAATACCACCTTCACTCGTTGAAATATCTTTAAAGCTTCTTTGGATGAATTCAAAGAGGGAGTTTTCACACCTTTCTTTCCAAGTACCAGTCGCTCTTGGAGTTCTTTTGTGACCAGTAATTTTTTTTGGGAACAAGATTGTCAAGCTGATCAAGCTGATGTCATAAACATTCAAAATAAATATACATGTTTTACTTCTTTTTTTCTCTTCTTGACGTTAATATTGGCAGGGGACAACTTTTAATACCGTCTTCGTTTGAAATTGCCCGAGGCGAAATTAATTTTAGTTTGTTGCTAGAAAAAATGTTTATTTTTGCTCACGCATAGAACTTGTAGGAAAATATGGCTGTCTCTATCCATTGTCTGTAGATCTGTTAGAGGCTTTGAGGACTATTCAGAAGTATTAAATCTCGTTTAAAGATTTTCCTTTTGAATCTAGCGCGAAATTGAGGTTTTAATCAATTCTATAAGCTACAGCTGGACTAAAGACTTAATAATGCAAAAAGAATCGTAGCGTCCAAACACATTTAACACGCTGGGATCGCTTGAAAAGACTCCTTTTATGTTTTACCAGAGATTGGCTAATTTATTCCCCGAGATAAAAACGCTTTTCTTTCATGCACATTTGTGAGATCTGCGTGAAATTAAAAGAATCTCAACGGGAAGTCTCTGTTGCCGATTCAATATGAATTCTAATTTTTTTTCTCGTGACTCAGCTTTTCAGCTGATTAACGCGAAGTAAAACTTCAAAAATTTACGTCGCCAATTTCATTTAATATTTCGGCTTCGGCGTCTTTTAGAGGTAAAATCAATCGCTCGAGTTCTAGGTTCCCGTCGCAATCAGCTTCGATCCCTCGAGCTACAGTGCTGATTACAAGATATTTGAACTAAAATAATGAATATTGTAAATGACTTTTGTGCAGATCGGCACAGTATATTACCTCCTCTTAGGGTATATTTTCAGCCGCTGCTTTTTCTCCTTTCTCTTGCCAAGCACTCGGCACTTTAAACCGCGACAGAAATAAAGAGTCTTTACAACAGGAACTTTCAGCGCTATTTATCAACCGAAAGGGCAAATATCAATTTTATCGCCCTTAGAAGTGATAATGGCGGTCTACACAGTGATAGGTGATTGACACTTCCTTATTTTTGAAACCAGATTGTTTGAGTTTGAAAATGTGTTTTAAATATATTAGAGTTTGTTTTAATGGCACCTATAGTGTTTCAGTCTCGGGTAGAAATATATTTTTTTCAAGAAAAACGATTTTCGAGCTATTCCCCTATCGCATAGTCTAGTCAAGTAATTGTTCACCAAATCCTAAGGGATCTTCCATTTGAACGTGTCACTTAAACAGCACCTGCCACAAAATCAACGAATTTAACTAATATATACACGGATTATGTCCACGGTTTTACCAAAGCATTTTAACATCGCAACGAAAACCGAAAGAAGGAAAGTACCACTAGTCAACTTCGATTTAGGATCGATAAAATCAGCCTTTTTCCTGTGCTTTCATTTCAAAGGATCACGTTTTGTTCGAGAACGTCTTCATATTATTTTTTTTTTCTTATCTGTGATAAATTATTCCATTTGTTTTATTTACTCAAATTTGAAAGCATGCAGACAGGTTGTCTTCGTTTCAAACCATTTTTTTATGAAACGTACATGCACTGCATGGGTCAAAGCCTCGCTGGAAACAACTGCGCATGTCTTGTTACAGGACCATCTCAAGCAAAAAGGTCCTCTCATAAACATCTTTACTCACGTCATGGTCAGAGCTAGCTCAAAGGCTGTCATATTACTGTGGTTACAACCTTGGTCATGTCTTTCAGCTCTGTCTGAAATGCTTCCAAGTACAGTTTGCCATTTGAGAGGAGAACTAACTGTTCAAAATTTTTAATCGCCATTTCTCGATTTCAATTCATCATTCTGGATAGATACACCTAGATAACAGTGGGCTTCAGTAGAAATTTGATTTTGGGGTTGCGCGGGCGGAACTTGTAGTTTCCTGTGGAATATTTTCTCACAAGTTTTTATGCCCGCTAACTGTATGCACAATATTGATTGACAAAAATTTCTTCTTGAATTCTTTAAAAGCTGTAGACAATCAAAGTTATAGGCATCTAGAAGATGATAATAAACAAAGGAACCTCACTACGTTACGGCATTCGCATCTTTGGTTGAAGATATAAATCACGTACATTTTACTGTTCGAATTTAATTTTGGAATTTTGAATGTATGTCAACTCTTTTCCATTCTTATCCTTTGCTTTCATGTGACTTCATAAAAATCCAAAATCTAAAATAGCGAGGGCTATTGCAGTTCTGCCTCCGAAAGATGAAAGACCTCCTAAATATTTAAAGAGCTTTTGAAAGGGTTTTAGCCTTGTGAGGTTATTTTTTAATATAGAGCCATTTATAATTTCGTAAGTTATCGTCGCTCGACATAGAAAGCCGATAAGCATGTAAAAGGTGATTTTATCTGAGCATCAGAAACATTAGGAAATATGTTCAGATGAATGTTCACAATGGATGACTAATTACTTTACTGGCGAAACATGACAACAAAAGTTTGCGTTACTTTATGACCGCCATGTTGGTGTTCCTCATATGGGCAGTCACGTTTTTGTGCAAAGTTCAGTCCTTATATGGAACGCGAAGCGCACACTTCATAAGCCGACCAATCCAAGGACGCACGAAGGGAGAAATCCTGGGTTGCCTGACATAGCCCCCTTCGATTCTGGAGGGACGATAAAACTTTCTTATAGCATACTACAAACATTTTAATTAGCCCTCTTTTCTATCAGGTCCCTTTCTCTAAAAAGGCCCTCATCCGTCTTGAAAACCAGGAGATGAGCCCTTTAGATTTGCATTTACTACCATACTGTAAGAGAGAATTTGTTGCACGTTAAAAACCTTCTTTTATTTGCGATCTTTTTTGTTCTCATAACTTTTCAATGTTTGATTCAGTGGTGATACTGTCAGGAAAAATAAGAAGCGATTGCTCTAAGGACATAAAAGCAAAATTAACCTCCCGTACTCTTATATTCCATGAGATGCCGGTAAACGCCTTCTCGGCCCCATCCGGTTAAAAAAAAAATCGATTTACGATACGATATGCAAATCAAGTTAGGCGACATGATATATTTTCAAAATTAAATCGGTTGTAAGTTGTTTTGTTATGTAAATCTAGCTCACAGACTCGCCTGCAAAACGAAAGAAAACTCTATTTTGTTAACTCAGATGAAAGAAGGTGTCAGAGCTGTTTTAAACGGTACACGGGCGGTACTTGTGGTAGTTAAGCAAGTGAAAGACGGACGATGGAGGCGTATCGCGGTCGCTGTAATAAAGTGGTTATTGCGATCAGGTACACAGGTAGTCACAAAAATACAATCTCTTTGTTATCATCTCGGTTTTAAATCTATTGTGCATGATTTTGGAGACTTGAAACCGCCATCGGAAAGCGATCACAATTTGGCAGAAGATTCAGTTCTGTAAAAGCTTGGATTTACCTCTTTAATTAGTCTGGCTCGACGAAAAAAAAGAAACACCGTCTGCAACTTTGGAATATATATATATATATATCAGTGGATTAAGCGGTTATATCTTTGTTTATCGATACACTGGCCGAAATTTTGATGGAAATTCTGAATCGGCAAGCCGCGTTTAAGCGTCAGAAAAAGAAGGATAAAAGTTTTTCCAGTGAGCGTCTTCAGTATGATAAAACAAAACATTTACTCTTATTTTTGTCAAATGAAACCAAAACTTTAGGGATCTAGCCACTAATACATATTATTTAGAACAATTGAGGAAAATAAGACAAAATTAATCATATTTTCCCATCTAAAGAACTTTAAGGAAAGCTGGAAAATTTGTCGTAATAAATAGTCATGATAACTCAACTCATTTTTTCGAACCAGAGACGAATTGTAATAAAAAATTTTCAAAGTAAATCCTTATTCTTAAAACGCATAATTTTAGCTCTGTTTAATCTATAGGTGATATTTTACCGGTAAAATGCTGGACCTACCTTCGAGCTGGGAAGCGACGAACTGACCATATCCAACGAAGTCTGAAAAGACACCGTCTGGAAAGAATTTCATGAGTTTACCATCAGTAATAGATTTCCAACAGTTTATACAAAGAAATGGATACTCTGTGAAATTTCCCTTGTATAGCAAACCAAAAGCTATGAATAAATAATAAATTAGAGGGGCTCGAATATAAACATCTTAACGAAGACTAAATAAACAGCCTTTTCAGATGTCTTACTCGTTGAAAGTTCCAAACCTGTAAGGCATATCCGGAAGTTTAATTCATCGTTGACGGTTTCTAACAGAAATTGTAGCCTCACACCGTTCTTACAACAATCTCAATAGCACCCCACGAGGAAAATGTATGTGGGTTGATAGATGTTTTGACAAGTTAAGATCTACCCCGATATAAATATAATATGCCCCAAAAACGATTGACCCAGAAAGTTTCAAATTCAATGTTCTAATCTATTCACATTGTTGGAAATTTAGTTTCGCCAGTTTTCTTAATCATATTTTTTTAAAGTGTAGATCAAACTCCTCCGATAAGAATAAATACTACTTGTAAAAATATTTTATGGATATTTGCATCCTCTTTTGTCTTCAAACAAAGCTATATTCAATAACCCAGCTTTCTGAAATATTTTTCTTGGGGCTTTGTGAATGCAAATCGTGCTGTTTCAATGAATTGATTTCGGTATATGAATTCGGTACAGCCTCTCTTTGATACGTGGAGACTGACATAGTATTTTCCAGTATTGATCCAACAACCGTTGGGCAAAATTATTATCAAAATAAATTAAGAGATATAAAAGTTACTGACTAATCGGAAATATCAAAGCATCATAGACGGCACTGAAAATATCTCAATTGGGAAAAAAAAAATATTTCTAGTGTTTAGCGATAGGGAAATTCGCCGTGCTCTTTTGCAAATTTATGATCGAGAGAACCTAAGAATTCGTGTGAAGTTCATCGATTTGGTAAGCGTGTTATCACCCTACGAGTAGATAATTTGCTCTCAATAAATATTGACTTAAGTTAAAATATGGACGCTCAGTGCTGCTCCAATCACACATTAGACTAGAAGCAATTAGGGTATCTACACTCGAAAACAATTCAATTCCAAAAATCTTCCAACTTATTGTAACTTAAGATACTAGGATGTCATATCCTATCCTTACTAATAAAACTATGAGAATTGCAATTTTTATCAGTTACCTCAGGATAGCAAAGTCTTCATTTAGCTGTTAAATTCCTTCTCAGAACAACTGGAAGCTACGAAGAAGTTGTTATAATACTGCTGACCTTGAAAGCGTAACAAATTTGCCTTGATTTGTTTCATGCGGTTGCCAAGAGAAGAATTACATCTATTAATGATCGACCCATATTTCCGCAAAATAAATAAATACAATCCTCAGTTTTGTGTGCCTCCTTTGTTTGCGCAGTACAACGCGTTATTTTGCCAAGTGTGACAGCTTTCTTATTGAAAGATTTGGCAACAATCTTGTGTTTGTACAGAGAGGTATTTATGAAATAATGAGCGAACATTCTGCAGGTGGAAGGGTGAACCATGAACGAACCCTCAGAGTGTCTTAAAGGGCTTCATTCCACCAGATTTGTTCTCGAGTTTCTTATTGATGAAGAAATGATTTCGCCAGGAATCTGACCTTGATAATGAAAAATTAATTGGTGTAGCTGACTCCGTGATATTAAGTTTACTCAGTAACAGTGATACAGGCGCTCACAACAATGCGAATAGGCATCATTGTATTTGGCCTGGCTCCAAGAGGAAAAAAATTGAAGCTCAAGCAATTTCACGCCTGGCAACTTTCTTAAAGTCAAAGGCATGAGGTTTCCTTTACGAGACCGATCATATCCGAAGAGGATCGAGGGTTTCCGAGGATATTCAAAAATTTCCGAAGAAGTTTCGAAGAATTCGAACGTAGCCTCTCCGTAAATGAATGCTCCCCGTTTTAAAATAAAAGATCTCGGTTAGTGCTTGATCATTTTGAAAAGAGCTTCCTCCTCTTGAGCCTCTAGTCTAAGCATTTTTGATATTTTCACTTCTCTTCTGTAAGAAATGTGTCTGAAGATTATAAAATTGCAATTTTTTTCTTGTTTTGTGAAATATCTTTTCGCCAAAATTTGGACGGTAGGTGTTCTTAGCGTGAGATCTCAAGGCGTGGGTGGCGCCCTAAAGCGAAGCTGTGTGGCGGTTATTGCGAATAGCACTGAAGTCTTCCACTAATTGTCGTTAAATATTCGTCCGAGGACAGGCTTTGAATCAGTCGCGTTTCGAGGCAGACTGGAGGCGAGTTTTATTTCATTCGTTCCCAGATTTTTACCGAGTAAATTTAAACATGGCGGCAAGCATAAGACGTCCAGTGTCGTCTTCTAAGTTTCGCATGAAAAGTGGAATGTTTAATCTATAGCTAGAACCCGTAATGCTCTGAAATTTTTATGATCAACGGAGCCCTTTGAAAGTCTTAAGCCGATTTCTGATCTCGGTATTGACTGATAAAGCGTGTTTTAAAGATGCCGCGAATTCGCACGGCACATAAGTTCAGCGAGAGGCACCGAACTGGTGATGTCTTGGCCGATGAACAAGTGGATTTCAAGTCTCTTCTTCTTTCTCCTGATGTCTTGAAGGGACTGAGTTCCTCTGGATTCGAACGACCCTCTCCGATACAGTTAAAAGCCATTCCATTAGGAAGATGTGGCTTGGGTATGTATTGCTGTGGTTGTGCTAAATTCGAAAACTGTTAGTGTACAGTGGTTGGGCTAACATTGGAACCCTAAGGGCCTCTTTACACGAGTCTTGGCTGAATTGTAGCCCAGGATCAATCACCGCAAAGAATCCTAAACATATCCAATTTACACTAACCCAGCTTGCCAGTCTGCATGCGGCACCAGCCTTTGGTTCGCTTCAAGATCGACTAGGGTCAGTCTTTCTCCCGTTGAAAATCTGACAACACTGGCTATAAGTCGACAAAAATACGTTCAGTTTGACGGAATGGTGGAAGATCATGATGTAGAAACAAAAAAAATATAGATTATTTGAGTGCAAGTCCCAAGTTTAATAGTTAAAAAATAGAATTCAATTCCTTTTGAGATTGTTTGATATCTTGTTTTGTAGATTTGATAGCTCAAGCCAAGTCTGGAACTGGCAAGACCTGTGTGTTTAGTGTCATTGCCTTGGAAAGTGTTCAGCTTGACAGCAGCAAAACCCAGGTAAAACATGCAACAAATTATTTTTTCAAGCTATATTTCTTTAAATTGTAAACTTTAAATAGACAGACACAAAAATGGTGTTATCAAACTGCAAAAACATTTATCTCACTGTAAACATGTCTCTTACAGTTCTAGGATTCAAGTGAAGTAATGATCTTTGCAGCTGAGCTGAAATTTTTAGCAATTGCAGAAAAAGAACCTGGAAAAATTATGTCTAAACTTGCTGCTCACCTGCAAGAATCATTACTCTACTTAATTTTCAATACGCAGGTCAACTGAAATGTATTTCATTAGAAATTGAGTTTCTAACATGAGAGTCTATGTTGTAATCAAATTTCCCCTTGGTTTAAAACTCCTCAAACCAGTTGATTTTGTGTTTTGCTGTCTCATGTTTATTACTAGCAATAACCTTAACCTAAAACAGTGGGTGATAAAGAAAATTGTAGTGAAATATTCTACACCAAGGAGAAATTTGACCAATCAATACTACACATCTCTACATAAACCTGCAAATGATTCTGTTCTAATGCAATCCTGTAATCAGGCAATCATGTAATTGCAGGTGCTAATCTTGGCCCCAACAAGAGAGATTGCTGTGCAGATCAAGGATGTCATCACTGCTATTGGCTCAGAGATGAAGAACTTAGTTTGCCATGTGTTCATTGGTGGACTGCCAGTTGATGAGGACAAGAAAGCTCTTCGCAAATCATGCCATATTGCTGTTGGTACACCTGGTTAGTGATTGTTCTCAGCAGATTAACCTTTCAAGGAGAAAAGATGACAATTTGGGTAACTGACAATTTAATTTGTTGTGTCTTTAGGGAGAGTTAAATACCTGATTGAGAACCATCTTCTCAAGACTGAGTCTGTACGACTCTTTATTCTTGATGAGGCAGACAAACTTCTGGAGGACAATTTTCAGGAGCAAATCAAGTGAGTGTATGGTAACAACATTCCATTTAACTGTGTTGTAGAATTGTACATTTTGGCCTAAATTTTAGAAGTGACTCATATTTTTTCTTTCCAAACAGATGTCTCAAAAAAATTATTTGTATATATTATTTGTATAATATTTAGTTTAAGCCTTTACACCCTAAAATCAGTATGTATATTCTCCATACTGCTCTTTACACATTTCCTAAAGTGCTGACAAGGAGATTTCATTGGTGATCATTTCCTTTATTCTCATGACCCTAATGTTTGATTCAATGGTGATATTGTTAGGAGAAATTTGATTCTAATCATTCTAAGGGCTTAAAGGAGTAAGCCTGTGGGAGATGCTTTGGCCTAATGGTCAATGTACTGGACTCTGGATCAAGAGGTCTTGGTTCAGGACCTGTAGTGTTTTTAGGCAGCATACTTACTGTCATCATGCCTCTTTCCACCCAGAAGTATAAATGAGTACTGGTGGATTGTCAGGGGAGCTTGATGAAATGTAGGGGGGGGGGGTGTAACCTTGTGATAGATTAGCATCCCATCCAGGTTGGGAGGGGGCAGTAATATCTCTATTTGCTTCACGCTAAGAAAACTGAGATAAGTTTAGGCCATGTGAGCCACTGGGCTCGACATCAGAATTGGCCAGTTTAAAGCTTCGTGCAAAATACTAAGGCCTGTGAGAGGATTTGTTAATAAGAACATATGGCGATCTCTTGCAGCTGGGTATTTTCGTCTTTGCCATCAAACAAGCAAATGATGGCATTTTCTGCAACCTACCCAGAATACCTTGCTAAACACCTGACAAGATACATGAGGGAACCAACGTTTGTGAGACTTAATGCAAGTGATCCCACCCTTCAGGGTAAGCACTTTTGCTAATGTGAAGCTCCCCAGGCATGTATAAACCTTTTTTGTTTTTTTTTTCTGAGACAGTTTGGCAGTAAATCTTTCTTCTTATTACCTTTCTGCTTAAAAATGCACTGATAATGTAAGGAGAAATTTCTTTTCACTCACTCCTTTACGCCCTAACATCAGCATTAATATTCTCCATACTGTTCTCTATAAATTTCCTAAGATGCTGACAAGGAGAATTTGTTTAACAATCAAGAGATTCTTTATTTGATGATCATTTCCTTTATATTCATGACCTTAATGTGTGATTTTGGAGTGATATTGTGAGGAGAAATTAGCTGCTAGTCATCCCTAGGGGTTAAAGGGTTAATGTTGCTCTACAAATAAACTTACACTTGTACAAGGTTGGAGCTTGTACACTATTCAGGGTACTGTGAAATTTTAAATCTTTTGGAAATGATAAAAAAAAGTCATCAAGGCAACCTTAAAAATAATTTTTTTTGGTTAGAAAGGTCTCTAAGAGAGGTAGACTTATTTGTAATCAATGATAGCAAAGATAACTCAAAGACGTCCTTTTTAGTTATATAAAACCTTCTTATGCATTCAAGATAGTAAGTGAATATTTTATCTTCAGGAATCCAACAGTTTTATCAGATGGTCCCCTTTCATCCACTGCCACACAAAACATTTCAAGAAAAGGTACATCTTTGATATATATAGAAATATTACTTTAAAGTTAGCAATCAGTTCAAGTGAAAGGAGGAAAGAAATAGAAAATTCAAAGTAGATGTTAATACTATACTATGTCCTGTAATTGTATACATACAGTAACTGTACTTAGTACTGTGCGATTTACAACATAGGTTACTTGGTGCTGCATGTAGCCCAGATTAATGAACAAATAATGACAACCAAAGAAAGTTAGCTTAACTTCTTAGCTAGATTGTAGAGATTAGGGGCCATATGAAAGGTATCTACTCTCAACAAGTAGCTGACTGACCTCCTGTGCAAGTCTCTTATTAGATATCTCAGGTATTTAACTATCATTGGCAGTGCAGTTTTAATTTGATTGGTATTATTAATTTCCCGACTAACATTGAATCACTATGCATATTGTTTATTGCTGTAGGTCACTAGGCTTTTAAAGCTACTTTCAAGCCTACCATTTCAACAATGTCTTGTCTTTTCAAACTACCAGATAAGGTATGTCTTTTAAAGGAGCAGCATTACTAGTGTATAATATATATATATATTTTTTTTTTTCCACTCTTGTAAATTTTAAACAATCACTTTTGTCTAAAACTAGATAATTAGATAATGCAATTCAAGAGTTTTCATCGGCCTGGCCATCATGAGTTATAAACCATTATACCATGCTATACAAAGTGTTTTTGTACATTGTTGCATTCTGTTTGTTATTACAAACAAAAGTTGACATTTATTTATCTTTTTTCAGGCATTTCTCACCAAACAATTATTCCCCTTGTGCTTGTTGGACATGAGATGATAATAGCCAACTTGGTCCTTACAGGTCTTGTTGGCTATTTGTCATCTCACATGTAATGTGCACACATGAAATAATTTTTGAAATTATAATAGTCGTCATAATTGGGTTCTTTTGCTTCTTTAACTGGCCTTTTAGAGCTCAAAGCCTCTGTGATACTCTTCGTCAAAATGGATGGCCCTCTGTCTTTATTGCAGGTTTGTATAGCGATGGAGGATTTTGCTAAAGGTGTAGCATTTACCAAATGATTTGTCTGATCTGTCATTTAGTTTAATTTGGGCAATTTTTGGATAAAAGATAATTAAGTTTCACTGTAGAAAAGGCTAACGTTTACATGAAATGTATATGTTGAAAAAAATGCAGCATTTATTGTCCTCCCAAAGAACTCAAAGTTTTTAATATTGGGTAGCAGTGCTCAAGCCTTTTGTTCAAACACAAATTTGGGAGACAATTCCCTCCACCCCCTCTTAGCTTTTTATGCTTTTGTGCAGAAATTATATCAATAACAGCATAAAATTGGCTCCATAAAAAGTCAAAATTATGAGGTTCTGGCGGCTAACAGTATCTTTGTGTCTTTGATATAAAATATTCCAGATAAGTTATTGATTTCTTCAACTTTCAGGAAGTCAAACCCAGATACAGCGATTGAAAGCCATGGAGAGGCTAAAACAGTTTAAATGCAGAGTGCTTATATCAACAGACCTGGTCAGTTACATTTTATGATTCTTGTCTTTCTTTTTTTTGTTGTTGTTAGTTTTAGTTAGAACTTCAATGTCAAACTTTTATTTTATTGTCAAATTGAAACAAGTTCAGGTATATTTCATGACAAAACATTGTTGACCTTACCATTTTAATTTACCCTTTAACTCCCAAGTGATTAACATGAAACTTCTCCCTAAAATATCCATACACTATGTGACAAACAGGTAATGAGAATACACAAACTAATCAGGCAGAAGATGTTATCTTGATCCATCACCAAATTCTCATAACTAATTGTGAAGGTTTGTGTAGTAGCAAGAGGGGAGAATTAACAATAAGATCTTGAGAGTCAAAGGGCTAAGCTTAAAGAAATGACCATTGATCAGTATGAGAATGTTGATCAGATCCTTTATTTTGCTAATTACGGTTAAATTTTTTTTCAAGACTTCTCGTGGAATCGATTGTGAGAATGTCAATGTTGTGGTGAACATGGATGTCCCACGTGATTCTGAGACATATCTCCACCGAATTGGACGAGCTGGCAGATTTGGTAAGTCAGTCATAATTTTGTAAGGACAACTAATGCCCCAGACAAATAAACATGTTTTTTGTTTTGTTAAAGGGTTTTTTTTTTCTTCATAGAAACTATTTAAACGAATATTTTTTACTTGAATGTATTAAAACATTACAGGTTCAAGTTTTTCTGTCTGTTTATAATTTTCATTCAATGAAAACCAGTTTAACAAAACATGTTTTGCTGGTGTGAATGGGGTATAAGATTCTAAACATTCACAGGTTACCTGTCCTGACTAGTTGGCCAACCCAGTTGCCTTGTAATAAACAATTGGCTTTTATCTGCCACTTTGTACAGGTACACATGGTATTGCTGTGACCTTTGTAGCCAGGGGGGATGAGGAAAAGTTGTTCAGGAGAATAGAAGAGAATATTGGTACTTCAACTGAAGCTTTGCCAGGTGAAAATTTATTTCCATTACTACTATGTGTTGTCTTGTTGCTTTTAAGAAGAAGAAAAAATAGTGCATGGTGTCATGGTTCTGTTGAATTATCAAGCGCCCTGTTTTTCCACTCTCAAGAGAGAAAAAAAAACCAATAACAACAACCTATTGAAGCAGGCTGTATACTTTAACCAAGCTTGTTGTTGCAGTAGAAATAAATATGAGCCCAAAATCTCCAGATGCTTGTGTAGAACTAGAAAATGGAGGGTACTTTGCAGGAGTTCATCAAAATAGTGTTCTTGGCACTTTACCCTGAAATCTCCAAGAATGATGAGCATCTAGTAAATGAAAAAATTTAAAGTAGCCTTTGATTATTACACAAATTCTCCTTGTAAGTAACATAACAAATGTATGGAGAACAGTCGAGAGAGCTTACACACTGATGTTAGGGAGTAAAGGGTTTAACTTAAGAATGCTTAAAATACATATCAGGTGGATGTTGCTGACATGTGGTGCATCTTTTTTAGATGTCATTCCTCCATCCATCAGCAGTGCATTCAATGGAAACACTGAATTAGATCCTACAACAACACTTCCCCAAGCAGCATCTATTGAAGTTGATATATTGAAAAGTGATTTCGTGCAATCTGAAGTAGTGGAGAAGCAAGAGAGTCCACCTGTAAGTCAAAATGAAGTCTGTGCACCAAGTAATGAAAAGGTCTTGGATAGTGTTGATGAAAAAGTTCCTGTGGAAGATCTAGACAGTTTGTCTGCAGATAGTGTGGTTGAAAAGATATCTCTGAGTGCTGATTTTGAGAGCCAATCAGATGAGCAAACAATGGAAAAGTTTCAGACCGACAATGACATTGTTTTATCAAAGGACAGTGAAACAGAGGAGGCATTGGATTACATTCAAGAAAGGTTTCAGAACTCTTTGTTTCTGAGTCAAAACTGCATCAAGAAGAACATCAGCGGGAAAAATCCTCAAAGTATTCAGACTCAATGCATTTCAAGTGAGCTCCAAGTGAATGAGACTGGTGCCATTGGGGAGGTGAATTTCCCAGACATGGGTGATGTCTCATGCAATGATCTGAAGGAGAATGTTTCAGAAGTAAAAACTGATCTCCAACAATCAACTCAATTTAACCCATCTGAAGAAAGACCATCTGTTGTTGCAGACACTTCAGGTAAATTAGAAGTTGACAAAGACCATAGTTTGCATCTGCAGTTAGAACTTGTCAACAATATGAAAGACACACTAAATAAGGCCAACCATGAAAGTGATCTTTACTGCAGCCTACAAGGAAACAAGGATGGAATTGTCAGTCAGAGTTCAATAGAGGGATCATCAGAAGACAAAGACGAAAATGTAGACAAGGAAGAAGATGAAGAAAATTCTATAGTAACACAAAGTTCAGATGAGAATATATCCGACAGTTGTAGTGAAAGTGAAGGAAGTTCTAATAATCTAAAATTTGATGCCTCTGAGGAAGAACATGGATTGAATTTAGTGAGTTCTATGCCTTCAGTGGATGAATTTGAAAAGGACTTTGAAAGATACCTTGAACATTTTTCTGGTCATTCTCAAGAAGACTATGTCTTTGATGGCATTCCTGGACCAAGTAAATTGTTAGTTGATGATATAATTGAAGATGGAATTGATTCCAGTGAAGATTTCAACTGGCATTGCAAGACTACTTTGGCACATGCAGGATCACAGAATTACAACACTGTTCTTGAAACATGCTATCAAAGGCAGCCAAAAGATGTAGCTAATAGCTGCTTTTCTCATTACTGTGGACAGTCTGCTGAACTGCAGAATCCCACTGCAAATGACCAGTTCGATTTTCAAGAAAATTCATTTTGGGGACCTTCAGATTACAGTCAATGTCAAAATGATTTTTGTGATGAATGTTTTCAAGGTGCTGATCACTTTTACAATTCTATTTATTGTAATAATTATGATCCACACCAACTGTTGCCTGGCTACTATTATCACAAACCACCATGCACTACTGACACACAAAGACAAACAGATTTTGCCACAAATACTTTGGGTCAGTTTTCACTTAATACTGGAAGTTATCAAGAGTATCAATGGAATGCAAGCTGGTATAATGCATATCAAAGACAAACAAGTTGTATCAGGCAGTTTGTATCTTTTAGTAGGTCTATGAAGTTATAGTTTAACATTTAGTAAAATTGACAAAGTTTTTCCACTTTAATAACCTAATGACAGTTTACCATGTCTTTAGAATGAAATGTCCCAGACATTTCCACAAGTGCTCCCAACTTGTAGTACTAGATTAATTTATGAAAATAGTTTCTATAATCATGTATTGTACAATTAGTTATTGCATTTATCTGGAGACTTCAAATTTTTGCCTGATTTTTTGCTCTAGTGACTGAACCAAAAAACTAATTTTGCACACCCAGACATTAAAGAAATGATTTGTCCTGTTTTGTTGGCAAAATAGCAGAAAACTGGAACCTTAATTGAAACTTGTAATAGGTAAATTTGTCATTAAAGTAACAAGTTCCTGACTGTTGATTATACAGTATGAAGAGGTAATCAGAATAATTTTACAATGTAGAATTCCATGTGGAATAATAAATAAAATAAAAATACATTTCATGAAGATGTCCAACCACAACTGCAATAAATTACTGATGACATCAAATTCAGTAAGAACAAAAATTTATCACACCAATAGCTAGCCACAAGTGTCACCCAATTTTAAGGTTTCTTGTAATATACTGTTAAGCAGAAACATGGCAAAGAAGGGTATTAAATAATATTTTTGTTTCACATCTAAAATCTATCAGGGTCAGAGACAAAACGTCATCTTGACATCTCTCTCTAAAAGATCACTTGTAGAGAAGTTGAACCAATCCAAATGAAAGGTAGAAATTAGCAAAAAACTCGTAATTATAAACACGTTAATAACATGTTTTTCTCCTCTCAAATACTGGTACACTTTCAACTGACAACTTTACTATACAATTCAAATCATTTGGCAAACCAAAGGAAAACATTTAGAGCCCAAGAATGAAAAATGAGAATAACATTTTAAATTACATTTACCGACAAAAACCCAAAGCAGATTCATCACCAATCACCACAAATGTAAAATACCAATAATACAAAACAAACAAACATAGGTAAGACACAATTTGAACTAAGTAAACAAACAAAAGTTTGATCTTGCTTAGATCAAGAAAAGTTCAATAGGAAATATTTCTACTAACTTATAAATATAATTTTTTACACAGTCATTGGACTAGCTTATAAGCACTTCCTCCTTTTCAGTAAAGTCTGTCACAAAAAAAGTCAGTGGAAAAAAAAAAAACTGATTAAGTGCACCATAAAGGGGAGTACAGGATGAAATTCTCTGAGTCTGAAGTGGATAGTTTCTGAGCGCCTTGCTTGAAATACCAAAAAAAATTTTTTTGGGCACCTAGCTCCATGAGTTAAGTGGGGCAAACTAACATCAATTCTTTTTAACTGACTTTTTTTACTTGTGCAGTAGACTTCACTGGAAAGCTGGGGCTGCTCATAGTCTACCACTGAAATGATAAAAGCAATTGAAACATGCTATGTGTACACCATTATTTTCAAAACATCTGATTTTGGAGCTATCTGTTTAAGTCTGAATGAGGCCAATGCTTTAGTGCTGCTGCAGTTTTGACACTTTACACCAAACACTCAACTGTTTAATATCTAAATATTCTAGCTCAAAACTCTTTAACAGGACGGCAGATTGTTCAACCACAACCACACCACTTTGAGTCTACACTTCTTGATTCTAAAATCACAGCATCATCCATGATGTTTGCTTGAAGTTGAGAGCCATTTTCGTAACGACTTTTCAATTCTCTTGCAACCCGCATGAACGCATTTTCAATATTTGTTGCATCCTGCAAGTCAGTATACAAGGAACACTTAGTCTGAATACAAATTTCAAAAAAATATATCTCTTGGTTTTGAGCATCACAATCCCAGAGGACTAAAAAATAGATAAAAAAATCCTTGATGTATTTCATTTTGTTTTGAAGCTGAAGTTGTACATGTAGGGGATAAGTTTCTGGATTGTCCAAAGAGCACTTCATTTAAAATTTGCTTCTTTATCAAAGATAATTATATTTATCTTATTACAATACAGAGAACCCTTAAAAGTTCAAAATCACCAACATTACCTTTGCTGAAGCTTCAAGGGTGTCGATCATGTTATAATGTGCAGCACAGGACCGTGCCTCTTCAAGGGTGACCTCCCGGTTTTCAGCAATATCTGTTTTGTTTCCTACTAGTAATTTAATAACATTAGCTGGAGCGTATTTTTTCACATCTTCTGTCCATCGCACAACATTCTTGAAAGTATCTTTTTTGGTAATGTCGTAAGTTATTACTACAGCATTAGCACTTCTGTAGTAACTTTGAGTAATTGTTCTGAATCTTTCCTGGCCAGCAGTGTCCCACACTTGTAACTAGAAAGGAACAATCAAATCCAGCAGAATTAGTACAAGATGTTAGTGAACCTTTATTAAATGGCACCATATAAAGCAGTCACCATGTATGAAGTGGTCCAGTATTTACTTCCCCATAATCACTGTAATTTTCACTTCTATTGACTCTTTAACCCCTAAGAGTGATTAGTAACTATTTTCTCCCATCAGTATTGCCCTTAAAACAAACATTGAGGTCATGAAAATAAAGGAAATGATCACCTACTAAAGAAGCTCTTGATTGTTAAAAAAAAAAATTCTCTTTGTCAGTACCATAGGAAATGTATAGAGAACAGTGTGGAGAAAATGGATACTGATGTTAGGGTGTAAAGGGTTACACAGTAGTGATCACCTTGGAGTGAATCCCAAAAGCCTGTTTGCATTGTCTTCCACCAGTATTGATTACTCCCTTAACCCTTTAACTCCCAAGATCTGATTGTTAATTCTCCCCTCTAGCTGCTACACATTTCCTTCTAAATTAGTTCTAAGAATTTGGTGTTAAATCAAGAAAAACAACTACGTGATAAATCAAAATATTCTCAATACCTATTTGCTAGATAGTCTATAGATATTATAGGGAGAAGTTGCCTCTTAATCACTTCTGGGAGTTAAAGGGTTAAAGTGAAACCACTCTATTAAAACTAAGAATAATCTGTCCAGTAAAATTTCACCCATGTTTTTCTTCCAAAATTTATGTTGGTAGTATTTTTGAGCAAGTGTTTGTGCATTAAGTGGTCAATAATGGCAAAAAGTGGTGCTTTTTTTAATTGTTTTTTATATTACTCCTCATCTGAAGAACCTGTATAAGGCAGTCAACCTGTTTTAAGCAGTCATTCTGCCATTCCCCATGGGTGACTGTTTAATACACATTTGACTGTATTTCATGGTTTAGTCAGCTCCCATGCTAGAAAGCTAGTCCTGTGAGAGTTTCTTTAGCACAAAGTGACTAAATTTATATATCTCTCACTGACCTAGTCCTCTTGTTCCATAATGAAAGTTATGGACCAAGTTTTTCTGCTTGGATTTATGGCCCAGGCATGAAGCTTACAGCCATAAATTCCAGCAGAAAAATACAAGGTTCTATAACTTATAGTACAGACCAAGAAAATGAGATTTGTAAGATATTTATTATATCACCAGGTTCAAATGGAGAGGAAAATTTCAATTCAAACAAACTTTTGAATTTAGCGGGCTGCACAGTTTAAATTGGAAAATTAATAAGCCAAAACTGAAAAATAAACAACAGAAAACCACATGTTAAAAAGGAAAATAACAAAAAAAATTGAAAACCACTGGAAGAAGTAACATCCATAACAACCAGTCTGACTCAGCTATCCCCTTCTCCAAAGAAATTTACATAAAATCACACTGTTTTGTTGATGTTTTCTCTTGTCATTTGCCTTCACTTTTCTTTTTGTTTGGTCTGGGGTGTGTAAACACCCAAAAATAACTAATTTATTATCCAAACTGTAAATACATGCCAGGGTACTTCAGGAAGTGCATGTTATATTTGTCAGTTTCATCATCTTTCGGGTATTTCAGAAGGTTTTAGTTATATGCAACAGTCTGGATTGAGCCATTCTATGAATGAATGTTGTGCATTCCTGTTTCTCTACGTTTTACTTATAGATCAGATGTAACATTTGGTTATTTAAGTTGCAGTTAATTATTAACAACAGGCAACCGACATTTCTGCATGTGTTGTGCAAAACTGTTATATATTGGGAAACTATCCTCTGGGACTCCACATAAAGAAAACGAAAAAAATTATTGTAGAGTTGCTTAATTTTAAGCTTATTTAGAGAATGTCAAGTTTACCTCATTACAACTATTTACTTTTTATTTCTTGACAGATAAAGTAACAAACCATTAGCTATTTAGGTTTGTGTACTTGAAATGTATTTCACACAAACCGAACTGTATTGTGCTAAAATCGTCATCGTTCTATTTTTACAACTTATTACAAATCGAAAAACCCGAGTTAAAATCCTGTCTCTGTTTACTGACAAAAATGAGACTAAAAATCGATCGGTTAAGGAAGTTCGCCCTGACTGAAATAATTTTTTTCTTCTAAAACCTTTGTCGGACTAACTCGCGTTGTCTACAACAAAGGTTGAGTAGATAAACAAAGAGCTTCGGCGATTGCATATATATATATGGGAAATGGCTAAAAGACAGTGGAAATTTCACAGAAAATTGAGCATAACATCTTTCTTGGTGATAAGGTGATAAATTTAACTACCTGGAACTTATATTTTTATGCACATTCCACTTGTGTGTACTGACTCCATGGAAATTATAAATAAATGATGGATATTTAGACGCCAAACTCTGGGAGTTTTAGCCGCTTGCTACCCGAGTCATTCGGGTCGAAACAAATGCAATTTTTATTTAGTCTACTCTTGCCCTTACCTTGACTTTTTTTGCGTCAACAAGAACTGTCTTCATTGTAAAATCGACCCCAATTGTGCTGCCGTGTCGCTCGACGAAAGTCCCCTTTTTGAACCGCTGTACAATGCATGTTTTTCCGACTCCTGGATCACCGATTAAAACTATTTTGAAAAGATAGTCGAAGGAATCATCCTGGTCGGCTGATTTCATCACATGAGAAGTTAATATTAGCAGAAAACTGCCCGTACATTTACGGCCCCTAATGAGAAGTTGTGATTAGTTCGCTGCCAACTGTTCAAATTTACATGTTGTGTCAGTTCGTGCCCAGACTTCGTTCAAGGAAGAGTCAGAGACTTGCCAAAAAAGGACAGGAATGTAAGTCACCACCAGAAACGGAAAGGGAAAGATGATTTATTAAATCTAGGAGTCAGTGGTACGTCTCCGAGTTCAGCGTGTTTAGGGGGAAGGGGGGGCTGAGTAGTGATGCCTAGGAGTCGGAGGTAACGGCGCCTACAGGTCGCCCACGCGAAAACGAAGATCATTCAAGAAGTTTAAGTTCAACAGAAATGACATTTCCCGCGAAAAAAATTGCGAGTGTCGAAAATATCGCCATATTTTCTTTCGCCCTACCTAATTATGTACTAAGGGGCCCCTTCTCAGGAAATCACACGGTCACTCACAACGCTTTTTATAGTAGTATGACTGTGATCACTCAAACGAACATTACCTCTGCGATGTCAGGCGCCGGCGTTTCGTTTTCAAGTTCTAGATCCTCATTTACTGACTTCCGTTCCTTCGTTTATATGTTCTGGATGTTTCTTTTTATAGTTTCTGACGATTTTTTTGGGAGTTTGGACAATTTCGTATACCCTATTTGCCAGATTATCTTTGTATAGGCGAGATCACTTAAAATTGATCGTTTTCAACCCCTACTAACAAACGCTATATCGTTGTCCCTACAGTTTTATAGCGACACACTGCCATGCATCAGGCAACAAGATTTACTAATTGGTAAATAGGACTTGAGTTGTAGCAAGATTTATTCAAGGAGGGGGGGGGTGGGGTAAGAGTTTGCTACATTATTTACCACACTGAAGTCTGAAGTTGAGAGAAATAATCCCCCTGAGAGGAGGGGGTCATGGACTCCCAGGACGCCTCTAACCATGCTCCTATACATTGTTTGGATGCATAACCAAATTCTTATTACTAGCCCCTGAAGTCATGAACGATCCCCACTTGGGAGAGTTAGCTTAATGATCTAAAGTGAAACACATTCATGTGACTTGGTTAACCCTTTTGAGCCCCTTGGAGTGACCAGCATCTAATTTCTCCTCACAAAATTACTTCCAAATCACACTTTGAGGTAGAAAGAATAAGAGAAATGGTCACCAATTAAATAAGCCTTAATCAAATTCTCCCTGTCAGCACCTTAGGAAATGTATAGAGAACAGTATGGAGAATATGCATACTGATGTTGAGCTTTAAAAGGGTAAAAACTCTACATATGGTCGTACATATGAAAGTGCTTTGCCATACACTTCAGTGACTCTTAAATGTTTTTCATATAAACTTCATTCTACACATGCGAACTTCTCTTCATTTACAAATACTTTACAATGTCTCCATGAAAGATTGTGTTTGTTGATCGTGGTGAAGAAACAATAAAAACCAAGTACGATAATTGTTTGTCTTAAGACGGAATAATTTATGATGTGGATAGCGATGTTTCGACTGTATATTCCCGATCTTATACAAACAGCTAAATCGAGTGGTTACGCGTCACTTTATGCGGTATTCTTCTCTTCTGTAATTGGTCGGCTTTTAACAACCAATCGCAGCGGAATATCACGCCTTCTTATGTGACAAGTTGCTTATTTGACAGAGTTTCTTTCAAGTCCCTTCACATCCTGCGGCCTAGAGCGAGGAGCGAGGCTTTGTTGTTCACGTCAATCATTTTTTTGGTTGCCATGAAAACTTTAAATGTCACTTGACCTGTTATTAATTGCAGTAACCTTTGTAGGAGACTCCTTCGGCTTTGAGTTGGATATTGTGAACAAATGAATGCGCATGGTGTTAGAGACCGAGTAGAGCTTTTGCTTCTTGGCTTTGTTGTATAAGAGTCTCGCTGGCGTATTTTTCGAGAAGTTCCTGAAATAAAAATGATAACGTTGGTAATGTAATATAGAAAAAGTCACACGTAAATTGAAGTTACTAAATAAAATAATTGCAGTTTTTAAGTTGAGAGCATCAAAGTCGTACCATTTTCTTTCTTTGAACGAGCATTTCCTCAACCTGTAAGAGCAAAATAGCACTTTGTTAAATTGGACAAAAAATGGAAGAAGGAATTGAAATCAAAGCTGCTTCATGACAAGGCATTCCTGAAGATGAAGCTCTGCAGAAGACGAGAGATCGCCAAAGACGAGAATTTACCGAAGACGATAATTTACCGAAGACGACACTTTGTCGAAGACGACGACAAACAAAAGATAGTCACAAATTGAAAAAAAATCAAAAAAAAAATTCAAGCTAGTGTTAAAACCTCTTTTTGTGATGGTACAGGAACATGAGCAACAAATGGTTGATTTCCTTCCTCAGTTTGGTCTGTTTCCATGTCATCATCGCTATCCTGTACGAAAAAAGGGGTAAATATGTAGGTGAACAAATAAATGAATAAATGAATTCGTCAGTATTTGAACAAAAGTATGAGCATTGTATATTAAATTATATTATATCACTATATTAAAGTGTAAATAGTATTTCCCTTGAAGAAAACTAATTGAGGACACTGTTTACGCTTTAAAATATAACAAAGCTACGTAAAGTTAAAATTATTCACACTTCAATTCATAATGTATAGAATAGATAAATAAATAAATAAGTGAACAAAGTATAAGAACTTTGTAAAATAAGCTTAGAAGATATCAAATATATATAAATGTAAAATTCAAAGCGGCCTAGCAGCATAGATCACAGTTTTTTAAATTATTTATCATGAGTGATAGGTCTTAGAGTGATAGATTGATATACTTTTTTTTTTCATGCAGGAATTAGTCTGCTTCACCTCTTGTTCTTTTGTGACAGCATATATATTTTCTTCCTCTTGCTCCTGTTCAGTTCCCAGTTCTCCTGCTTCTTTCTTTCGTTCCCATTCATCTAGTGCTCGGGCAATGGCTTTTGAAATGCAAACAAAAGAGAAAGAAAATTAAAAAACACCAACATCAGTGTTGACCCTTTACACTTCAACATCAGTATGCATATTCTCCACACTGTTCTCTATAAATTTCCTGTGGTGCTAACAAGGAGAATTTGTCTAATGATCAAGAGCATTTTAAGCTTTTTTCATTTCCTTTATTCTCATCACCTTACTGTTTCAATCAGATATGAAACTGTTGGGAGAAATTAGATTCTTATCACCCCTAAGGCCAATTTAACTTAAATCATGATTCTATGCAATCAGTAAGCCTCAACCTTTCTAAATAGGAAGATTGATTTAATTAAATAAATCTCCTTCCATTGTTAATGTTTGGCCCTTTTAAAACTGTTGACAAAAATAAATGTTTAGATAAAAGGTTCAGCTAAATTACGGATTGTTTAGGACGCAGTTTTGTTAAACAACAGCTATAAACTTTGTTTAAATGATCAGACATTTAGGGTTGAAGACTTAAATTTTTCTTTTCCAGAAATTGCCATTGACATACCTTCCTTTTCAATTTCTTGTTCCAAGGGAACCAGCACTCCATCGTCTTCATCCCTGTAGCCATAATAGTCTGCATCAACATCCTTGTACAATTCTCCCCTTGTCTTCCTTGGAGGTGCTGGTGCTGTAATGTAAAACAAAAAAAAAACAAAACAAAACAAATTACAAAAAAAGTTTTCAGTGACCACTGAGAATTCAGATTAGGAGTTACAATGAAACATATTTTTTCTGTTTTAGTTGTTGGATGATTTAACACTTACGTTCCTGCTCAAAAAGTTCTCTGACACCAGGGAGGTCCTTGGCTGCTCCAAAATACCTTGTATCAAAAAGCAAAAATTAATTAAAATAACAGGTAGCATCAAACTCACAATTATCGAAACTGGAGAGTGTCTTGGTGGCTATTTAACTCTTTAAAAAAGTCTGTACTCGAGCCTATTGGGATGTTAGTCCATCCCAAGGTTTCCCCCAGCATTTCATCAGGCTTCTGGATAATTCGCTGCTACCCATATATACTCCTGGATGGAGAGAGGCACTGTGAGAGGAAAGTATTTTACTCAAGAACACAACACAGTGACCTGGCCTGGTCTTGAACTCAGATCTCTCGACCTGGAGTCCAGTGCACTTACTGCTACTGTGCATCCCACTGACTCTTAACAGATATTAAATAAATATGCAAATTCTCCTGACTATAATTCCAATATGTAATCTTTTTAAAATGAGACTCTTTCAGTCTGCCATTAGATTTTGGGAAATTTGGGAAACTATTAGCTTCAAATGTCTCCTGAAGGCATTCCACAAAGTTTGCAAGAGCCTTTAAGCAAATTCTGAAAGTGTAATTGATTCACCCAACTAAACCTGCACACTAGTAAATCTTGTATTCAGTTCTACTCAAAACTGGGAAATGGATACTTTTGAAATTTCTTCAATGGTATTTCAATTAGTAATTGTATGAGCTTTTTATTGGCCATAATGGGATAATGAGGTGAAAGTAGCCACCTAAAGATGGCAGCTAGCTGGCCATTTTGCCAGGCTACCGGCTCTTTTTGACAGCTCTGAATTCTTCTTTTTGTTATTCATGAAAAATGAATGAAAGGCACTCTGTAGGAGAATAGCTAATTGGATCTTAGAGGTTGAGGAATTTACAATGGTACTTGAACTGAGGGGAGTGCAATTTTGTCTGAAATCATACCTGTAATTTCAAAATCCAACAAGTGCACAGCATGATTTTGATTTGAAATCACAAGTATGATTTCAGACCAAAATTGCAACACACAAAGTTCAATTAGATCTTGATTATATCCATTTTGAAAACACAAAATTCAATCCCTCAACTACAGGATATTTTATTATCCAGTACTGAGGTAGTTTTTTTAAAAGTTACAAAAGTTGTCTTTCTTTCTAAGTCCTCTAATTTGATTGGTTACCATAAACAAGCCTTGACATCTGATGGGTTGTTGTGTTTTACTTAAGGTTTTCCAATGACTGGGAAAAAGATGCAATTTAGAGCAAAAAATGGTGTGATTCATGAATAAATTACACTGATGAGAGCCAATGAGATTGCAAGGATCACCAGCTATTTCAAAATGAATGTAATAAAAAGTATAAAACACACTTGTATCCTCTATTTCCAGGTACTTCTTTTCCCTCATGGTCCAGCATCTTTGGTCCAATTTTCTGAAAGAAAAAAAAATTGGGAAAATAAGAAAATGATCAGTTTTTAGTAAAACATAGAGTCAGCACATACTTTTCAAAATCAATCAGACAATCCACTTCCAAAATAATAAGTGGTTTCAAAAATCAAGATTAAATAAAATAGGTACTTTGGAAGAATGTACTTCATCTAGTGTCATGAGTAAAAATCATACTTGTCAATAATAATTATTTAGTTCAAATAAAATGTAATATGTAGTATGTTAATTTACATCTTTTATCGGACTTGTGTTATAACTCTATTTATTAAGTATAACTATAATAATCTGTACTATATTGAAGCTGGTTGACTGTGACAAAATTTTATGAAATAATATGTAATGTATTGTACAAAATTGCAAAGTTTGTAAATGTCAGTCTATCACATTCACTTGCATAATGACTTTGTTTGCACATAATATTGAATATAAATTTAGTTGTGACAAAATTATAATTTATAGTGTACTGGTGGTTTAAGCCAATACAGCAAAAGAGAAAAAAATTACACAAAGTCCACCTTCACTATAGTCTGGCCCTTCAAGCTCTTTAATGCAATAACTACACATCATTGAATATAATTCTGGTTTTGACAAAATAATTATTTATAGTGTACTTTCTACCTTGTGTTCAGTATGATTTGAGCAAATACCAGCAAAAGAGTAATGAAATGTTACAGAAATTCCACTAACAGCATAGTCTGGCCTGCCAAGCTCTTAAATGCGATGATTACACATTATTGAATAAAATTTTGGTTTTGACAAAATTATAATTTAAAGTATACTTTCTACTTTGTGTTGTGTACTTTAACCCTTAAGAATGACTCGCATCTAACTTCTCCCTACAATATCACCTCTGAATCATACATTAAGGTAATGAGAATAAAGGAAATGATCACCAACTGAAAAAGCTCTTGATTGTTAAACAAATTCTCCTTGTCAGCACCTCAGGAAACGTATAAACAACAGTATGGAGAGTATACATACTGAGGTTAGGATGTAAAGGGTTAAGCCTTTACAGCAACAAGAAAAATAGTACAGAAAGTCCACTTACACCATAGTCTGGCCCACCAAGCTCTTTGATTCGATCCTCCCAATGCCTCTTTTCTCGTAGAAGCTTGTTGATTTCATCATTTAGATCACGGATTCTAAACTCACCAAGGCCAGCTGTACATAAGTGACATTTTCAGTATCATGGTAGAATAATGTGAAAACAAATACTAGATAGGACAGACTGTGGACATGTGTATAGTTGTATGATTGAAGCTCTCTTACTTACCATTTTGGATCTGAGCAACTTTCTTAGCAACTTCTCGTATGATCTATTAACCGAAAAAAAAGAACTAAGTTCTTAAACACTTCATTTCGCATTCAACTTGTGCCATGGTAAAATATTTTTCATACATTTACAGTACTGTTAAAACTTGATTATCCAGACCTTGATGCTCCAGATCTTTTGTTTAACTGGACTCTCTAGTTCCATTTTATCACAAAAATTGATCACTCTCATTCTGGATCCAGAATTTTCTCCCATCAAGCAAAACAGAAGCACTGAGAAAATGTTGATGCTACTACATTAATACAGCTTTTAAGAAAGTTTTTTTAAATAGTTTGGCAAATTTTGGAAATGATGGAAAATAGTTTGAGACTGTCCTTTTATCTTGGTTCATCAATACTCATATTATTTTTTTCTTATTCAGACTCTAGATTATCTGGACTATTCAACCCAGTTCCTTTGAGTCCAAATAATTGAGGTTCAACTGCACTGATTATTATCATCAAACCTGCTGCCTCCACTTTTCTGCTTCTTGTAAATTATCACATTCTGTTGCTAGAAATGGCCTTCGTTCCTGATGAATCCACCATTCAAAAGATAAAATGTAATCACATGTCAAAAACATTATATCAATCATCTCGCAAAAGTTTGTTTAAAGTAAGGTTGGTTTCTTATGTTAAACAGCAATATCACTTGCATTACATAGGTTTTGTTTATATGGCATCCATATTGAATGCCCAAACACCATATGTAAGGCCTGAAACTGAACGATGTGGGGGTCTGTACACAGCAATTGACATCTGTTCACCCACTCAGACAGGAGGTATTTCATGAGATAGCTTGAGTTGTGATTGACATTTGGATGGGTATGAACCAAATCAAAGTAGGTATAAATTGTCTGAATTTGAGTATGAATCAACTGAGTACAAAAAGTCTGTGGATAAGACACAACTGGATACTGTGAACAGCACCTTGAAAACCTGAAGGTCTCTTAAATTTTTTTGTCACACATTTTCTTCAAGGTTCTCAAAGTTAGAGACAGTTTCTTTCAACTGAGGGTCTCAGTCAAAAGTTAGCTATCCCTCAGAATAGTTAAGAATTATTGTTTCGAGTAAAGAAATTCTGATTATGGTTGCAAGTATTTTGACATAATGGCAGTGTATGGGCTAATACTGTAAACTGCTGCTGAAAAGCGTTGGGCTTACACAACTTTGTAATGGGTTTTAGGAGGGCTTATAAACAGAGGGGCTTGTATCTAAGGGGAGGGCACATTGACTCGAGCTATAGCAGTACTCTTCAAATGAGGTTGTGCATTGACTGGTTTTTAATTAAGTAACAAAATTTCTTGTCTGAATCAGCTAAATAATCTGAGTATGGTAAGGGTAATCATAGAGGTTATTTGGCTAGAAGGCAAAATAAAAGCTCTGACTAATTTAATATCAACATAGTGAAACTATTACCTTGATCCCCTTGCCTGCTTCTTTTCTTTGAAGGTCATACCAGCGAGCAAGCATGGTCCTAGAGGAACGATACATATTTATTACTAAATTGATCCCCATGATCCCCTTGCCAACTTCAGAATACCCCGCAACTCTTTTCATTTAAGAAAGGTCATACCATGCCTCGATCTTCAAAGCATGGACACATAGAGGAGGCGGACCAAATACATATTTAGTTTACTAAGCTAGCTGGTTTGAATTCATGTCTCACTGAATTCCATTTAAAGTAATTAGATATGAACAAGTATTTCAATGATTCATCTCTTTTCCGTAAGTGCAGAAGTTAACATAAAAATTAAATATTAAACTTACATAGCCTTTTCTGCGTTTCTTGCCTTTAAAAGAGAAACACAAACAACCGTTAATGAATGATTCGTTTACACACTGAGAAAAACATGCAGCACGAAAAACATCTTTAGAATACTAGGTAAAAAGAGAGTGGTCCTTGGAGGGAAAAATGTATACCTGGAAGCTAAAAAACCACAAGTTCAAATTTTACATACCATTTTGAAGAGTATAAGGTACAACCTCGGGTAATAAAATGACAAAACTTAGAATCTCTGAGCTACGTTCGATCCACGCTGTCCGCCATTACTCTTCAATGATTATCCGCTGATCATTGTCAATAGAAGATTACCCAGAAACATCTGCGCTCGGCGAAGCAAAATATCAGCCATCTTGCTTGTTGGCTTTTAGCAAAGATGTCCTACTTTTTAAATGCAATTCGAGCCGAGCTAAATGCTGTTAAAGTTGCTGGTGGCTGGAAGGCTTCATTTTACAGGATTCTACGAGAGACAAATCTTCGTACAGGAACTCTGATTGGAACAGACAAATATGGAAATAAGTACTTCGAAAATAACACGTACTTCATGGGAAGAAATCGTTTTGTTGTTTACCCTTACGTGGATCGTTACACCTTCGATGCCAGCCAGATTCCCGCGGAATGGCATCGTTGGATGCACTACATGACAGATGACCCTCCCACGAAAGTACCCCCAGCGGAAAGGAAGTTTATTCAGGCTCACGAAACTAACAAAACAGGCACCAAATTGGAATACGTTCCTTACAGTACTACCCGGCCAAAGATCGAGGAGTGGCAGCCCCCTAGGAACAATTAACTCTCTTGATTAATGACTGGTTGGTCCTTTTAAAGTTACAGAAGGTGTGATCAGATGTGAAATGTACTGTGTGGAGAGATTTCTATGCAAGTTGGAACTTTGTCACAGGGGTATAACAGTTCTTTTAAATGATGACCTAAGGGAACAGTTTGTAAATTGTAAGTCATTGTTTGTTCAGCAAGTTTATAAATGCGTTGGAGTTTGAATGTCAAGTAGTGTTGTATGTCTTTTATTTAATATTTTAACTCTCTAATTCCCAAGATGTGCTTCAGTATTCTGCCTTGCAGGGGTGTTGCCAGGATTTTTTAAAAGGGAGTTTACACTGCGTCAAATCCAGGGTACTCACCAGATTGTCATGTTAACCTCCACTCTGTGTTTTACCAATATGATAAGAAAAGGCTTTCAAAGGGGGTGTCACAGGTCCTTCCCCCCCTCCCCTAGCTATGCTTTTCAAAGGGGGGCTAAGGCCTTCAGTTTTTTCTTGTACCCACAAGCTGACAGTGTGGAACAGGCTACAAGAATCTAATCTGTCTTTTTGTAGGGGGGGTGCTGGCTGCATAGAGAAGGTGTAAATTTGGTATTGGAGATCAGAGAATTCTCGAGCTGCTGAGGGGAATTCTCTACCCAGATTTCAATGGTCAGAGCTATCTTTTGTTTACAAGATAATTTGATTTTATTAATGGAGTTGATAATGTAAATTGGCCTCTATAAAGATTTTCAAAAGTTGTTGTTTTGAGTGTAAGCCCTTAGTCAGAGTGAAGGGCTTGTGACAAAGGGCTAGCACTCAAAAAGTCAGCTTAACCCTTTAACTCCCAGATCAAATTTGTAATTCTCCTTACTGTCAACCATACACTTCTTGTAATTTTTGTTCAGAGAATTTAGTATTGGATCAACTAATTATCCCCAAATTGATATTTTTCTTTATTCTCATCACTTATCTGGTTGATGTTGTATTGATATTGTCGGGAGAAGTTCTGTCTTGGTCACTCATGGGAGTTAAAGTGTTAAGAAACTCTTTACATACAAAATGCCAAATTATCTTTCAATGCCCCCCAATAATGTAACACCACAGTTTCTTTAGAAATTTACCCCCTTTATTTTTTATGAGGAAATTGTTGCCATTGCATTTTGTAATGAAAACCCTGTATTGAAGAACTTTGATGGAATTCTTCAATACCTGTTCAAATGGCTGCTCTTATCATTCCTATCAACTCTCATTTCCCTTAAAATATGCTTTATTCTGCTTCATGAAAGTTAAGACTTAGCAACATTTACAAAACACACACTTTGAGATAATTTGTACCTCCTATAATTTTTTTTGTAGTGTTTATTTTGAATTATGATTTTGGCCACAATCCCATAATGGGGACTCAGAATTTTCTTATTGTCAACACTCATGACATGACAAAAACATCTGTCTCTATTTCTTTACCAAGCTTAAATCTTACTTTCTTTTTTCATTCTATTTACAATCCTAATAGCTTTCCATAATGAAACAGGAAAGTGACTTAAAAAGAGATATACAGTAATGTTGCCCATCTTATGTGCTGAAAATACCTCTAAATTCCCTCTGTCTATAACCCTGGGCAAAGACTTTGTGTCAGCTTAGAAATCTTTATCAATTGGATGCAAAGCTGGATCCTGAAAGAATCACTGTTATCTCTCAATATGGGGTGCTAAACCAATAACCCTCAAATTCTTCCACTCTTGAGAACCATATATTTATAGTTTAAGGTACAAAAAATCAAAGAAGATCTGTTTTTTGTCTTTTTAAACACCTTTCTTAGCAGGCCCTCATTATTTCTTTGCCCTCTGGAAGAAGTCAGGGAGAAGTTTGCCAGATCTCTTGCCAGCTTATGTTGCTCAAGGCTTCATAATTTTCTATGGGCAAAAAACATTTGTGGAGTGTGCCAATAACATCCACCTGATACAGGCTAGATGCTTCTTCAAAGAAATATGATATTGTAAAGAGAAATGTATGATTGGTCATCATGAGAAGTGAAAGGGCTCATTTTTAAAATGACTCACAGCAGAATCACCTCATCATCATCATCAGTTCAGGTTGTGAGAGTGAAGGATCTGATCGGCAAATGATAATAGTTCTCACTGAGCACAAATCAGGAAATTGCTATAATAGAAAAACATGTGCAGACCACTGAGGAGAATTTAGATGTTGAATGTTGGCCATTGATGTGAAAGATGAAAAACTTTCACAGAGACTAAGATGTTTAACACTTCATCTCCCAAGAGTCAGACCAAGGCAGAATTTCTCCTTACAATATCAATAAAATATCAGGTGGGAGAGTGATGAGATAAAGAAAAATATCAAATAACAGAATATTGGCTGATCCAATACCAAATTCTTTGAACTAACATTATAAGAATTGTATGGAAGACAGTAATGAGAATTACTATGACATCTTGAGGGTGAAAGAGTTACATCTCGCAACGACAGAGGTTGGTTTCCAGAGATGCACAAGCTCTGCTAAAGTGCAACCCTTTTTTTCTTTTAAAAAGTAATAGAGGTGGTGAGAGAACAAGAATTCCATTCAAATAAATTAAACCCATGTTAGCTTGTGCTAGGCTTTTGGTCGATGGAGAAGAGTGAAACCAGGAAGCTATTCCCCAAATCTGTCAATGATCAAATATGATGAATAACCAACAGTGGAGAAAAATGAAAAAGGAGATGTTTTTTCCTAACTCTGTTGGTTTGCATATGGATTTAGCTCCTTCAATTTAGCCTTTGCCTAAGGGTAAGTTTCTTGTCTTGATTATTTTATTTTGAAAAATTGCCGTGACTTCTTGATTCTAGACACCCTACATAACAATTTGCGTATATATATACCCGTCTTCAAAAATGATGATTGTTTGAAACTATGTATTAAATATACCTTTACTTTTCTCATCAAAAAGAGACACTTTTTGACAAGAAAACAGAAGATATATATACATATAGTAAATATATATTTTCAACGTTGCAACGTTTTTGAAAACGGTTGTATATATACAAATATATATCATTTATTTACTTAATGTCCATGTGTTTCAAATTTCAATCGCTCGCCTGCGTTATAAGGAAAACTATCAGATGCCTTCGTCATCGACTGTAGTCGTCACGCGATAGTGCGTGACAGTTTCTTTTCGCACCTGCGTGACTTCTTATTTTTTAAATAATTGAGTTGGCGCAATAGCATGCTTTAACCTGTGTTTCCAAGAAACGAAAAATTTGCGCCACCATCTCAACCAATCAGATAACAAAACTAAGGCATTCTCGTCCGAGTTCCTCGCGTTTTCTTGCCCTTATGACAGCACGCGTTTATTTAGAGGCGGCTGCATGCTATCTTTTTTCTATTATTTCATTGGTTCCTGTTGATAACTTCCTGTGTTCTGATTGGTCATTCTGATAAATTTGGTTTTGGTTTTTCCGACACTCAATCCTAAAGCGTGTAAAAGGTTTTGCAGCAGGCTTAAGGCGCGAAAACAAAACGACCTCCATTAGAAGCTACCGAAAAACGCTCTTACAGCACAGTTTCCAACTCTTTGTCTTCTTCGCAAAGAAGTTTATCATTTTCGGTGGTAAAGTCACTTTCTTCGCCATTTATTAGCTCGTGACAGACACTTCCATTTGGCTGAGAGTATGGTCTTTTTAAAACGCCGCCCTTAATACCGCAGTTTTTTCCGTTCATGAGCGCCTTGTTGGCTTTTTTCTGCTTATCTTCAGTATTCTTGGTCCTCATCACGCCCAAATCAAGAGTGCACTCTTCTTGAGAGAAGACACTAACGAGAGAAGGCAAACTAATGGATTCGCAGCTGTAGTAGCTTGGATTTCTCAATTTCTTCGCCGGCCTGTTATCATTTAAGTCTAACCCGTTCCTGGAAAAGTGTTTATCCTTAGGTTTTTGATTAAATATTCCTGACTTTCTCCTGCGTGTACTAGCGTCATTTTGATCGCTCGGGTTCTCTGGCAACGTCACCGTTTTGTGACTGTGGCTATTTTCAGAATTTTTCTTAGTTCTCTCGCCAGGTTGGTTCCTACCGTTCCTTGCCAAGTGCGTACGCAAAACTTCGATCAACAAATCTCGGTCTATGTGGGAGACTATAGTACCACAGTTTTGACAGGATAATCTGTTATTCGTAGACACTGTTTGTGTTTCTGGTTGACAATTATCCAGATTCGAAGCACAAGTGATAGGATTTTTACTTCCAGAATCACCGTCAGAAGTTTCATGTTCCTCTTCGTTGTGGTAATCATTTTGATTTTCAACGTCTAAAGGCAGAAAAACTTCATCTTCGCAGTAATTTTTTTCATCTTCCGCGTCTAAGCGATCATCTCTTTCTTGGAGTTCATAGAATTCCGTTTTCAGCCGTTCCAAACCCGCGCGAAGGTCTCGACGGTCTAAAGCACCACCAGCACACTCGTTACTGGCTCCGAATATTTCAAACTCGTTTCCTTCCTCTATCATTTCCATGGAGGAAAGCATAGCAGAAGGGGCCTGAAGACTACCCCTTCGGCGAGATGGGAACAGCCTCGTTGGGCTCCGCTCGGGGCTCCGCTCAGGACTCCGCTCGAGGTTTGTTCGACCTCCTGAAAGCATGTCCGGACTGAGAGAAAAGGATCGGGTAGTTTTCTTGATTCTCGGCACTTCTTGGTGTTCTCCATTCTCGCCTTCGGCTCCACTTAGTTCAATCGTTGGCAGTGAGTGAATTCGTGTTTTTCTTCCTTCTCTGGCCTTGTCACTGAAGCTGGAGTCTACACTCAAACGCCTCACAAAAGATGCTGAGGGAGAAATGGTTCCCAAACGTATTGTCGAGGAGCGAGGCTGCATGGGCACATTTTTTTCAGGCCTCCATAGAATTATATACAACTTAGGTACAAACATGCAGCAAAGGGTTGAGGAACCGCCTATGATGAACACAAAACAGGTTATGGTAGTTCTGTAGATCCCTTTCGTTCCTATGTACGTTGGAATGAAAATTATTACAACTATACACGTTATCACCATGGTGAAGGTGATAAACTTGGCCTCGTTATAGTTCTCGGGTAATTTCCGCGTGCGGAATGCTTGATACGTGCAAGTCAAGGCCAGCCCCATGTTGTACACCCACCAAATCGCTGTACAAATGTCAGGCAGCTCTTTACACTGTTTCAAAACTTCTTTCTTAGATTCGGAGATCACCAATTTGCTTCCAGTCTCGTTGAAGAGCACGCATCCTCCTCCGATAAGACATTCCACCACCGCTAGGCACAGCACCATCAACACTTGCCATTTTTTGGACAGAAAACTTGGAGTCCCTGTTTTCGAAAGCTTGCGATTGAAAATACGTGATATACGATTCGTCTTGGTGAGGAGTGTCCCAGCTATCAGCGCGGGGGACAGACCTGTGACAAACGGAATTGCTCTGCAGACCTGGTCTGTTAGATTGACAAGAAAAACGATGGGTGTCGCGTAACACCACGCGATACCAAAAAGCAGAATGTAACACAGCTCTTTGCTGGACGCTCGCACAACAGGTGTCCCACGGTAGACATAGTACACTGCAAAGGTGTAAATTACCGACAGGATGCCAGCACCTGATAAACAGATAATTATCACACCTAACGTATCATTCCAGTGTAAAGACGTGGGTTGTATGGGCTCACAGCGCGAATGGTTATTACTTGCGCGATATCCTCGAGGGCATGCGGTGCAGTCGTCCATGTTGGTTTGATTCGTAATAGTGTTACCGCTACACAGTCGACATTCCCAGCAACACTTTGCGTGATTCTTCTCGGGATTTTTGTGATAACCAGGCGGACAGTCCTTGCTGCATGTCGAGAAAGGAATACCTTCTTGAGTGAAGTTCTTCAGATTTTTGTTAACCATGTCAATGACTGTTGTGTCCAGATCGAGACAGGAACTCATAGACAGATTAGCGCCGAGAATGTCACATTCCTTCCCACCCCATTTACCAGCTTTTATGACATCGTAATTGCCATCCTCAAGCCCTAAATGACGAATATCGTACACTCCAATTGCATCTCCAAGATAGTCGAACGAAAATTGTTCCCTCGACTTGCCAGGAAATTTCACGTCTTCCAAGAACTCCAGAAATTTTCGTTGTTTAAGATTCTTGATTTTCTTGGAGCAATCTTGGTAAGGTTGACAACCGAGCATGTTATGTAGTGCGTAGGCGATCGCTAGGACTGCATCCATCACGTACTGCGCTTTAGGATAATGTTTAAATGTGTCCCGGTAAAAAGCTGGGTTATGTGCAACTTTCAAATACTCATATTCACGCATCCAAGGATTTCGCTTCCTTCTTTTGTCTGTGAAACTCGTAAAGTACTTGTCAAATTCTTCAATATGCACAACTTCTGGCACGACACCAAACATTCCGCGTAGAATGTCCTCGTTGCCCTTCAGGACTTGTTTTGAGTCTGCCCAAGCGTCAGAACCTATCCAAACATACTTTTCTTTCGACATTAATCTGTGCTGGCGAACTTTGTCAATTAAAATGTTCGCGTCGTGTAGCTGCGCAAAGAGAATCACAACCTTAGCCTTGGAGTTTGCAAGCATCTTCTGAAATATTTCTTCGAATTCTGCATCTGTGGAGCGTTTTGTGAATCGCTCATCCACTGGAATACAAACATCGTAGCTATCGCCGAAGCTGTCAAGCGCTCTTTTAAAGGCCTCGATACCAGATCGGCCGTACTCGCTCTCTGAAGCCAAAGTTATCACGTAGTTCCACTTCATCTTTCGAACAAGATCCGCCATCACTTTTGCTTGTAACATATCATTAGGCACAGTTCTCAAGAAGTAACCAAATCGTACCTTATTACTCAGCAAACTACTTGTCGATGCGTAGCTCACCATAGGCACGTAAAACAATCCACAGAGATTTGTAACCGCCATTGATACTCCACTGTAAGCTGCACCGACCACAGCGATGGTTTGAAACTTTTCCTTTTCATAACTTGGGCTGCACTGATCCTTAGCATGAGCGTTGCGAATAAACGAGAAATTCAGTGATTCTCGAACGGCGTAATCAGCGCTGCCACAAGTATCCTTTATGTCCATGCCAATGGTTATATTTGGTAGCACCACATCCTTAAGTGGCCCTTCATTTAGCATGTCCATTGTAAAAAGCATCGCTTCCACCGCTTCAAAACCTCTAGTGTTGAGTCTTCCTTGGCAAGTAAAAGAATTCGGGTTCTGTTGTTCTTCGGCCTCCGTGGGCGAAAAGTGAACGGGCGATAAACCACCGATCACGAAATCTCCTTTAGTGAAGGCATAGCTAAGGCTCTCAGTTTTTTCTTTTGTGTTTTGAGCGAAGATAAGCCGACAAAGCCAACAAAAAAGGCATACAGTCATCAGCACGTTCAATTTTTTCTTCATTGTAGGCGCCTCACGAGATGAAATGAAATGAAATTTGTTCCTAAGACACCATCTTATCCAGTTTGGTTGACAATCATCCAGCTCGGTTTTGAATGTTGAAACAGAGGAACTCAGGCCCTGAAAACTAAAACAAAAATATGGAAATGCAATAAACTGGAGATACAGATGTCATACCCTGCTCAAAAGGCTCTCATAAACAACGACAGAAAGGTTATTAGAGAAGCTAAGCAGAGATTGGTTACAGGACAATAGGGGGCTTCAACATTTCAAAAAAAGACCATTCTTAGCAATTCCCACAGGAAACTACCATCCAATTCGACGACATACTTCGAAGTTTTAAACTGAACCAAAGATACTAATGCTACTAGGTTGTAAACAAAAAAGAAATCTTTTCGTAAATTGGCTAAAAGAAAGCTAGGCGCGCATCTTCGACTAAGAAAGAAAAGTCGATCGAGTTTTAGCCGATTGAGAGACAATTGAAATTAGCTGACAAGCTTCTCTTAAGAGGCTTTGTTTGACCGATTTGTATTGCAGGCAATTTTGTATTATTTTCTCTTATTGTGTTGTTCGTTTGCGATTATAATTAACGGGAGTAACTGATATGATTACTATACAGAAGTTTCTCTCAGAAGTGAAAACTGTTGTCTTGAGTACAAAGCTCTAAAATAGTGAATACGTGAGCTTGATGTTTTGGAACAAAAGTTATCTTCTACCTTAAGTGGGATTCTTGGTTGCTTTGGTGCTTCACTAGGGGCTAAAAAAATAGCATAATCTGGGATCAGAAGATCTTTATCAGCTTTATCTTCCAATCTTGACACAAGGTAAAATTGACTTTACGGATTTAGTCATCGAAGGTTCATCACAGAAGTACTACGAAGCATTTTCTCCTCATCTATAAAAATCCAAATCCGCACAATTTGGCAGACTCGATGCATTTTGACAATGCCTAAGCCATTAAGAGTACTGTGGTACGTGACAACATAAAGTTGAATTCTTTTTTGTCTTTTTGCATTATTACGCAAGGAAATTAGCCACTTCTATTTTTGTTTATAAGAATTTGCGGATTAAAATAACTTTTAAGGAGCCTGTGCAGCATCACAGTTGCTGTGACAACGAGTCACATTGCACAATTGCCGTGTAACGCGACTAAAATTGGTCTCAAAACTGAAAGAATATTCCTCATGCTCATGTTTTGTTGGAGCTTTTATTACAATTATACAAGAGAGCCGTGTGGTCGTTTGTCAACATCAAATGGGGCTAAAGGCGTAACAATTGTTTAAGTTTCGTCTAACATAAGCAATTTGTCGCACGACTGTTGGCTGAATGTTTTAACCTATTTATATTCACTCCAACCCACGTTTAACATTTTTCACCGGCGCAACTTTCAACAGTGTTCAAGCGCTTCCAAAGCAGACTTCTTCAAACATTATGGCACACTAAGGTTACACTGCACAAGGTTGCACTCGGCTGAGAGCCATGAAGCGTGCATTGGATGAAACCATGATGTCGTTTCTATTGCTTCGAAAAAATCCAGGCATTTATATATTGTCCACAGGACGACTGCGAAAAAGTACGAGGTTGTTGTTCAACTTATATTAATGAGCACAGAGCCAAAATGTGGTGTTACGGAGCACCAAGAGCCAGCACTCTTCCACACTTGTGTTTGACTGATATACAAAAACACCATTTCGAGTCCGCTTCGATTAGAGACTAAAACTATCGAGTCGTTTTGGTTCCTAATCTTAGCAGAAAATACGTGGCAATTTTAACGGTGCTATCTTGACTCGACATTAAAAACAACGAGTGCAGGCGAAAAGTGGGTCTCACGAAACATCACTCCCGAGTCGTCAATTAACATGGAGATCTTAAGTATTAGTTAATCATTTCCTTCCGTTATCTTATCGTGATGTATTGATAACTGTTAAGTGCGCTCTAAGTTCAACGAATTTTAAAACGACGAGTGATCTGGAATAATGATATTAGAAAGAGAGGAAAAAATATATATATATATACATATATGTATATATATATACATGTATATATATATACATAAAGTATTTCTATAGCGCACAACTCCAATAACTTGTTCATGGTTCTCCGCAAGAGACGAATGCAAGAAATACATAAACATTTGTTAAAAAAACTTTTTAAAAGGAGCAGTCTTCAAAACTTGCTTTTTGAAATGTCAGCAGACGAATTACTGCAAATCGAAAGCGGCACAGAATTTCACATTCCGTGAAAGATCGATCGCCATGAACTCGTATCTTCGAGGATGGTTCAAAAGGGCATTGTTGCTAAAAGATCGTGAAGAATTCTAGCTCTCGCAACAGATAAGCTTTAAACTTTCACGAAAAGACAGATCTGTAAAGAAAAATAAGAATCTTACCTAGCCAGCTTGTGTTGCATACAGGAATCTCCATTTTCCAGGTGTGATTTGGAAAAATAAGAGAGGCTGAAATTTGGTAGAACAGGAAAATTACGAAACACCTTTCGTGCCTTGGAAGCGACATGACCTTAATCTCTTAATTATCGGAAGACAATAACTTTTATGACTGATTAAACTGTTTTGTTCTCTATTCAATATGGACTCACTTGTATGATAATTACATATCTCGCCAAATCATTTAATCAAGCGTCTGTTTACCAAAATTTGCTGCATGAGAAATTTGCATGTTTCTCATTTTATTACAAACTGAGATTAAAATATTTAAATATACTGTTTTTTTTGTTTAGAAATGTCATATCGATTTGTAAATGATTGTTCAAAAAGTGACTGAAACTCGTGGTCGGTGCAGTCCTAGAGAACTTTTACTACTTGCTGTCAGACATTTCGCAATTTCCTTTAATCGGTGATAATCCGTACTTTTCAATATTTAATGCTAAGTATTTCGCCATAGTTGTTAGCCGTGAATATCATATGCGGACCTGGAGGCAAGGCATAATTCAGTGCAAGCTACAACAACAATATAAAAAGAAAAAAAAAAGCTATTCACACACGCACAGAAAAGCCGTTCTGCTTCATAAATTTCAAGAGCAGGTTTTTACACTGGGATATCGCTTCCTACTATTTCAAGCTCTTGTCCAGTCCCTCCCCTTCTACGCGCTTCATTCATCTCTAACCTTAACTTCAGTTACAATTGTCTCATTATCACACAATAATGAAAATGAAGAGTAATTGACCGCTCTAAATAACTTTGATTAGTTAAGAAAAAGGGCCACGTTGCAGGTAAATTTTGTAATTTTGCAGTTAATAGTCGGTATTTAAAACAAAGAGCTTACAATGTATGTATATAAGTACGCTCAATAAAACTGAGGTAAACGAAGTTTAGCCAAAACAACTGAAGACTGAGTACGTGCTGCTACTAACAATGAACTTCAAGAGTCTTTCTGTCATTGCTTAAATCTCAACTCACCTGCGAATCATTACGTTACTTTAACTAATAACTGTTGGTACTAAGATAGTGCTTTAAATTTGCGCTAAAGAGGATATCTTTATTTATTGAATTCCAAATCACAGGGCCTTGGAAAAGGATACTAAATTTACCATTATTAGTTCTTATCTTTCGAAGGTTATGATAGGTCCGTTCAACGACATGTCTTGAGTTATGACCATAAATAAGCCCACTTTTAAAGAAGAAGGTACTTCGAGCAAACACTTTGATTGAAAAAAATTTACGCCTTTCCTAAGCTGATGCATGTTATAACGATAGAGAGAGGCAAAGGAAACGGGTAAACCCTCAGCTGAACGACCAAGAACAAAATTTCTCTCGAGTTTTAGAGCAATTTCAAACATATAATATCACAATTTTCTTAATATAAATCTATACCTTAACTACTGAAACACTGAGAGACCATGAATGATTCTCTCATGGGTGAAATCAAGAGAATATTCATTGATATTTACTGAATATCTGTCAGCAGTCGTGAGCAAGATGAGGGGAACCCTTTGTTCTGGTTGGCTACCTGTAAGGGCAAGATGAGCCATCCTGCCAGCTCGCTCAATAACGCAAATATACTTCCCCCTTACATACCTCTTACCTAAAAAGGGTCCAGTTCTCCTTTTCAGGCAGAAAACCGCCCCTCCTCCTTCCTGGGGTCCTCTCTTTTGCTTCCTCGGAAGCCTAGTATAGTTTTTCAGTATCTACAGGTTATTTTGCGAGTTAACTCTGATTAGCTAGTTCACATTACCATTGTTTGAGGAAAGGGGGGGGGGAGGGGGGCGGCGGCGGCGAATGTATTACAGTTTGATCTGTTCCTATCCACGTTCTTTCATTATACTTCTTAGCCGGTAACTTTTCATTTCATCAAGAGAGGGGGGGGGGGGACAAAATATTTTTGGTGAGAATCACATGGTTTTCAGGGGGGACGGAGTGAGGATCAGTCGTCGCTAACAGAGTATAGAGAATAATCTTTGAATTAAAATTCAAGCAATGTTTATCACCCATTGTCAATGTTAGTAGTTTTTCGAGCAAGGGGCATCTTTTATCATTTTTTTTTATAATTATACACCTTTTCTGTGGAATCTATATTAAGTGGTCAACCCGCCATCCCCTGACTGTATCGTCGTTTAAAGATTCGTTAATCCTGAATTTGTCTGCATCTCAGGTAAATTAAGGCCTGGGTGATTAATGACTTTCTAATGACCAACAACACATAATTTTCACGCAGGCTTCGAAAACTAATTTTTAAAATCTCTCCGGGCTTGCCATGACCCGGACGAACTCTAAGACCGTCCGCAATCCGGGCGGCAAACATTTTCATCGTTACGTATTTAATAAAGCTGTGGGACAAACATTGTAATCTTACCTCGACTTAAAAGCAGACTTAAAAGATGTTTCGTTAAACTTGTTTCCTCGAAGTATTTAAGCTTACAAATTTTGACTGAGCTTTACAAGCCCATTTTTCAGGGCTTTCGACCCTTAGAATAGCAGGTTTTTTAATTATATGGAAGGAAGAAAGCAATTACGGAGATGGATTCATCGCTTCGCACACGCGAAGTACGCGTTGGTTTCTTTATTATCTTCCTCAAATTACAAACTTCACGCGCGTGTCGTGGGGCTGCTAAAAACCACGCTGGGGGTCCCAGCTGACCACTGACCCAGGCCTTAATTTACCTGAGATGTTGGATGGTTAGTGTTCTTACGTTTGTGTTTTTGTGTCTCCTACACTACATGGCCATGCGCTTGGTGACTTTTCATATATTCTTAAAAAGAAGTGAAGAATGATGTGAACTGATAAACATTCCCGCGAGCGGATTTTTAACTATAACTTTCCGAACGGTTTCGAAGGCGTAACGTTGATGATACGTGGTTCCTGATTGGACGTATCGTTTTCCTCACACGCGAAAAGTGTGATACGCACCATTTGATTGGCTCTCGGCTTTTTCCACCGCTTGTGAATGGAAATTTATTTTGCTCCTTTTCAGTGTATAAATTTCAGTGTGTATATAATGAACAAGATTGCGAAATTGGAAGAATCTCTTGCACTTACGCACAACTTTAACTTATCCACGCGTCAAGTCTTCCTAAAAGGGCAGCAGGATTACATAATAAAATCTCCTTCAATCGACCAATTCAGCTGGTCTGATGGTTTTTTTTCTCAGAAAGAACCAGTAAATAAGACGAATTAAAGCATTCTCTGACGAAAAAAAATCGGAAATAGATATATTATTTTTAATAAGCGCATGTTTTTCTTTGTCTCCGTAATTTTAGATCCACACACACTCATACATAAAATTTATTTCTTCTCGAATGCTAGATTAGCTATGTAAAATTAGCTAATATCTTCGAGAAATAAAAAAGTTAACAACAACAAAATAATGTCAAAAATGTATCATTTAAGATTTGTTACTATGATTTTAACAAATTTTTTGCTAGGCCAACGTATCAACGAGCGGTTACCTCATCAGAAAATCTTCATCATCATTGTCTAGCATTTTATTTCTGATTTTTTAGTATAACATGCAAGATTTCGTGCGCTCATATTGGGACTATGATTTGTGCAATCTTGACGATGAATTGTTTATTTACTGATAAATTATCTTACCTGGTTTTAGGTGGGAACCAAACTCGGTGCCGTGTGAAATTTTCCCAAACTCAGACTGACAAAATTATAAATGTCAGAGCCCTATACAAAACGCTGTACTCCTTTTGGTAAATAAGATTCACAATTTGCCAAAGTATGACGTACTGAGAGAACACTATGACGTCTGAAGAACCACTTAACCAATTGCAAACCAAGCGAGTCAACAAGAGTCGATTTTCCTAATTTGTATTGACCAAAATCAAGCAACTAAAAATAAATAAATGAATAAACGATAGCGAATTTAAAGCGAATGTCTAACTAGATTTCTCATCTTGCGTCATTGTTTCAAATTGTAAATCAAATTTCAAATGTTATACAAGCCTGTGATAATAAAGCACAGCAGTATGTCCTGTTAACGTTGAACCGTCCTGCATATGAGGGACAAGTCATAATTTTGTTGCCTTTGGGGGGGACTGAGGATATTAGTTACCTGGCCCCCCCTCTTAGGCTCTGAAATATTTTTATGCCCCCCCCTTCCCCCCCCCTTCCCCTTCCCTCCCTCCCCTTGCAGTAATTAACAGTCAATTTTCAATAGTTCCCCTATTATTTTCGGTTGGCGACGACTAATGCCTGTTCCTTACCCCCTCAAAACCACATGATTTCATGCACCTTTATCTCCTCTCCCGGCCTCAATTACATAATGGCGTTTCTTGACTCGGAAGGGTCTTTCTATGTTTCAGCCAGCCACTCACTCCCCTTCCCGGAGGTTAACTAATCCGTTGCATAAGCGTTGAAGGATATTGAAGAAATCTGCACTGATCGTTTAGTTATTGGAAACACTGACGAGATCTCGGTTCAGTCTGCCCATTTATTCTGGTTATTCTATGGTGTTAATTGGCATTTTTGCGGCTAAATTATGCTAGCTAAGAACGGATTTATTTTGAGGCCAAAAGTAAAGTGAGCCTAGCAGGCTCCTTTTGGTAATGACAGAAAAAAAAAGGGCCAGGTTTGAGTAAAATGAACATTTGCGAATAGTCGACGCCTGACATGCTTAAAAATAATTCTTCGTTATCTTTGTTCCAAACCGCAGATAAATTTTATTGTTTTCCTCGTTTGAGAAAAGCGGAAGCCACCATGAAACAACCAGCTGATCCTTTAAAGGTAATATGTTTTAAAGTTTTTGTTTAGGAACGACAAGCAGCTTTTAATCGTTCAGTCGACCATGACAGAAAATCATGTGTTATCTCTTCCCAAATCACCTCAGGTACACTTTCGTTGGTTTTGAGAAAACTATCTTCACGCGGATCGCGATTATTTCTGACTGTTCATAATTGGGGAAGCAGACGGTATCCGGTGAGTGATTTTTTAAATATTAGAGTCTATTTACTCCTTAATTTTGGATGATAAAGTTTGTTTTTAACGAAAATACACCAACGAATTAAACGTTCCGAGAAAAATCAAGAAAACATCTTACTTTACCTTAAAACGTTTGAATAGTAATTATAAATTGACCAAGATCTAAATTTAACTACATTAGCGGTTATTGGTTTGGTAAGGGATAATACAAAAACGACTGATATCGTAATCACTGGAAATCTGGAATCTTTACTGGAAACAGCTGAAATTCTGCTCCTTTTAAAGAATTGGATGCTTTTCTCTCTTTTTTTAAATTTTTTTTTGGCAGAGTCAAATGGGTTGTGGCTTTCGATAGACCATCTAAGGCTCAAGAAATCTTACTTCAGATAGAGTGTGTTACATCTTTTCTCGAATTTTTTAGGTGGTGTAATTTGCGTCTCAAATCAGCGATTTAGTTTACAGTTACAGGACTGATGTGAAAAATTATTCTTACGGTTACTAAAACGGTAACCTCGATCTTCGTGGAAACAAGTTCATTTTGATGGCAGAAACAAAATTTTGTTTGGATAGTCTTACCTTCAAAGTCAAGATATTCCCGCGTGCGTATGTCCCCACGAAACTAACCTTTTCGGTATCCAACGCCAAGCAGAATTTAACCGGCAGCTTAGCTTGGATCGAACATGACAGGCGCACTTTGTTTAAGACTAATTTGACATAATTGCTGCATCTGGTTGCTTTCTCTTCAAAACAATAGACTCGGAGGGCAGGTTAGAACCCTATTAAGTGGTCAATTCATGAATAAATTAGCTTGGTGCCCTTGTTGTGATGAATTTTTGTACCATTTTCAAAGCGATTTTTTTTTCTTTGTGGGCTCCGTTACTATAAACCACTCCTTACAACCATGAAAGTGACTTTTTCCCAAAAACTATACTAGCCTACTCCACTTTTATGATATGTTTCAAAATTTCCAAGTGTAGATTGTCTGGTTGCCACAGGCAACCGTCTTTTATTGACGCTGTTATCCGGAATGAATTCAAAAGGGAAGCGAAAAACATATCACTTTGTAACTAGAACAAAAATATGGAATTAATTTGAAGTAAATGAATTTAATTGGAACGTGAGATATGTGCAAAACCAGGCGTTAATGACGACTTGAGGCACATCTTTTTTGAAAGGTAATTGGCTGAAAATATAAGCAAAAACAAGATAAAACCTTTAAACTCAGTGAACCCAACTTGTGACCGCGTGAAAACTGGGCAAAAAGAACGCCAGTTGACTACGTGAGGGATTGGGAACGAATTTAATTAGTGACCAATCAGACCTTAAAACCGGGATATTTGAAAGTGTACCCAACATGGCTGACGATCTAAAATCATTCGACCCCGGAGTGGAGAATAGTTGCAACAAAAACCAGAGTGCTGTACGACAAGAAGGTAAGACAAAAAACAGTTTAACCTTAGAGCTATCCTACAAGTCGTAATTCAAGGTTTGATTTGTTCATTTTTAGCCTCTAGTTCTACGGAATATCCATGGCAAACAGAGTTGCAGATAACTCATGACCGCAGGAAAATTAACGACATTCTAGAGCGCAGAGGTGCAGAGATTCGAAATTTCTACGAGCAGAGCCAGAATTCAGGTACTGCCTGTTCAACTGACGAGTTATTTCAAGATCGTGTTAGTTTTCTCTAGTTTAAATCCCTATTATTAAATGTAAATACTTTTCAACGGCTGTTTCAATGGAATCACAGCTTCATAAACTTGGTCCTTCTTAGAGAAAGATGTTTTTAAGTCTTGTCACGAGCGTGAGGCAAAGAAAAATTCTGAGACCCCATGAGGAATCGAACCTCAGATCTTCGGATTCCGCGCTCCGATGCTCTACCGCTGAGCCACAGAGACTCCACGGTGAAAGAGGCTTATTAAGAAGTTCATATGACACGCTTCCTGCTTGCTGCTAGGATCAACAATGTCGATCCCGTAATGTTTGGTCCTTCTTATGTATCAGGGCCTGGTTGTTTATAGAGCGGACAATGATATCCAATGGGAAATGGCTATCTTAACAGAAAGTACTGCGCTATCCACTGGAGGGTGTTATCTTTTTCATGATGCGAATGACAAAGATGTCGAGGGAGCCCCAAAACACCATAGCTTGAAATTTTGTTTATTCTGTAACTCCTTAGAGTGATAAACATCTAATTTCTCCCAAAAGTTTCACCCCTGAATCAACCATTTAGGTCATGAGAATAAAGGAAATGATCACAGCCTAAAGAAGCTCTTGATTGTTAGACAAATTCTCCCTATAAGTACCATTTTAGAAATGTATATAGAAAATAGTATGGAGAATTTGCGTACTGACGTTAGGGTTTAAGGGTTAATCTCTGTTTTGTTTGTTTGTTTATCTTTTCACAGTAGATGACTGCCACCTCCTTGAGAGAGAATGGTTGGCCTTGGTAACAGAAAAAGATAAGAACCTTTGCAAACAAATTGAAGAGGTAAATGATGTGCTTTGGAAACCAAATTCGTCTTGTAATTCCCCTCTCCCACACCACACTACACCATAGTTTTTTGAAGAACCTTACCCCTGTTATTCAGTACTTTTCATACTCTGCTTCTAGATATACTTATAAGTATCAGCCCTCGCAGTTAATTTATTACCAGTATAACATTTTGCCAAGATTCGGAAAGAATTAATCATCTTTTTTTATTTGTTATTTCACATTTCTTTTGAATTAGGAGAATGAACAGGCTAAGAGAAATCAAATCAAGCAACTTCATCAGGTTCTTGAATCTCTTGGAACATTTAACTTCAACAAACCAAATGAAGCCATTTTAAAGCGAAATCTGGCGAAGATGTACCATCAAATTGGCAAATACTGCAGCAGGAATAAGATAGATGTAACCATGAAAGACAGCAGTAATACTATTACGTCCTCAGACAGTCCCGATGAAAATATTCTTGTTGCCCCCCCTGCACCTCCACCCCCACCCCCTCCAATACTGATACCCCCTCCTCCTCCACCACCACCTCTGACCCCCCTTACAAGTATCAATGCTACACCACAAAATGATACTAAAAACCTTTCAAGGAAGAGAGGTGCCTTGACTGCAAGAAATATCTCAACAACCCCATGTGATCGAAGAAATGAAGAACTTCTTAAAAAGATAAGGGGTGGCTGTAGATCAGAGCTACGACGAACATCATTTAAGCGTTCCCCTGGCGGTACACCATTTAAAAGGCAGCGGCGTGTTTCTGATAGCAATGCCTCTGATTTGATAACTGTGGCTTTGAAGAAAAAATTTCAAAATGTAACTTTCCAAAGCCCCAGAGAAAATGACTCTCCCAGATCTTTCACATCCTTTGAGGACTTGCAACAAAATTAATGTGTTAAAAAAAAAAAAAAAAGTTTTTTAATGTGAAAGCTGAGAGGAAACATTTTATTACAATCACCATATAGGGTTGATGTGATGCATACAAAATACTGCACAAAAATTTGTATTGAATCATCAGTTAAATGTTTAGATAGTTTATTTTTAATAATTTTTATAAACTTCATCATTTGTTTGTTTTTGTGAATACTTATGACATCATGTGCTTCTCACTCCTCCTATTCTTGAGATGGATGTGTCCTTGTTTATCCCTTTAACTCCCATGGGTGACCAAGACAGAATTTTTCCTTATAATATCAATACAATATCAACCGGATAAGTGATGAGAATAAAGAGAAATATCAGTAGGGGGATTATTAGTTGATTCAATACCAAATTCTCCAAACTAACATCATATGAATGATATTGCAGACAGAAAGGAGAATTAATGATGAGATCTTGGGAATAAAAGGGTTAAAAATTAAAAGGCATTTATTTTTCAGGACTTGAGCAGGAAATTAACAAATCTGTCATCTCTTGTGATCACAAGTTTGATCCTTTTGTTTTAATTCTTTCTCTATGGATTCTATCAATGAACTGGTGGTAGCTTTCAGAATTTGTTTCCTGTTAGATACAAAATGATAAAAAATATAAATTAATATGATTTAACTGAGGCAACTTCTGCATTCACTGATTCCAAGGTGAAACTGAAGTTGTCACAATGTCAAAAGAAAAAATAAAATCTGTAGATTAAATGGTGGAGCAAAGACAGCCATTCCTTACTTGAACAGAACAAAGCAGATAAAATTTATTGTGGATTAAATTAGAGTGAAAATATAACATTACATACTGCTCTTCCTTTTCAAAATTGCATTCCTCAAGTTGCTTTCTGTTCAGTTTATATTCCTCTGGTAGAATTGCATTTCCAGCCTGTGCAAGTATTCCAAGAGGCAAACTAAAGGTTTAGAAAGTTGAAGAGTATGAATTAGATTTATTCAGTACTGTTATAAAACCATAGTCAAAGTAAAACAGTACACTGGAAAGTTAGTACAAACTTAGGTAGTTAATGAAACCAATTTTTGATTCACTTTAGAAAGATGCATCAGCAACAACTTAAATGACCCACAGTTTTTGTCAAGGCTAGAATAATAAAATTACTGTTGTAAATATTATTTTCTAATTGAATGTATCATGTTGAGTTATACATACATACATACATTTTATTACTTGGATTTGTATTCACAAGATTTTGTGTGCCCACAGTTAGCTTGAGTGCTATTCTTGGTGGGTTGCATGTTAGACATAAAACTAGTACATAAGCATTAACAAGTTACTTACAATCTAATAATATTGATCCTTGGACAAATCTACTTTTACAGAATAAATAAATTCACAGTATTATATGGGGATTAAAAGTAAAAATTCACCTAAGCCTAACTAAAGATATTGCATGTTGACAGCTACAAAAAACATGCTAGAATTAGTTAAAACATTTCAGAAAAGCTTGACCTTTTGAATGATTTGCCGAGTGTAAATATAAAAGTCTTCTAAAGAGAGAATGTCAAAGAGCTTTTTTTTTTATTAAAAAGTCAGTTCACTTTCTTTTCTATAAAACTTGCCTTACCTTAAACCACCACCAAGTGCTGCCCCAACAGCCATTTTACGCCACCCAGAAAATATGTTATACAAAACACCAGTTGAAGCTGTTATGTTCAAAGCAAAATGTTGTGGTAAATTAAATTAACCTGATAAATAATCTATTTTTAAAGTGATAAATTTTCATAATAGAATTAAGACTTTTTATTCTGAGCAAAGGAGTTTTACCAACTAAGTATTCTGAAGTTATCGATTAAGTTGATCTCAACCTCTAAATTTACCTCCACTGGCCATGAAATTCAGTGCATCATATCTGTTTCGATAAGCCTCTAGTGCAACCACAAGAAAGCTAAATTAAAATGTAAAAGAAAATTCATTTTCACTAAATCTGAAACATTTTATCCTTTTCAAATATTGGAATGGAACTATCCATTATTGACCACCTTGTTATTTTCAGTTTTTTAAGCTTTTCATCTGTCTAGGGAGAGGTTGAGTGTAAGGTGACTCACTAATCAGTTCAAGAAGATTGAAATAGGTAAAATAAGATCAACATTATTCCTTATTTTCTTTAACCCTTTTATAGGGTTAATAACCTAATTAATTTAACCCCATAATACCTATATGTTTTCCAATAGATGGTTGATGAGAATGCTCAAACTTACAGGTAGAGGTAGTTATTTTAATCTCACACCAAGTTCTCATTACAAATTTACAAAGAATTGTATAGCAGCTCCAGGGGAGAATTAACAATCAGATCTCGGGAGTTTAAGGGTTAACATCCACCTAGAAATTTCTCTAAGACTTGAGAAAATATCAACAGAAAGGTCAAGTCTCCCAGTGAACCTATGCCTTTGGAACTTATCCCAGTTACTACAGCATGAAGTGCCAGAGAGTGCTTTACTCCCCCTTGCAGTATACTGTCAAGCTTCCCTGACAGTTAGCCCTTATCCCTTCATTTTCCTAGGTGGGGAGAAAAGCATCCTCAAAATATTTACCCAACACAATGACCTTGCTAAGTCTAAAACCTGAACATCTCAACCAAGCATCCAGTACACTAACCTTAACCCTTCAACTCCCATGAGTGACCAAGACAGAATTTCTCCTTACAATATCAATACAATATCAAGCAGACAAGTTTTGAGAACAACGAAAAATCTCAATTAAGGAATTATAAGTTGATCAAATCCCAAATTCTCCAAACTAATTTCACAAGAGCTGTTTGGCAGATGGTAAGGAGAATTACCAATGAGATCTTGGGAGTTAAAGGGTTAAGGTCACCACTCACCTATAAACACCAGCAAAGGCACCAGCTCTCCATCCCCAACGCCAACCATACTTGACAAATCCCACAACAATGGATGCATGATAGCGACGCTGTGCATGCATCGCAGATTCATACACAGTCAGCTGGTTGTGTCGCCGAAAGTTATCATCTACAATACGATAACCAAACCGACCACCAAAGACAAAGGCAAAAACAGTCGTAGTAAGCATGACTGTTCTTATTTGTTCCATCTCTGGACAAAGTCCGTCTTCATAGCCTCTGTTGAGGAAAAAATGTTGTGCATGACTCTCCCGGCTGTCTATACATTGTGCACGTTGAGGAAATGTCATAAACCCTTAAACTCCCGTGAGTGACCAAGACAGAATTTCTCCTTACAATATCAATACAATATCAAGCAGAAAAGTGATGAGAATAAAGAAAAATATCAGTAAGGGAATTATTAGTTGATCTAATACCAAATTCTCAGAAGTAATATTATAAAAATTGTATATGGCAGATAGAAATGCAAATTATCAATCAGATCTTAGGAGTTTAAAGGTTAACAGAATTATTCATCTCAGAGTAAGTATTTCTCAAAATGTACCTGTGTACTATTGATCTAAGGTATTCATTAGTGATAATCATATGGATATCAACACTTTGTGGCAATTTTATTGCAAAGGCTTATTGTTATATGTAAAATACAGCCCTACCTTGACTTAAAAAATGCTTTCATGAATCTATGCCATCTTTCCTTATCAAAATGCTCATCACTCTGTCTAAAGAACAAAACATAACAAAATCATTTTGTTTTAGAATTGTTAACAAAACAATTTTGTGTTTTCAGCACATAATTCTTGATAAAATTATTGAGATCCTATGTGTGCTATGAGTTGTCAGAAACCTACATAACACTTTATTATATCGGGAAACCCGTAACTAGTTTAGAAAAGCAGTAGACCCCACGGTCCATTGTTTCACCTCATGGCATCTTTCTGCATCCAGCAGAATGATATCCAAGAAATATTGTAGCAATGGAATGAGCTTTTAAAACAAACTCTTGCATTTGAATGTTCTGCTCATTCCTTTTTATTCCTTTTCACTGTCTATGTTGTCATGGGGGGAAGGGGAAGGAGGCACAGCACAAACAACTACACCCACCTTACATCAAATAATGCTCTTACTCTCTGCCAGCCAGTTTCCTCTTCAGATTCACCATTCTGTGTAAGTGTATCCCTAAATAAATTCAAAACAGTAATTCCAAATTTATTCATTAACTATCTAACAAAGTTATTTGTATTTGAATCCTTAACCTGCCATTTCTTCTCTGTCAGAGTGGTAAGAGTTTTATCCCCAGCATTCCAGGACCTCCTTCAAAGGATCCATAAAACAGGTTACATATTTGAAAGCACCCAAGTATTTGATCAGCCAGTGTAAGAATAGCTATAGGAATTTTATAATTTAGTTAAAGGGTAGAAATGGTGAATGGGGAAAATGGGATGAAACTCTCCTGATTCTGTTCACTCCTCTGCCATTACTCCCACTCAGGGGTACTTTCCCTGCCCTTCGGTATGAAAAAACTGCAGATTTATGATCAACAAATGACTATGCATTTTTGCTCTTCTCTCTGTCTTTCCATCATTAAAAACTCTCTACTTCCTTCCCTTTACTCTCATTCCTCTCGTACCCTCACTGCCCCTCATTCTCCTGGACTCTCCTTCTTCCATTCTCCCTCGCCCTATAAGGAGTACTTCGTCAACCCTAATCAATTTTCCAACATCCTGGAGGGAAATTTAACCAATACCAATTTTGCCAAAAAGCTTGGGTGAAACGTACCAACAAGAAAGTAAAACACTTAGAAATTCACCAGCAGTAGAATTACAAAGTGTTCCAATTAAATCAAGGAAGTCAAGCTTTCATGAAATAACGCAGTCTTCCAGAAAATACACTGCTAGTGTGTTTGTTCGGTGCAAGAGAGTAAAGTAGATCTTGTGTTGAGAATATTTTTTTTTTTTTTTACATTTTTCAAACCTTTCTTTGTAGAAGGATTCCTTTAACCTCTCCCAGAATGTACGTTTTGAAAAATCTTCGTCACCTCTTGCAGACATCTTGCACCATGAATATTGTTCTCACGAGTTTTTGTGGTCAGGAAATGTACAGGGTAATTTTAAATCATTCTCCACTATTTATCGTGGAATCAGGCGAAAAAGAAACAATTCGACAGCGTATTATAATTAACTATACCTAAGTAGTCATTGCAAGTTGATCAATGGCAAAGTGTTCAATTGTTTAGCTTCAAAATGTGTTCTTGGACGAATTGAAGGATTCAGGAAGCCATCTTGGCCGAGAAATGTGGGGAACTGATGCTGAGCCTAATCCCTAGAGCCAGTCCCTGAGTGGTTCTGAATATTGCTCAAACTTCAAATGAGGTGAAATAAATTCACCATCTAAAGAAGTAACAGTTGCATAACAGCAAGCGATTTTCCGAATTCAACCGACCAACCGGATGAGCTTGCGCGTATCATTCATCCTTCTAGCGTTTCCTCCCTATCTAGCTTGCAAACGGAGAGATAATTCAAATAATGACTAAAATAATTTTCTGCCGTTCCGGTACAGGTATTACAGGAACTTCTGTGGGTACCCCACAGCCTCCAGAAAATTACCGCTGACAAGAAGCCAAAATGACCCTGGGTTCGAAATTGTGCTCTTCGTTATACAATATTTAATTTTGTGGTAATTAAATTGCGTAAATTTGGTGTCACCATCTCGTTCGAATTGGCTAAAAAGTATAAATTTATATATATTTGTATGCAGGACATGTTTTCGATAAATTTTCCAAAAAGTTTTGACCACCAATGTAGATAAAAACGGGATTTCCACTTCAGTTAAAAGTGTTTCACCACCCATGCAAATTAACAAGTTAAGAAAGTAGAGAACATGTGTGGCAAATAGTCAAATACCCTGCCAAAATATTTATTTGGTTTTATTTCATTTCCATGAATGAACATCTTCACAGTTTTTACGACAGTGTGGAATGATACGTTAATAGTGATAATAGTAATAAATCCTAGAAAATTCTATCTAAATTTAATCCTGATAGGAGATACATGACCCGAGCAAGGACATAACGCGAAAACGGGCAAAAAAAACTTTAAGCGGGGTGGGGGAAGGACCTGCCTTCGCCTAACATACGCTTAGCTCACGAAAAAAAAAGACTACTACGCAAACAAAATGGAGAAGACAAAATTTTTTTGGGGATTGCCCTGGAAATAAGTTAATTACGAAGCTCCTTGAGACGGTATGGTTTATCCATATATATAAATAGCAAAGAAAAGCTGCAATAGATACTTTCAGTGTTAAACTGACAAAAAAAAAGAGATGTTACATCTACACGAGACACATGCTTGGCATCTTTAGGACCTAAAGTAATATGCTGTCTTCCTTTCACAAAAGGACAAATGAAACGGAAGGTTTATTTGCGTCAATAGCCGTAGAAACCATAAGTATTTTATCCACACTATGGAAAACTCTCTGAGTTGATACCATTTTTTTTTCCAGGCAACCGAGTGTCTCGAATCTCCTTCCCAGTAGCTCTTTGGGGTGTCACGCAACACGCATCTTGACAGAAGCTTCTTTTGGGAAGTGTTGCGTAACATCTCGAAGAATGAATGCAAACAAGACTACGTAGTTTTCCTATTGAATACTGTATGATTCGTGGCGTTTACATTTAGTTTATAGCGCCGCTGACAATAAAAATTGGGAGCAGTTTCCCACGCCACGTGCGTAGTTTGAGCGTTACTTACAGGATTTTTTTTGCTGTTTTTTACCGTGTTAGTTTTGGCGAAGGAATTTAGGCTGTGTTAGAAGCAATAACTTCGAATCGTCGCCGGATAGACCCTTATTTGTTATTCGTTTTTATTATCCTGTACAAGAATACAAGGAATCAGACGCATAGAAGTTGTTGTGTCTTATTTATTCTGCCAAGCGTAGCTGGCCCCTACAAATACTATAAAGTTTTACCTGTGGTACGATTCTTTAGTTTACAAATACTACAACGCTGGACGTCAATTTCATGTCAAGCGTGGTAAATTACGTGAAAAATAAATGGTGTACCCAAAGATTTATTTTAAAACTATGTGAGGCAGCTCTATGTGAGGCAGCTCTACAAAATACTGCAGCCACAGCAGCATTGTTGGGGGTAGTCTGGAGAATATACCTTGTGATCATGACCGTAGACCCAGAAGCGGCTTGATTGCTCCTTCCATTGGTAGGCAACCTCGGACACGGGTACTGCTCGCAGCTGTTGACGCTGAAGACAAAGACATATTCATAGCTAGTTAGTGGGGCGCGTATGTTTGGCATTAGGGAGGAAACAGGTGGACAAACCACGCAGAGTGGACGGCAGCAAGAATCTCCTCTGTCAAAGCGTCGTTTTAAATAGAACTTGTGAGCGTATCCAACAAATTACCATGAAAGTCACTCAGCAATAGGATCGTTGACACACTATCATCGAAATCGCAGTCTTCTAAATAGCATACCATACCTACTTTCGATTTAATTTGCTGAGACGCGTTTTTACTTGTCTACCCAAAGATGGGAAATTAGAGTTATTAAAGTGGTAAGGTATAGCTATTCATATGAAAGACCTATCTACCTGCATAAGAATGCTCGTGGCTGGCCACTTGTTGCTGTGTTCGTCTACAAGCCTCTTCGAGCCCACGTTCACTTGCTGGTCAAAAAAGCTCGTGATTGGCCAAACCTTAACGGGGATCAAAGAGAACAAGGTTGTAGTTTAGTAAGAACGTGAAGGTGAAAGAGACAGCAATATTCTTTTGAGTGTTAAAAGAAAAACTGAATTGCTTTCGTTTTTCAGTTGAATGCCCAGAGTAATCCAGGACTGCATTGGTTTTGTTTACTTTGCTCAGTGATTGGAGCAGAAAACTCGCACCTCTCTCTCTCAACCAATCAGATGCAAAACTAGCACCAATCACGATTGGTCGCCCGCGTTTTCTCGCGCTTTAGGCAGTTTACTCGTTTTAACTTTGAGTTCTCATTGGTTCTCCAGGGTAATTTCCTTTTTTTCTGATTAGCCGTTGTGACGTTGGTTTCCGGTTTCACGACAATCAATTGAAATGATGATTGGTCTAAAATATGCCAATTCCTAAACCAAACAGATGCAAATTAAAACCAGTCGCAAATCAGTTTACATTTTCTCGTGTTTCAGGAAGTTTTGTAGTTCTTCGACCTCTCAAAAACTCCTTGTGACATTCCCGTTTGTTTTCATTGGTTACTGTGTTAACTTTGCTTTGGCATTCAAGACCCTCTGGCCACGGAAGAACAATTTCCATTTGAGTCCATTGTAATCCGGCAGTTCAATTTCTTTACCTTAATTTAGCTCTGCGAACTACAAAAGTCGCCCCGCGCCGTCAACCAATCATATGTAAAATTAAAACAAATCGCGACAACGTCACTTGCGTTTTCCCGCGCTTGAGACAATTTTCTTGATTCGATTGTGAATTCTTATTGGCTCCTTGTGATATTTCCCTCATTCTGATTGGCTTTGCTTTAAGTTTGGAAACTCAATCGAAAGGCACACAATGATTGTTTTAGACGATTAGTTTATTGGAAAGGAAAAAAACTCACCCTTGGTAGTTCTTGCCTGAATATTTCAGTTCCTTGGGAATTAACGATGAGATCACTAGGCAACCGATCTGTTCTCTCCACGACATGGTTAGACACATGGTTCTCCCTTAAGAATAAATAGATGATTATGATACCAATAACAACGATGACGGTGAAGATAATGATAATTAGGATAAAAATGATAATGATAATAATAAAGATAATAATAACTGTTAACAGCTCAAGAGACTGCCACAATTTTCATCCATTCGATTTTCAAACAGATCAGTTGAACGAGTCGCAGGTGTTCACACGAATAGGCTTCTCCTCGGGAACTGGTTACTAGGCCTAGTCAGCGAATTGTCCCAGGGCGAAACCTCACTTGATAGAACATGAAGAAGTTCATGAATGTGTATGGCTTCATTAACTTACCACTTTACAGTCAGCTCAATGAAGGTTTTCAACTGGGCTTGTCCCAAACACGTCCCACACTTTATTCGGCCGTGGCCATTACAAACCTCGCAACTGCAATCGAAAAAGACTTCTTATGGCATCTTTCTTTAGAATGAGGAGGAATGTTGTTACCGTAACAAGATTTGTCCACCTCTCTTTAAAATCTACAAGAGCTGTGTCAGTGGTTTTGTTGTGTATATTGTTATACCCAAATAAACAAACAAACCAATGAAAACCATGAATAAAGGGGGTAAATTTCGGAAGAGACTGTGGTGCTGCGTCGGTGGGAGAGAATAACAGGGTAATTTAGTGTTATCAACTGAGTTCATACTGCAAATTGACCACCGTAAAGAGTTTAAAAGCAGACATTTCGAGCGTAAGCCCTTCGTCAGAAACGAAATGTCAGCTTTTACACTCATTACGGTGGCCAATTTACGTTATCAACTCAGTTGATAATACTAAATTTTAATGCAAACCATGACAGTTCTGTACTCACGTTTTCCAACCTCTACCCATGCAGTTGGTACACTGCTCTCTTTGCTCCGTTCCTTCAACGAGACCAGAACCCTGGCACGTGGAACATCGCAACTAGAAATAAAGATTAAATATATTGGTAAATAAACATATATATTTATCTTATTAAACGTTTTGGTGTGTAGTATCGCTCAGTATTTTACGAGTCACGCAAGTTGCAAAGAGAAAATCTCAGTCTCCCACGATTGATCAAACCCAAGTTCTTCGGATTTCACGAGGAATAGAATCCTTGTCCTACGGATTTCACGAGGAATCGAAACCCAGATGTTTGAATTTCACAAGGAACTGAATACCAGTTCTTCGGATTTCAAAATGGAATCGAATCCCCATCCCTCGGATTTCACGAGGAATCGAAACCCAGATCTTCCAATTTCACGAGGAAACGAATCCCGGACCTTCGGATTTCAAGAGGAACCGAATTCCAGATATTCGGATTTCACGGGAAAACGAACACCAGATCTTCGGATGGTCGCGCTCGGATGGTCAACAGCATCGGAGTACGAAATCGAAAGGTTTAGAGTTCGATTCCTCTTACGGAGATTTCTTTTAATTGGTTTCTTACACGGTTGTGAGTAAACAAACAGCATCTTTCTTCGTCAGAAAAGGATATGATAGTAAAAATTTTAGCATCAACCTACCCTTCCACGCCCACAACACTTATAACAGCGCTTGTATCCCACAGCCATACAATCATGACACGGCTACGAATAAATGTGAAATAAAACATCATGAACACAAGATCAAAGTAAAATAAAACTTTTTTCATAATAAATTGGCCACGCTGAATAAAACTGACAGTTTTGAACCTCTCTTACATTTGACCCTGGGGGCGTGTTGACTCTAAAGAGTTAAATTTCTTCGAGGTTGGACTCCAGGTTCTGCAATCAAGCATCGCAACGCACTCCATATTCAAGCGTGTGATCAAGTTGGCTGTATACTGGCCAAGTTCGTTTTTGCGTTTTCATGGATAGCTGGCTGAAGTGTTATATTGTTTTTATACTCTCTAGACAAGCGGACTCAAACGCGAAGCGAGCGTGAAGCTTGAATCACGCGCGAAAGGAAGAGCATGAAAAAGTATTACTCCCCCTTTTCGCGCGCGACTCAGCCCAAACGCTGACCCCACCTGAAAACATCCGAAAACGCAAAATATGACGCTTGTTTTGTTTCATGGATCAAGACCACGAAGCATGTTTTTTTCTTAGTTTTAAGTGTCTTCGAGATGTTTCTTTTGATTTCAATGTTTGAAAAGTACCGCAAAGGATTCTTCTTGTAAAAGGAAAAAAAAAAAGGCTTGGAAGTTATGTACTATGTAAACCGTCCACAGGGATTGCTTTTCCTGCGGGTTCGAAACGGGTGATCACGAGTGGTCGGGTAGCCAATAAGAACTCAGGATTCAATTCATCTTTATCCCACGGGGTGCGAGACATACAGTTCTTATTCTTAACCATTTACACCCTAAAATCAGGATGCATATTCTCCATACTGTTCTCTATACATTTCCCAAAGTGCTGACGAGGAGAATTTGTTTAACAATCAAGAGGTTATTAGTTGGTGATCATTTCCTTTATTCTCGTGACCCTCGTGTGTGATTCAGGGGAGATATTGTGAGGAGAAATTAGATGCTAGTCACACTTAGGGGTCAAATAGTTCAAAGGGGGCATTGTCGCGTAACGAAAAAAAAACTGTTCATACTTTGATATTGGCGGTGTGAGGAACCTCAATATTGACTGTATGGTCCTTAAACAACTGAGGGGGATTGGCAGGAATGCGCCATGGCGGTGGAGCAGGTCCGTTCACAGGGCTGTCTATTGGCTGACCTGACAATACAAAAGATTTTAACCAATTATTCATTCATTCATTTGTTTGCGTTATCCAGACAGGCTGACCCATTTCAGCATAAGAGCTGGTTTGAATGGGTTGCATATATAGACAATAACAAGGCCAAAGCACAACACTAGGAGCTACGTCTCCTTCTCTTTGAGAGAAGCGCGTGTGTTCACTTACGTATAAAGGGGGGTATGTTTCTAGAGAAACCGTGGAAAGAACAACAAGGTAACTTAGTATCATCAACCGAGTTAGCACTTAGTCCTTCGCTCTGACAAAGGGCAAACAACCGAAACGTCAGCTTTGAAACTCTTAACGGTGGCCAATTTACGTTATCAACTCAGTTGATGATACTAAATTACCTTGTTGTTCTCTAACGTCCCCTACTAACCAGTACAGAGAAGATGCAGGAGACTGGGCCTAGCTACGGTTTTTCGTCCTTATTCGAGAAGACTAGATCTCTAATCATATTCGGAAGTATTAGCGATGGCAATACATTCTCCTCGATTATTTTACGACCCTGAGTGTTGGTCTGGTTTGGGGCTTGAACTTTCAACCTCCCGTACGGCATTCCGGCGCTCTACAACCTGAGCTACAACATGGACGTTTTTCCTTCTATTTTGAAACTGTATTTCTAGGAAGTGTATCTCCACAAACTGAAAAATTTTCCAGACTAGTAAGCAACAGAAATTCTATGCGTAAAAAAAAATTTTACGGAAAAAAAAAATCTATGCTGTCAAAAGATATGATACTTCTTAGTACCTCGGTAAGGTTCAAATTTCCACTCAGTTTTACGTGATTCACAGAAACTTTCCAGAGAGTACTGCAAAAGTAAAATTCAATGAAAAGAAACTTGAAAAAAATGCAATATATTACATTGGTACTTTGATTGATAAAGATGAAAATCTGAATTCTTTTACTGATTCTTTCTCAAAAAAAAAGGAGGCAAAATTAAGATTAACCCTTTCACTCCCCAGATCTGGTTGTAACTTCTCCCCTTTCCCTGCTACACACTTCCTAACGAGAATTTGGTGCTAGATCAAGATAAAAATTTTTACATGATAAGTTTGAGTATTCTCTTAAACTGTTTGGTCAGGATAATGTACGGATATTATTGAGATATTATTACACGTTCATCACTTCTGAGAGTTAAAGAGTTAAAGATGGACACATCAAGAAAAATTGTACTTACATGATAAGCACTTGAAGGAATGACATCTTTAATCACCATTTCCCTCGCTGGAGCCGTTCCATAACAACAGTTTTCACTCACAAACTGAATCATTGCATCTTGAGCTTGGTCATCTGTTATTGCAGTGGCTCTAAAAAATGCAAAAGTATTCAGTATTTGTCATTGCTTTCCATTAGTTCTTTTTCCATTAGTTCTTTTTCCATATGCGCACTCTTTTTGTCAGACTGGGTATCATTCAGTGATCCTTTTGACCCTTGACGTCAGGCGAATAAATGAAATAATCACTAACTAAGGAAGCTCTTGATTGTTACACAAATTCTCCTAATCAGCACCTCTAGGAAATTCATAGAGAACAGTAAGGAGAATAAGCATACTCACATACTGATGATAGGGTGTGATGGGTTAAAAGGTGGCGGGGAGGGGGGGGGTTTGAGACCAAAACAAACCATTATTTCAAATACCTTCTAATAACCATGAGGAACATATGACCCTTGAGAGTTGTGAGTGTTAAGGGATAAGAAAAAATATTCCCCATCCCCCCCCCCCATGTTATCCTTGACTACACCTTGCAGAGAAAATTCCAAGGGTATAAGAATAATTTTACGAAAAAAATATCAAAATCTAAGCTGTCACAAAGATATAATACTTCTTAGTACTAATCATACTGATGATAATGTGTGATGCAGGATTTGAGCCAGGCCGCGCCATTGCGCCAATCCCGCACTGCAATTGAAATTGCCCCTTAAAAAAACGGTCAAGGGGACAATTTGTCCCCTTCAAAATTTAGGGAAAAATCTCGAAAGGAAGCACACACGAAGAGTTTTATCTCGGTACAGAAATTGCAAGCTAAAACAGAACGTGGAAAGTATAATTTATTTTCTTGCACGTTTAAAGTTCATTCTAAAGCGACGTTTCAGTCACACTTTACTGAACACGTACGTCTCATGCTCAACCAAGCGTGCTGAACTCACGTGGCAATCTTTACTACGCTTTTCACAAACATGCGAACTCAAAAGTTCAAAATCCGCCTTCACAATTATGTTTTTCGCTGCCCTCAATCATAATTACGATCACAAGCAACGAACCTTGAAACACAGAAACACACGAAACAGATTGAAATCCACCAATCACAAATCACAAACCATGACCTTTTGAACCCGTGAAAGTAGAGTTTTGTTTCCTAAGAGTTCCGTTAAGATGATTGACGGCAGCGAAAAACGCAATCGTCAGTTGGTTTTTGAACTTCAAAATTCGCATGTTTGTGAAAAGCGCAGTAACATGTCACATCGAAAACGTGTTCGAACATTAGAAAGCTTTTTTTTCGCTCGGAATCGAAGCCAGAGTGAATCAGAGAAAAATGATACAGAAGAAGAAGAGTGTATTAATCAGGAAGAAACGAATGAGGATCGAAGGAAACCGAAAAAATCACGAACTTTCCTGAAAACTTGGTTGCGAGATCACACATCTTCCAGCAACTCAGCCAACAGAGCAAACATAATTTTTAGTGAGCATTAGTACTCAGTGTGAAAAGTCAGTGGAAGGCTGGGGAGAGAAAGAAATTTGTACCAAAGGGGGAAGGAAGTCGTGGGCAATTGTCTTCTTACCTTTCCCTGACCCCTCACCCCACCATCCACTATAATTCTAAATCAAACAGGGCTGGTTGAATAAATGCTCGCAAGTTCGTAACCTCAACTTGCCCTAATACTTTTTCGCTTATCCAGATCAGTTTACAAAACTTGTTCTTCAGGCTATCAAAACAGGTTGAGTTGATATATTTAATGGTATCATGGTATTTTGTGACACAAATTTACAAAATAAAAACAATAAAAACTCACCCATTAAAAAATCTATGTAACTAACACCAAATGATGAAGTAAAACTCACTGTTGGAAGTGCTGTTCTGGCATCTGTGAGGAGGGAGGGGGCACATATGGGGGTGGAGGAGGAACATATGAACTGCCTTGAATGAAATATATTTGAACTGCGGTTAAAGACGCGAATCAATGAAATATGAATGAAATATATGACTTCCATATATTCACAACCGTATATGAACTGCCTGTTGGATTAGATAAAATAGTTACAAAATTTGTAGCAATATATACAAAACTATAATGTTACCACTTTGCAAAACTACATTTATGTAATGTTGCCAAGGAGTAAATCTCATGAACAAGGGGCAATCAATAAATAAAAATTTTAATAAATATCAAATAAATCTGACTTATAAGAAGACATCCATGAGGTGGGAAAGGGTTACCTGATATGAACTGGCATTCCACCCAGGGGGGAGTAGCAATGCTCTTAATCACTCATTCCATGTGGCAGAAAATGCGGAGATAAGTTCCAGTTGTATTCATACAACTCGTGAGCCACTTGACTCCAGTAAAGAATTGACCCTACTTTAGTGAGACGCACTTGGTAAATTCATAAAAATGTGTAAAACAATCCTTATTAGCCTACCAAATTGTGTTTGTTCATATCCAGAGTAATGCGCAAACATGTCAGGAGGGGGTGCAGAGGGAGCTGGAGGCTTGCCAAACTGGTTATCAAACACATCCTGAGGGGGTACATCTGAGCCTGAATATGTAGGTCTGTCTACTCTACCTGTCCAATGATAAATCAGTTTATAAATTATGTGAAGAACTACATTTTAATTTTTTGTATTTATCTATTTGGAACATTATGATAATCACTGACAGGGAAGCATGATAAACTAGGTTAACTTCCAAAAGTGACTAGCATCTAATTTCTCCTTACAATATCACCCCTCAATCACGCAGTATGGTTATGAGAGTAAAGAAAATTTTCAGCAGCTAAAGAAGTTGTTGATTGTTGCACAAATTCTCCTTGTCAGCACTTTAGGGAATGTATAGAGAACAGTATGGAGAATATGCATACTGATGTTAGGGTCTAAAGGGTTAAATACATAAAGGTGTATTGCAACAGTACCTAAATGAAGCCAACAGGCTCATATAAAGTTAGCTAACAAATGTTCGAATTAATATATAACATTGAACAAGACATGTGGGGGAGAAGCCAGATTCAGATCACAAGGGAAAAGAAGAAAAAAAGAAAAGAAGAGGTTAATAATTTTTTTATTAGGAATTTTCAGTTTATTTTTGTTGCAGTTTTTTTAATTTTGAAACTAAGGGTATTGAAATTGAATGTCAATCCTGGAAATTAACAAAGAATGCCTGAACTGTTGGTTTGCTAGAGTGTGCATTAAGGTTGGAGTTTATCTCATTATGGGATAATTCCCTTGCGAACTGAATTCCCAGTTTTCTGGGAATTCCTAGGAATTCTCAAAAATTCCCAATTATGCAAATGACCCTTGCAAACTGAATTCCCAGTTTTCTGGGAATTTCTGGGAATTCCTAGGAATTCCTAGGAATTCTCAAAAATTCCCAACTATGCAAATTAACTCTGATTTAAAAAGCTTGGAATTACTGGGAATTTCTGGGAAAGGAAGACTCCAGTTTTGTGAGGACTTGGAATCCCTAGGAATTCCTAGGAATTCTCAGCTTTACAAACTACCTATAATTTAAGAAGTGTGGAACTCTTGGGAATTTCTGGGAATTGAATTTGAGGCAATTTTAATACCCTGAGGTCCACATAAATTCTAAGAAATTCTCAATACCTTGAATGTGAAGGTTTTAAGAAAAAGAGTAATTTCAGAGGCTTAAAACTTTGGCTTAATAAAAGGTATGCTATACAAAACTTACCAAGAGATATACATACATGTACATGTTTATAACTTAAAGATCATGAAATTTATTACTCAAACTAAGTTTTAGTAAATCTTTACATTAATATGGATTTTCTCATGAACCAGCTGTCAGTTATGTTAAATGGAAATTGCCAACTTCCACAATAATTAACAATAACATTGTTATCTTACTTCCCTAACCTACATTACTGGTTGCCTTTGTTAGAAAACCTTGGAACAGTCAAGCTCAGTTGCCTCAAATGCTGTCAGAGACCTTTTGTTGACAATACTTTTAGTAGAAATTTCATGCCTTAGACAAACAAATTCAACACCTAATTAATCTTTCTTTTTTCATGATTGTTGTTGCTGCTTTTTTTTTCAGTTTTTTGCTCTATTTTCATGACTAATTGCTGTAATTTGTTTTAAAAATTGCTGTTTTTATTCTTACAAAACATTTTTGTAAGAGTTCCAATACTTGTGGATCATCCACACACTTTGCAAACATTTGGCATGCAGACAAGACAGAGGTAGTAAATGTTCCCTTTGAGGAAAAACACCTTTTATATGACGTCTTCAATTTACTTTATTTGAAACTCTGATCTGAAAATATTTGTCAACAAGACTTGTTAGTAGTGAGAAGTACCAACCAAGTTTCCTTTCATAACTTAATTTCTTAAATGTCCCAATCACTGGATCTCCCAAAAAAAATATTACATCTTTTTATTTTTGGAGCAAATTACAAGTCCTTCTTTCTATAAAAATGAAAAGTGCTAGTCACACTTCAATAATAACAGCTCTTAAGTTTACTTGTTGTTCTTCTCTGTCTGTCAGCTATCAACAAAATTGTTTTATACTTCGGGCAGTGCATAACTATTTGTGGACCAGAGTTTCAACGCACCTCTGTAATCGCATATAGCTACTCCTGTCTCTTGTACAAATGTTTCTCCTTTGTAAGACGCACTCTACTCTGTTGTCAATACTGCTTTAAGTTCAGTGGAAACGACTGACTGAGGAATCGAGATGGCGGTGTTGGAACGTGTTGCTGAACGCTTGCTACGGTCAAGCTTTGTAGATTTAGGTACTGGTACACTGGGATCATCTATGTATCTCTTATACTTCCGAATGTGGTATCCTTCTTTTATAAATATGAGGGTAAAAGACGATTTGTAGTCGCATTCAAAACTGTGATTGGCTTGTGTTATTTCTCACCTTTGCCATTAACACAACTCAAGTGAGTTTCGAGTCTTTGTTTCCTCGACAGCTTTCGGCCACAAATCGTGCATTTGTAAACGATCGATTCTTGTCGATTATTTCTACATAGAGTGAGCTCACATCTTTATTTATATCACCAAGCTATCCATCTTCTAGAAGCAGAGAACCGGTCGGAGAAGTCAGAATAAAGTTGGGCGCTTCTCTTAACACTGCAATCGGCAAGCCAGCGGATTCACTTTGCTAGCCAATGACAAGTCCTAAAAGATCCACGTGATCATGCCCGTGATCGGAAACAAAGAAGACTCCATTTGGCGCTCATCTTTGAATGTACTTTTCATCGGTTGATCGCTTTTCTCAACTGTTTTGCTTAATATAACATTTCTAAAGATAGCTTTTATTGTGGTTCAATGGGAAAACGAGAATAGCGTGAGTGTTGTAAAAGAGAAGAAAGTCGTTGGCGCCGTGGAGTTAAAAGAAGGGACAACAGTTGACATATGGACTGGTACAAACAAGGGTCGAGTGGCCATCTGTAAAGCTACGATTTTGAAAGTTTGTGGTGAGTAAAAATTGCGATATTCGTTACGTGATCAAAATCTTATAAAAGAATAGATGTAGTGGGTTGAATAAAGCTTACATAACGCTCGGCGCAACTGAAACTAGAATAATTCTGAGAATCGAATCGGTCACTTGCATGCCGCAGTTTCGTAAGCTCATGCTTTACAATGAAATAAACCTATCAGTAAGGTTTCAAGATTCCTCTAGTCACGTTTGGGAACATTCAAGATTCATAACAAACCTTAGTACATAAAGAAGCCCTCCTTGGTAAAAACAAAATTATGTATTCAGCCCTTTTTTAGTAAAATCCATGAGAGAGATGTACTAACTCCAATATAAAAGTCACTCAATATAACAGAGATTTCTCAATTTGAGAATCCAATGAATGCCCTTTTCCTCATAGCCATCTTAAAAGCCTGGTCTGAGCTTTAAACATACATATTTTAATATATTGTTTTTTTTCAAATTCAGATGTCAAGGAATCCAGATACAAAATGGTCAAGGTTCTTGTTGACAACCTCATTCAAGGCCAACTCATTGTGAGCCCAGGAAAAAAAATACAAACAGTACAAACAGCAGCTAAGTTTGCAGTTTAGGATAACTTCATTCTAATTTATTGTTATAGTTACAACAAGATTTTAATCAAAAACTCAATTTTATTTGTCTGTAATTAGCCCCTTCACTCCCAAGAATATAACTATATAAATATAACTTAAGATATTGTATTTTATGGAAGAGAATCAACAGATTTTATTCACAATTTGTGTCAAACCAAATTTAATGATTGATTAGAACTATTTTATATGAATAGCTGTAATTGAGGATTAATCCGTATGAAGTTTTCAAGAAAAGAAAAATAAATCAAATTCCATCCTAATATTACCACACATTGATGTTAGTAATTAATCAAAAATATTTTACATGTAAGCCTTAATTAAGCTTCTAAATAAATTTCATTGAATACTTGAATTTGAGCTGGGTTTTTTTAATTTAAAGTATTTATTTTATATCATTAGCCTCAAATTTTTGCTTAAAATTCCCAGTACTTCTTAAACATTCCTAAAAATTCCCAAAAATTCCCAGAAATCCCAGAAATTCCCAGAAATTCCTAGGAATTTTTTAGATTTACAGCTTTTCAGGGAAAGTTATTGGTTCTCCGAGTTGGAATTCCTAGGAATTCCTAGGAATTCCAAGTCCTGTTGGTTATAAACTTGGAATTTCTGGGAATTTCTGGGAATTTCTAGGAATTTCTAGGTTTTTAGAACCAGAGTTGTTATGGTTGGGAATTCCTAGGAATTCCTAGGAATTCCCAGTCCGAATTTACCATGAAAATTCACACCTTTATTCCTAGGAATTCCTAGGAATTCCTAGGAATTCCAAGTCCTGTTAGTTATAAACTTGGAATTTCTGGGAATTTCTGGGAATTTCTGGGAATTTCTGGGAATTTCTGGGAATTTCTAGGAATTTCTAGGTTTTTAGAACCAGAGTTGTTATGGTTGGGAATTCCTAGGAATTCCAAAAGCCATTTCGCAAGGGTTGTGATGAATGTTTTAACTAGAATAGAGAAAATAGAATTGTTTGTCAGTATCCCTTCCCAATGGTGGATTCAGGGAAAGGGTCCAGTATCTGTGTATCCCCATTTTGATCAGACCTGTGTAAATTTTTATTAGAAATACATATGTCCGAAATCAACATTCTTCCAACTTTCATGTTACTACTCAGCTTGAAACATGTAGAGTTTATACTTTTCTTGAAATATTTCTTGGCTTGTTTAGACAAGTGATGGGAACTTAGAAAAGTATCAATTAGGGGATTATTAGTTGATCCAATACCAAATTCTCCAAACTAACAACATAGGAATTGTATGGCAAACAGTAAAGAGTATTACTAATGAGATCTGGGAGTTTAAGGGTTACACTGCTGGATTCTATGAGGATTTGGTGCTTTACCATCTATTATGAAAAAAAAAAATTGCAACTTTATGACATTATCACAAACTTAAATGAACTGATTTCATAATCTGTAATCAGCAGTTATCAACAGAATCAGAATTTTATCACCATCAGTTTGTGTCTGAATTATTTCAGTTACTCACCAGTAATGGCTAGTGATCCATGGCCAGGTAGCTGAGGGGCTGGGGGACCATACCTTGGCTGAGGAACAAAGCCAATCTGGGGTTGAGCTGGAAAGGAAAAAAATTCAAATCCTTTAACCCTTTCACTCCCAAGATCTAATTATTAATTCTTCTTACTGTCTGTCATACAATCTTTTGATATTATGTGGGAGAATTTAGCATTGGATCAACTTCAAGTCACCTAGATTATCTCCCCCTTTATTCTCATCACTTTTCTACTTAATATTGTGCTGATATTGTAAGGAGAAGTTTTCTCTTGGTCACTCATGGGAGTTTAGGGGTTAACTCCTATGAGTGACCAAGACAGAATTTCTCCCTACAATATCAATACAATATCAACCAGATAAGTAACAAGAATAAAGAAAAACATAAACTTGGGGATAATTAGTTGATCCAATACTAAGTTCTCTGAGCTAATGTTATAAGAATTGTAGGTTGACAGTTAGGAGAGTTAAAAATTTGATCTGGGAGTTAAAGGGTTAACCCTCTACACCCTAACTTCGGAAAGCACTATTATTCTTCATACTGTTCTCTAGACATTTTATAAGGTGCTGACAAGGAGAATTTGTTAGACAATCTTGAGTATCTTCAATTGCTGATCATTTCTTTTATTCTCATGACTTTAATGTTTGATTCAGGGATGATAATGAAGGAGAAATTAGAAGCTAGTCACTCACTGGGGTTTAAGGGTTATCAAGGGGACCATGCACTTATGTTACTTGCCGTAAATAAGTCACACAATTAACTTACAAATTGTAAACGAGACTTTGTGATAGAGGATTGAACACTGATGAAAAATTCTTAGATATACTATTTAAAAAATGAGGACAAGGGTTTCATCAGGGTTTCCAAACATGAAAAAACTGATGAAAGCACCAGGCTGCAAGGCCAAGTACTTTAAATGTTTTAGAGTGTTTGGAAATCCTGATGCACAAGTTTTTGAAACTGCTTCTCAACTGCACCTTAGGGATAAAAGAAAATTGAAATATTCACAAATTTTTTTGTATGTTGTCAGCAAGTTTGTTGTTACAAAAAATTGTATTGTTATGGTGATTTCTCTTTTCAGAAAGGGTGTAAGCAATGTTATCACAATGCTGAGTTTTCTGAGGTGTTGGCACCTAAGTGCAGCACTAGTAAGGAAGAAATGAGTAAAGACACAGAAGGTACTGTTGAAATTGGTAATTTGAGGAGTTCTTGTGATCAGTTTATGGCCTCTGCCTACTTTAAGAAAAGTAAAATAAATATTAATGTAAACAAGGGAATGAATGTGATCATACTTTCTTTAGACAATGTCTTATTTCTTCATATTAGAGAGGGTGTTAATAAAGTTTGTTTGTTTTTGTGGGTGTCTTTGTTTTAAGTATTCAAATACATGTTATTAATATTCAAATTAAGAAATGAGTTCACTTGAGTTTGATGCCTTATTATATGAAACTCATGGATAGCACATCATTCCAGTGTTTCACCAGGGTTTTAAACCACATGCATGTGACCAAATTGGCATGTCTTGGTTGGATGACCCCCTTATGAATAATTAATGCTTTGAAAATGTGAACTAATAATCTAATTGCAAACCACTAATCCATTGTCTACTCATGATCCAAGAAAAAATTCATCAACTATCCCCATGTATGTACTGTTTCATTAATATACCTGGTTGATAACCTTGAAGAGGTCCATAGGCATACCCAGTAGGGGGATAAGGCGCTTGACTCATAGTGACAGCAGTCCAACAATTATCATGAATTTCTGACAAACAGATGTTATAAATAAATTAATTAAATCTCAAATCCCTTTGAAGACACTAAGATATAATAGATATAGACTAAGATATAATAAGGAAGATATAGAAAGCTGTCACCCGAATTTATTGAAAACTGTAAGCAACATAGCTTAGTTTTGGAAGCTAATTTTAAGATATGAGTTTCAATTCCAAGTTTTTTTCCGGTTTTGCACGTGGGTACTCAAACCTTGATATTCATCGACTGAACAAATCTAGGATTGCAATAACGAGTGTGAGGATAGAAATCACACTTTCGATTCCTGTGGAATTTAACACGCCATTGTGAATATTTCGTTGTTAGCGTACAGTGAGCTGGGATTATAATTTAGAGACATGCAAACAGGTATCGTTTTCATTTTCCAAACAGATATCGAGAAGACATATTACACGCATTTACAGCTGAAAACTCCTCCAATTTGTCTAGCATCAATTTTCACACTCTCTGATCCTTACAATAAAACACAGATTAAGAGGTGAGAAACGCCAAAAGCTAGTCTGCCGCAGCGGCGCCTCCATGCATGGAAAATACGTCGACATGGGGACATTGATACCGATCGTTTCATGGCTACCAACACAAAACGCAATAAGAAATACACGACACCTTACCCTATCTAATGAAAGGAGCCTTAAAAATGTAATAGTTTGCTTGTATTTGGCTCTCTCAGCCTGCGTGATCTTACCTCACGTCCTTTAGAACGCAACTCAACGTTGCACGACGAGGAGGAATGTGATCGATATTCTGCTCTCATGGTATAATTAAATAATGCTATGGGAGGGATGGTCGTTAATTCGTCGCCTAAGGCTCTTGAGTGGGTGTGAAGACCTGTGAAGCTAATTTAATACAGAACTGGAAGTGTGTCAGGAAGGAGATCTTTAACTAAAGAAAACATAATGCGTCGACTTGTTTCAATTTTAGGGTAATTGTTGTGAATGCATTATCTCCTCTGCCCTCCCCAAGTCGGGTGCGTCTTGTACGAGTGCAGAGCGAAGCGGGGAACGCTTCCAGCTTGCTTAACCTCTCTCCGCCCTGCTCACGACTTAGGTCCGTCACTACGACTAAGGGGTCGGAGGAAAGGATGTATGACAGCGGTTAAGCGATCATCTCGTGCAGGTGACGTGCGACCTGCGTCGTAAAGAATAATTGTGACGTCAGTCTTTACTTCACTCGTTTTCGCGGTAAGAGCAAGATTGAGCTTTTCGTGAGAGAGGACAAAAAATTCGGAGACATATCGAAGATGAAGTGGTTGAGTGCGCTTATAGTGCTTTCGTTTTTATTTGCGTTTTCAGATGCTACAATCAGTGCTAAACTGGACGGTAAGGTATTTCCTCCCTCTGAAAAACAAAAGAAACATTTTTCTCTATGTTGACGCCTTACGGCTAATGATCTTTCTGGACTTATTAATAGAAACAAGGATTTAACCCGACATCGTCTCGTCAAGCGGTCTATATTCGTTAATGGATCGATCAGTTTTCGTTGCTAAATCTGTCCGGTTATGAGGTTTGACTTTTTCGCCAAGGAAATTCTCATGAAAAGTACTTTTGTATCCGCAAAACAAATGTTTCTTGTTGCTATGGTAGCTGCGCGCGTGGTTTTACGTTCATTTTTTTTTTGTAGCATGCGCTCCAGAAACGGTTACGCAGCGCAAATTCTTTTTTGTGTCTCTCCAAATCAAGGGGTGTTGACCATTTCAAAGAACCTACAAGAGCGCAAAACTGAATTTTTTGCTCTCACTGCCATGATCAGTATTCATTTTTTTTTTTCTGTTTAGAAACTTTTCTGAAAGTTAGTGAGATGCAGGGCCGAAATGATTTGTACCAACACAAGATGATGATGACTAGAAAGTGGGACGACGAGGTTTGGCAAAATTTAGATTGCTGAGAAAAACAAATTGTTGACTGCAATTAAGAAATAATAAATTTATAATTCGAAACCTTGCATCGCGGGGCAAGACACCTACTCTTGCAGCGTCTTTCTCCATAATTACATACCAGGGATGCGCGAGTCGCTACAATCTCGCCCCCAGGATCGTTTTGGTCATTTGCCGGCGGTATGGCTGTCGCTGCAAAGAGCCAAAATGACCTTGGGCTCGAGACTGGAGTCGTCAAGGAAACCTGAGAAATTGAGGAGGATCAGAAATCTGCGAAGAACTGTTGAACTTTAGAGACTGGAATATGCTCCAGCCGCGCGGACCTCTTTTTAATGTATTTAAGATGGATCAGAAATGATTGAACATATCATGCAAAATGAAATCGTTTCCAAGCCTTTTCATGTAAAATTATTTTTTGTGTGTGTACAGCAGCTGATTGCAGTCAAGATTGAGATTCCGTCCATGAATGTTAAACTGAAGTTGATTTACGAAAAAGCTTCCATTGCTGTTAACAGCAAAGCCCATGGCTACGTCAAACCTGAACTTTCAAAGGTATTAGATATGACAGTTCGTTTAATGCACCGTCAAGGACCAGTCATTTCTTTTTGACAAGGGAGAGGGGGTGGAGGATTTTGGCAGGGATCACATTTTTTCTGGGGACAGAGGGAGGATCGGTCAGCGTCGCTAATGAGAGTATACAAAATGGGAGCCATATGAAAAAATGCCCACGGGGGGGGGGGGGGAAGGGGAATCATAGAAATATTACAGACCCTTATGGGGGATCAAATAAATTTTTCCGTGACACAACCAAAATCTTCCAACGTACCCCCCCCCCTCCCCGTCCTCCCAATATCTTTATTACTTCTATGTCTTAGAATACCAAACTAACCGGAATACTATTTCTGATGTCACTTGGCTAATAACTTCTCTAAATTGATATTGTCAGATCTTCAATTGCAAGAAAATAATTCAGGATCTCGGAAACACAACATGCTTTGATTACGAGGCTTTCGAGATTACAAACCCTGGATTAATATCCCAGATATGGAATTTTACAGTGACAGTAATGACCCAGGTGCAGGACGGTACGGTGGAATTGACCTCTTGCATATGGAAGAAATGCATCATGGTCTCAAGGGCAGTGACTGGCAAAGTATGGAATGGACTTGAAGACATCTGGATCGGAATGGTAAATTGGACTCGCGGAAAAGTCGCATGGCTTTCAGGCTTGACGTGGAACGGTGCGCGGTGGCTTGGAAAATTGTTGTGGAGGTGTGCCGAGTGGTTGGCTGAGGTTATCTTGAGTGGATTTCAATGGTTCGCTGAGGTTATCTGGAATGGAATTAAATTGTTGGCTGGGATTTTCTGGAATGGACTTCAACTGTTGGCTAAGGTTATCTGGATTGGACTTCAATTGTTGGCTAGGGTTATCTGGAATGTACTTCAACTGTTGGCGGATGTTACCTGGATTGGACTTCAATGGTTGGCTATGGGTATCTGGAATGGACTACAATTGTTGGCTGGGGTTATCTGGAATGGACTTCAATTTTTGGCGGAGGTTATCTGGATTGGACTTCAATGGTTGGCTAAGGTTATCTGGAATGAACTTCAATTGTTGCCTGAGGTTATCTGGAAAGGACTTCAATTGTTGGTGGAGGTTATGTGGATTGGACTTCAAAGGTTTGCTAAGGTTATTTGGATTGGACTTCAATGGTTGGCTAAGGTTATCGGGAAAGCACTTCAATTGTTGCCTGAAGTTATCTGGAAAGGACTTCAATTGTTGGCTAAGGTTATCTGGAATGCTCTTCAATTGTTGGCTGAGGTAATCTGGAATGGAATTCAATGGTTAGCTAAGGCTATCTGGACTGGACTTCGACGGTTGATGGATTTTACCATAAATGCAACATATTCGTTCGCCAAGATGATCCAAAATATGTCAGCTGAGCTGACCAAGATGATGACTAACGGAGTTATGTGGATTGTTGAACCGTTTGTTCCTGTCGTCTGCTATATAACTGACGTTGCTGTCGAGTTTTACTTTGGTTTCCTCCGTGGTAAGTCAATTGTTCACCAATTTGAATTTGACAAGTCATAATTGGCCTAGCCGAGGAGAGAGTGACCATTTCACCTCTCACTTTTTGGCTGGAATAGATTATTATAATCATTAGTATTATAACTGTTATTATTATTATTATTATTATTATTATTATTATTATCATCATTATTACTTAACTATTATTTTCTCTATATAGGGGCTACACGGTGCACTTTAAAGGATGCTTCAGATTTCTTCTTAATTTCGCCAGTTGTTCGACTTTTTCTCAATTATTACATTTGACTCGGCGAAAAAAGTACACAATTGCTAATTTTTTTATGACTTTTCTTTTTTTACTATTTATGACATTAATTTTGTTTTCCAACAGAACATGTAATACATATTCAAGCTCGCTTTGATTTCTTGTCTTGGCAAGATGGCGTCTATGCTGTCTTCGCTGGTTTGGCTGTCACTGTCGCCTTCCTGGTTGTTGGTTTTGTCGTGTACCGATTATGTGTACGAATAGTGAAATACATCGGACGGAAATGGTAAGTTATGTGCTGCGAAATTCCCTTCTTGTTTAATCCTTAATCTCCTGATAGTGACTGGTTTCTAATCTCTCCTCACATTATCACTCTTGAATCAAATATAGTAGTTATGAGAATAAAGGAAATGATCACCAATTTCAGAGGCTCCTGATTGTCAATGAAATTCTCCTTGTCAGTACCAAAAGAAATGTTTAAAGAACGGTGTGGAGAAATTAGCCTCTGATGTTTGGGTGTTAAGGTTTAAGATCAGTTTGTTTGAAATGAGTGGCCAAACGAGTGATGCGCTAGTTTTGCAGTGTTAAAAAGAAATTATTGATGCACACCAGTGCTATACTTGAACTGGATGAATGAAGAAATGACTTCAATGACTTTAACTTTTCCTTCGCTTGTCTTTTCATGCAGGCAAGAGTACAAGGAAAGAAAGGCTGCTGCTAATATGCCACCTAAACCTGACAAACCAATATGGCAGCCGAAACGAAAGCACAAGAAAAAGAAGAGAATTGACGACTGGTAGTTGCCAATCATGTTTACTTTGTTTCGTTGCCTAAAAATCGAACAAATCTTTTTTTGAGTGAAAATCAGCCTACGTATTTTTATTTTATTCCGGCGGTAAAATTCAGTTTTTATCCATTAAAGTTGATCAATGGGATTTACGTTTGTAGTTTGGTTGTCTTTCAAGCAAAGCCTTCGTTCGCATAGTGAATTAATCAGAGTAAATTTAATTCTTGCTATTCACATGAAATTACTCCCATTTCCGAAAAAGAAATGAAGCTAAGAGATCAAGCAAGTAAAATAATTTTTTAATTCCCATCGCAAAATGTAGAGAAACCTGACGTCTAACTATTTCACATCATAAATAGTTTGCATTGAAATTCGTATGTCCTTGTTCCTTCAACCTCTCTTCTGTCCATTGTTTTAAAGTATGGCGCAGCCCCAACAACACTTTTGGGGGTAGTCTGGGGCATGTACTTTGTGATCCAACCCGTACACCCAGTAGCGAGTATCAGTGTCTTTCCATTCATATTTCACCTCGGAAACTGGTACCGCTCTTAGAGTTTGACGCTGAAACAAAAAATATTGACTAGTCAAGTTCAAGATTCCCATTTTATATTAAAGTTGCTAGAGCTCTGTGCGAAAAAAATTAAAACGCTGTAGTTTCCCTTCTATAGAACATTGAGACGCGCGCAGGGCCGGAGAAAGGAACGCGCAATGGTTTTACCTCACCTCTCGCGCATTTCAGACTTACCCATGCTATGAGAGCTTTTGTAAACGTGTGCAAGAGGAAAGAGACGCGTGACACTCGGTTTCCCTTTCGCGCGAGTTTCAGATTTCCGGATGCCGTAAGGGCTGTTTGCGCCGCAAATAAAACCGCGCTCGCGAGAAGAGAAATGCGTAACGCCCTCGTCCATTCAAGCGCGCATTTCAAACTTATGAATGCTGTGGAAGCGGTTTAGTATTCTAGAGAAACTACCCTGGTGTTGTTCTTTCTATCTTTAAAAACAGACTAGAGCTACTTTCCAAAGACTAAAAATTTCACTATTTCCCACCTGCATAAGGATTCGCTTTGTAGGCCAGTTCCGCGAATGAGCTTCGACAAGTCGCTGCGAGCCATTATTCACATCTTGATCATGAAAGGCTGTGACAGGATAAACCTGAAAGTGTACATAAAAAAAATAAAAAAACGAGTTAGAGACTAACTTTAACCTTTAAACTCCCGGATCAAATTTGTAATTCTTCTTACTGTCAACCATACAATTCTTATAGTATTAGCTCAGAGAATTTAGTATTGCATCAGCAAATTATCCCCAAATTAATATTTTTCTTTATTCTCATCACTTTTCTGGTTGGTATTGTATTGATATTGTAAAGAAAAATTCTGTCTTGGTCACTAACGGAGTTAATGGATGAAATATTTTCCGTAATCAGTCATATTTACCCGTGGAAGTTCTTGAGTAAAAATTTCCGTTCCCTGAGATCCTAGTATAAGTTGATCCGGTAGATCTGTTCTCTCCGTCACGTGGTTATCGATGTGACATTCCCTGTAAGATCAGAAAAAAGGCAGGCGGTCGGGAGTGATTCACTGATATTCTAGGACAAGGATGCGTATATATCAATTTATCATTAAGTGTTTCAAACGTTTAATTCGTACATGACTTTGCAGAGCAACTTTTCAATGGATTGTCGATAGTAAAAAGGGGATTGTTGGTTCCAGTTCTGCTCAATTTAGCCCTGAGGTATTCAAAACTCGCGTCCCTTTCTCAACCAATCTGGTCCACAACTACAACCAATCACGACTTGGTCACTCGAGTTTTCCCGCGTTCCACAGAAGTTTGACAAGCCAGCTCCCTCAGAGAGTGCTCCACTATGACACGGTGTGGTTCACCAATGACACGAGGTGATTTACCTGTGACACAGAGTGGATCAACTGGGACACGAGGTGGTTTACATGTGACACAGAGTTGATCACCTAGGACACTGATTTATCCAGTGTGATTCAAGTATAGTAACGTTTCATAATCAGTTAACAAGAATACGGAATTCAGTTACTCACCACGTGATCGTAAGCTGAATGAACAACTTGAGCTGCGCTTGCCCTTGACATGTCCAGCACATCACACGCCCATGACCATGACACGTGTTACATCTGCAACAATTTATTAACATCTCCCTTAGGCATCTTACAGTTAATCCTTAAAATGCCAAGATCTGATCAGCAATTCTCTCTTCTACCACCAATAATTCCTTATAACAAACGAACCAACGCGAGAACAACAAAAACGAACGTGCAAGCAAAAAAGCGAACGCGCGCACGAACGACCGAGCCCTTGCAGTTCTCCAACGCTTCAGCTTGTTGTTTTTAAGTTTAATGAGTTCACAGAGGCTTTTTGTACTTGTTTTCTTTTTGTAAATGGTGATTACGATTTAAATTTCACTGAACTTACATTCTCCTTCCACTTCCATGACACCACGTGCATCTGACTCTATGTGATTGCCCATCACGGTATTCGGTACGGCGACCAGAACCTTGACACCATGTACAACGAACCTGACAGAGAAGGAAGACAATAATTTTTTGAAATGAGCGCACCACTCAATTACCAAAGACTACTTGAAGGTCGTCTCGATTGAGTGCCGTTAAATCAAAATGAAATTAATCATAGCCGCCAATCTGAACGAAGTTCCACATTGAAAGTAGCCAATAAGGACAATAGTGCATACAAGTGACGAACCTAATGCGCGGGAAAATTCGAGTGAAGTAGCCGTGCGATTATTTCGCATCTGATTGGTTGAGAATGTAACATTCCATTTCTCGATCCCAGTTTCCACAAAAAAACAACGGGCCAACGTAAATCATTCAAAAATGGCCGCCGCAGACGAGGAAGACAAGAAAACAAAGGTAACTACAGCATTTATACAGTATGGCTGTTTGAGAAATGGTTGATGTTTTTATTTTGAGTATTTCTACCAAAATCCAAAAGCTCAGCCACTGGTATACTTTGTTTGCTCCGCAGTAAATGCCTTTTTACGGCAAAAGTTGGATTTTTTTGGCGTGTTCAATTCTCCGAAGTTCTGTTCCCGCTACACACGTTGAACCATGGTTTGTACGCAATAAAAGGTAATCATCTTTGGTGTGGACCTTAAAAATTGTATCTAGTAAAAACATATTAAGGAAACATTCCACAATTTGAGATTAACAACAGCTTTATAACTGCCCCGCCACGGGTCACAGGAGATCATTCCTTTGGGGGGAGGGGAAAGGAGGTTTGGAAATAAAAAGTCCTGAATAAATGTTGAGAGCAAAAATAAACTACCTGAGGGAGGAGGGGGGCAGTGATGGAGCTGAGGTCCAAATATTCCTGAGATCATACATCATTGAAAAAAATAATGTAAAGAAAATAAATCTCACCATTCCCCTTCCAAAGCATCTGTAACAGCGTTTGTAGCCTGAGGCCATGCAGTCATGGCAGGGCTGAAAAAATAGGAAACAAAGAATTTACATAGAATCTTACAATGTCAAAATAAAGTATGGTAATGTAGTTAGTTGAGAGAGCTCTTGGTTAATTTATTTTTGGTCAACCTTAATTTATAGAATTTAATCTCAGAACCATGTGATGATAATTTGCTGTTAATTTCCCTTACAACTTGTGATAAACAATTAGTTACAAGCCTAGGAAGTTGCACTGTCTGGAAAATGATTCCACATTCCATCAATCCCTACCACTATTTAAAATCAGCCAAAATACAAATGCCCTGTTTATGTAACAAGGTGTCTTTACCTTAACTGATGCAGTATGGGGCACCTCAATGTTCACTACCTGAGGTGTAAATATCTGATTTGGTTGAGCAGGAATGCTCCATGGTGGTGGCGCAGGGCCATTCTGAGGACCATCGATCATCTGACCTACATTCATAAACAAACTGTTACCTACAGATACTTCGATAAGTGGTTTTAGCATGGTTTCTGCTGCCATACATGTATATTGGAATGCTTGGCTCTTCTAGCTTTGTAAATGAAACAAACTTGTGAAATGTCAAAGTCAAGAAAGTTGTAACAAGCATTTAGAGAAAATAGCATCATGAGCCTTGGGCTTCCATTTGCATCCTTAAAAGCCCAGCTAAATAATTATGGACTCCCAAAGATTGACACTTTTATCTATTTGTTCATTTCATTTTTTATTCAACTCACCTCGGTAAGGTTCATGCTTCCAAGCTGTGGATCTTGATTCACAGAAACTATTCAAGTGATACTGGAAATTAAAAACAGATAATCAATGATATCAATCATAAGATGAGTTGCAATTTCTGTGGTCCCAGGTCTTCATCCTACTGTGTTACTACAATTAGCTGGAGTTGTTCCCTGACAGTATCAAGGTTACATCTTAAACCACGTTAAATCTTGTAAACAGCCCATTGGCTTTTCCACTGTCAGGTGGGGTTTGAAGTCATGTTTCATTTGATTTTAAAATTAACAATCATGTTATTGTTGTTGTTCTTTCTTGGTCTCTGTAGTTAGCCTATAATACAGCTACTGAGACAAAACATACAAGTGTCAACTTTCAACTCCACTGACTCCCAAATTCCAATTATATTTATTATTTAATGTTCCCTGATTAACCCTTTCACTCCCAAGATCTGACCGTGAATTTTCCCCTCCAGCTGCTACACATTTTTCTGTAAAGCAGTTACATGAATTTGGTGTTGGATCAAGACAATTTCTACTTGATAAGTTTGAATATTCTCATTACCTGCTTGCTGGATAATGTATGGATATGATAGGGAGAAGTTACATGTTAATCTCTTCGAGGAGTTAAAAGGTTAGAGACCTTGGGAACGATGGGTTTGAGATAATAACTTCAGTAGAAGTGTTGTGATTTCTTGACAAATTTTCCCAACTTAATCTAATTGTAAACATGATTTCTGCACTTACATGGTATGCACTGGATTGAGCTATGTCTTTGATGTCCATGTCCTTGGCAGCCTTTTTGCCATAGCAACAATTCTCAGCTACAAATGCAAGCAGTGCATCTCTTGCCTGATCTTCAGAGATAGCTGTGGCCCTGATTAAAATGATTCAAATGGACCACTTACAGTTGGGCTTGTTCAAATAGAATTATTTTATAATGCGTGCTGTGATCATGATTCTTACAAAACATGCTATGTGATAACATTAAATGTTATCACAAATTTTGCTTCAAAAAAGATCTCATGGAATAATCTTCTGGGAATCTCTAATTGACTTACTGTTGGAAAATCTGCTCTGGTGTTTGCTGCTGTGCTGGAGGTTCATATGCTGGCGGAGGGGGCAGATATTCTGTGCCTGAAAAAATCAAAGAATAAGTATATGTAATTGCATGGGTTCAAGGGCAATAAAGGATTAATTAATCACTTGTATTTTCAAAGTTTTCTCAAAATTGTGCAAGTCATGAAGCACACAATTCATGTAAATCAAAAAGTACAAACAGTGCATCATGAAAAATCAGATAAACAATTTTAAGGTTCATGTTTTGCAAAAAGCAAAGAGAACTTGGTATTGGATCAATGAATAATACCATAATTGATATTCTTCTCTATTCTCATCACCTGCCTGCTTGATATTGTATTGATATTGTAAGGAGAAATTCTGTCTTGGTCACTTATGGGAGTGAAAGGGTTAACCTGGAATGGGAAAAGCTATAATGCCTTTGGTTGGTTTTTGTGCATGCTCTGAGGATTTTTCTTTTTGATCAATAATTCCTTCTTTCACAAAAACCATTACACCAAGTTCTATCTTAATACCTTAAAGTGTCATGGTTCTTAAAAACCATTCTTTGAGATCTTTGGCATTATTAACCAGGGCATAACACAGCACATCTTTTTTAAGAACCTGTTGGATCTCTAACTTAGTGGTATATTTAACGCAAATACCTACCAAAGCTAACAGACTCGTATCCAGCAAACTTTCCGAACATGTCAGCTGGAGGGGCACTTGGGGGAGGGGGTGCGGCATTCTCATTGTCATCTACATCTTGATCAGGAACATCCGAGCCAACATAACTTGGGGTTTGTGCTTCACCTGCAAATTACATAAAGCACATTCAATGAAAAAAAATATTTGCCAATGTGCTCTTGTAATAAGACTGTATAATCCCTTAGTCACCTTTCACATCAAGCTTCAGAGTCTGACCTGACAATTTGTTTTTATTCCACACTTAAAATGTCAGAGTGTAAATCAAAAAACACGGGCCTTCCATGAAAGAAATCATTATATATGTATTCAAGCATAACTTATTAAAATTTCAAAAACTACATATAAATTAGCGGTCTAACCTAAAACATTGTTCATTTCTGGTAATTATTGTTAGTAGTGCAAAGGTATTTGATCACTATTATTAAAATCTTTGTTAATTTTTTATCAATTCATAATCATCATTTCTCAGCACCACACGCTTCCAAGTTATCTAGTAAAATTTTTGCAGACAGCTGTATCAAAAAGAGAACTAAAGCTATAAAATTTTCATAAAGAGTTCATACAACTGCTTTATAGAACAGTTAAGTTAAGGAGTTACTCAATTATCACCACTTGCATCCACCAAGACAACTGTGTGTTACAAGCAACCATAACCCTTTTACTGACCTGTAAGAGGAGTGAAAACCTGCTGCTGGTTAGGTGCACCTCCATACCCCTGTTGTTGTTGGGGTGGTGCACCATCATACTGGTGCTGACCCTGCAATGGTGGGTAGCCTGGTTGTTGCTGAGGAGGGCCATACCCTGGTTGCTGTTGAGGTGGTGCGTAACCTTGTTGGGGAGGTCCATAACTTCCTTGCTGTTGGGGAGCTCCATAACCTGGCTGTTGTTGAGGAGGTCCATAACTTCCTTGTTGTTGGGGAGGTCCATAACCTGGCTGTTGCTGAGGTGGGTAACCTTGGTGAGGAGGACCATATCCTTGTGGAGGTGCTCCTTGTGCAGGAGCTGTAGATCCATAACCTGGTTGCTGTACACCTGTAAATAAGGAATTAGCTCAAACTATCAGCTATTAAATAGATGGGTTTGAGAGAAGGCCTTCTCTAAGAGTTTTGTGATTTCTTGACAAATTCTCCCAACTCAATATACCTGTGATGTGATTGGCTATCTTATTTCCAACCTATTCAATGGTAAATAATAGTGAGGGACCATTAAAAAGCAATGTCCTGTCATAAAATAAAAACACAAGCTTGTCATTCTGTTCACTTTTGAATTGCTAGTACCGGTATATATTCTTGAATGTCTACAACTGCTGATCAATGTTGCATTAGAAACCTGCCTTTAGCCTTTAAACTCCAAGAAGTGATTAACATATAACTTCTTCCTATATTATCCATACATTATCTAGAAAACAGGTAGTGAGAATACTAAAAGTTATTGGGTAGAAGTTGTTATTTTAATTTAAAACCAAATTCTTATCACTGATTTACGAAGAAATGTTTAGCAGCTAGAAGGGAGAATGGACAGTCAGATCTTGGGAAATGCAGGGTTAATTAATGGTCAATAAGGTAATTTCATAACAAATTCTAACAAAATTTCTGTCTTTGTTTCAAATCTTTACCTAAACAAGGGTATAAAAAAGGGTAATTTAGTATTATCACCTGCGTTGATGGTGTAAATTGGCCATCATAAAGAAGAAAAGAAGCAGATGTTTTGAACATTAGCTCTTTGCCATTCACCCTGACAAAGGGCTAACATTCAAAATGTCAGCTTTGAAACTCTTTACAGTGGCCAACCCTAGTTTAGGTTATCAACTCAGTTGATAATACTAAATTACCCTGTTATACTCTCCCACTGATGCAGCACCACAGTTTCTTTAGAAACTTACCACCTTTATAAATGAACATAAGGTGGTAGGTCTACCTAATATTTAATGCACACTGTACCTGGATACGTTGATTGCCCTTGGTAGCCTCCACCTGATGGGGGGTATGGTGATTGGCTCATCCTTCCTCACTGATCCACAGAAAACAGCTAACGGTAATCAGAGAGCTTAATGAACACTTGAATTGCAAAAATATATTAAGTTCACACAATGTTATTTTAATCTGAGTCAATGTTTTTTTTTTAAGCTTTCTCCCTATGTGTGATTGAAAGTAATTTCCGTACAACATTATTGAGATTTCAAAGAGAAATTTTAACAAAAAAAAATATACAAAATTTCAACTACAACAGGAAATTCTTAAAACTAAAATTTTGGAGAACAGCAGGAAGAATTAGTACATAAATCTTGAGAATTTATAAATAAAGACGAATACACATGGTAGAATAATAAGACTGTTATATTCCTGAACCAGGTAGAAGGAATCTGATAGATATTGTTACAATCATAGTGTTTGTGTTCCATTTGAGGGTTAAATGTTGGTTACATGTACCTTTTCTATTAATAGTTTTCCTAAAAGTACTCTCAAATTACATTTTCAGGCTTCTACTGGTTGCTTAAAGCCTGCATAAATATATTATTCACCCGATATTGCTGTTTTTCCAAATGACTCATAATTCTGGTGACTCTTACTTTTAAAACTTAATTCCCATAAATAATTAAGTATCTAGGCAACTAAGTAACGATGTGGGAGTTGTTCTTTATAAACACAAAAAGTAACACTCTTATAACACTTGATCTAGCTCTCATTAATCGATTTCGACGCTTTTTTTTTTGTAAAGGAAGATACATGCGTGACGAAATCAAATGTTTCTTTAAACTTTGAACGAAGTCTTAAAGAATACGTAACTTCAAACCGGAAAAAATGTTTTACATAGCGCCAAACAAGTCTCGACCCGTCATCATCGTAAGTAATCGAAAGTTATTGGGAATTACTCAACTCCAGATGCACATGTAGCGGCATATTTACAAGTTTTTCTTTACTGTTTACGACCAGAATCGAAGAAAGTTGCGCAACGCAAGTAGTGGGGAGATGATCAAGTGCAAAGAAAACTAAAACAGGTGGCTGCAAATACATTTCAGAACGCCAACAGATTGACTCCGATCAATTTCGAGAGGAAATACATCGTATGGTTTTCAATCGTGAAAGAGTTACTCTCTGTCACTACGAATGCATTCAACTTTACAAAAAGCATATATATATGGGAACATGGGCCACATTACCTGTATTAGCTTGCCCTTCTTTAAATCTGCGTCAAAATTGGCCTCGGGGAGGTCCTGACCCTATTGATTTCGGAGGACAAGAGCATCCCGTGGAAGATCTGGGCACGAGTATGGTGATAAAAAAGTTAGATAGGTCCGCAATACACATATTACAAATGGAACGTAAATGCAAGACAAAAGTCGTTAGTCGACCAGGTGATTTGTCGCCTTATCAACAAATTGGATATAATATAATGATATATATATATATATATATATATATATATATATAAACTAATATATCATTATTGTATATAAATAATGATATTATTTATCATTTTATATAATGGTAAACAGCTTTCCTGGTCAAAATTCTGTTCGTTTTAAGAGCTAATATCAACATGCATCAGACAAACAGCGGCAAGTCACCGAAAATTTGCTCTCACCCCTACTTTCATATTTTGTATTGGATTGGACTTCAGTGGTTGGCTAAGGTTATCTGGAATGGACTTCAATTGTTGGCTGAAGTTATCTGGAATGGACTTCAATGATTGGCCGAGGTTATCTAGAATGGACCTCAATGGTTGGTTGAGGTTATTTGGAATGGACTTCAATTGTTGGCTGACGTTACTGGACTGGACTTCAATGGTTAGCCGAGGTTATCTGGAATGGACTTCAATAGTGGACGGTTTTTTCCATAAATGCGACAGATTCGTTCGCTAAGATGATCCAAAATATGTCAGCTGAGCTGACCAAGATGATGATTAACGGAGTTATGTGGATTGTTGAACCGTTTGTTCCTGTCGTCTGCTCTATAACTGACGTTGCTGTCGAGGTTTACTTTGGTTTCCTCCGTGGTAAGTCAATTGTTCACCAATTTGAATGTGACAAGTCATAATTGGCTTAGCAGAGGAGAGAGTGACCATTTCACTTCTCACTTTTTGTCTGGAATAGATTGTTATTATCATTAATATTACAATAACTATTATTATTAATATTATTATTATCAGTTAACAATTATTTTTTTTTATAGGGGCCGCACGGTGCACTTTAAAGGATGCCTCAAATTTCTTCTGAATTTCGGCAGTTGCTCGACTTTTTCTCAATTATTACATTTGACTCTGCGAAAAAATACACTATTGCTAATATTTTTAAACTTTTCTGTGTTTCTTATTTGTGACATTAATTTTGTTTTCCAACAGAATATGTAAAACATATTCAAGCTCGCTTTGATTTCTTTTCCTGGCAAGATGGCGTCTATGCTGTCTTCGCTGGTTTGGCTGTCACTGTCGCCTTCCTGGTTGCTGGTTTTGTCGTGTGCCGATTATGTGTACGAATTGTGAAATACATCGGACGGAAATGGCAAGTTATGTGCTGCGAAATGCCCTTCTTGTTTAATCCTTAATCTCCTGATAGTGACTGGTTTCTTATCTCTCCTCACATTATCACTCTTGAATCAAATATAGTAGTTATGAGAATAAAGGAAATGATCACCAATTTCAGAGGCTCCTGATTGTCAATCAAATTCTCCTTGTCAGTACCAAAAGAAATGTTTAAAGAACGGTGTGGAGAAATTAGCCTCTGATGTTTGGGTGTAAAAGGTTTAAGATCAGTTTGTTTGAAATCAGTGGCCAAACGAGTGATGCGTTAGTTTTGCAGTTTTAAAAAGTATTTATTGATGCAAGCCTGTGCTTTATTTAACCTGGATTAAGAAAGAAATGACTTTAATGATTTCAACTTTTCCCCCGCTTGTCTTTTCTTGCAGGCAAGAGTACAAGGAAAGAAAGGCTGCTGCTAAGATGCCACCTAAACCTGACAAACCAATATGGCAGCCGAAACGAAAGCATAAGAAAAAGAAGAGAATTGACGACTGCTAGTTTCCAATCATGTTTACTTCGTTTTGCTTCCTGAAAATCGAATAAATGTTGACTGAGTGAAAATCAGCCTACGGATTTTTATTTTATTCCAGCAGTCAAATTCAGTTTTAAGATATTAAAAACATACTAAAGTTTTCATCCATTAAAGTTGATCAATGGGATTTACGTTTGTAGTTTGGTTGTCTTTCAAGCAAAGCCTTCGTTCGCATAGTGAATTAATCAGAGTAAACTTAATTCCTTCTATTCACATGAAATTACTCCCATTTCCGAAAAAGCGATCAAGCTAAGAGATCAAGCAAGTAAAATCATTTTTTAATTCCCATTGGAAAATGTAGAGAAACCTAAAGTCTAACTATTTCACATCATAAATAGTTTGCATTGAAATTTGTATGTGCTTGTTCCTTAACCTCTCTTCTGTTCATTTCTTTAAAGTATGGCGCAGCCCCAACAACACTTTTGGGGGTAGTCTGGGGCATGTACTTTGTGATCCAATCCGTACACCCAGTAGCGAGTATCAGTGTCTTTCCATTCATATTTCACCTCAAAAACTGGAACCGCTCTTAGAGTTTGACGCTGAAACAAAAAGTATTGACTAGTCAAGTTCAAGAGTCCTTTTTTATATCAAAGTTGCTAGGGCTCTGTGCGCAAAAATTAAAACGCTGTAGTTTCCCTTCTCGCACGCATATCGTGAACACGCATACTATAGAAGATTGAAACGCGCGCGGGGCCGGAGAAAGAAACGCGCAATGGTTTTACCCCTCCTCTCGCGCATTTCAGACTTACCCATGCTATGAGAGCTGTTGTAAACGTGTGCAAGAGGAAAGAAACGCGTGACACTCGGTTTTCCTTTCGCGCGCGTTTCAGACTTCCGGATGTTGTAAGGGCTGTTTGCGCCGCAAATAAAAACGCGCTCGCGAGAAGAGAAATGCGTGACGCCCTCGTCCATTCAAGCGCGCGTTTCAAACTTATGAATGCTGTGGAAGCGGTTTAGTATTCTGGGGAAACTACCCTGATGTTGTTCTTTCTATCTCTAAAAACAGACTAAAACTATTTCCCAAAGACTAAAAATTTCACTATTTCCCACCTGCATAAGGATTCGCTTTGTAGGCCAGTTCCGCGAATGAGCTTCGACAAGTCGCTGCGAGCCATTATTCACATCTTCATCATGAAAGGCTGTGATGGGATAAACCTAAAAGTGTACATAAAAAAAATATAAAACGAGTTAGACTCCCGGATCAAATTTGTAATTCTCCTTACTGTCAACCATACAATTCTTATGGTCTTAGCTCAGAGAATTTAGTATTGCATCAACTAATTATCCCCAAATTAATATTTTTCTTCATTCTCATCACTTTTTTGGTTGGTATTGTATTGATATTGTAAGGAGAAATTCTGTCTTGGTCACTCATGGGAGTTAAAGGGTGAAATGTTTTCTTGTTTCTGTTCCATAATCAGTCATATTTGCCCGTGGAAGTTCTTGAGTAAAAATTTCCGTTCCCTGAGACCCTAGTATAAGTTGATTCGGTAGATCTGTTCTCTCAGTCACGTGGTTATCGATGTGATTTGCCCTGTGAGATGAGAAAAAAAGCAGGCGGTCGGGAGTGATTCACTGATATTCTGGGACAAGGATGCGTGTATATAAATTTATCATTAAGTGTTTCAACCGCTTAATTCGTACATGTCTTTGCAGAGCAACTTTTCAATGGATTGTCGATAGCAACAGGGGATTGTTGGTTCCAGTTCTGCTCTATTTCACTCTGAGGTATTCAAAACTCGCACCCCTTTCTCAACCAATCTGATGCACAACTACAACCAATCACGACTTGGTCACTCGCGTTTTCCCGCGTTCCGCAGAAGTATGCATGTTTACACCTCGAGTTCTCATTGGTTAAACTTCTCTCTGATTGGCCTTTGTAAGAACTTTGGTTTTGGATTTTCGGATAAAATCTTGTGTTGTAGTTCGTCTAACAAGCCAACTCCCTAACAGAATGTTCCAGTATGACACGGAGTGGTTTACCTATGACACGGAGTGGTTCACTTGTGACACGGAGTGGTTTACCTGTGACATGAGGTGGTTTACCTGTGACATGAGGTGGTTTACCTGTGACACAGAGCGGGTATAGTATCGTTTCATATTCAGTTAATAAGAATACAGAATTCAGTTTCTCACCACGTGATCGTAAGCTGAATGAACCACTTAAGTTGCGTCTGCCCCAGACATATCCAGCATATCACATGTCCATGGCCATGACACGTGTCACATCTGCAATAATTAAAATCTCACTAAGGCATCTTACAGTTAATCCTTAAAATGTCAAGATCTGATCAGCAGTTTTCTCTTCTAACACCAATATTTCCTTATAACAAACGAGCGAACGCGAGAACAACAAAAACGAACGTGCGAGCAAAAAAACGAACGCGCGCACGAACGATTGAACGCACTAACGAACGACCGAGTCCGTGCGGTTCTCCAGCGCTTCAGCTAGTTGTTTTAGGTTTAATGTGAGTTCACCTTAATACCTTTTTTTCTCTTTTTGTGATTGGTGATTATGATTTATACTTCACTGAACTTACGTTTTCGTTCCTCTTCCACAACACCACGTGCAGCTTACGCTATGTGATTGCCCATCACGGTATTCGGTACTGTTACCAGAACCGTTACACGATGTACAACGAACCTGACAGAGAAGGAAGACAATAATTTTTGATACGAGCACACCACTCAATTACCAAAAACTACTTGAAGGTTGTCTCGACTGAGTGTCGTTAAATCAAAACGAAATTAATCGTATCAGCCAATCATAACGAAGTTCCACATTAAAAGTAGCCAATGAGGAAAATAGTACATACACGTGACCAACCTAATGCACGGGAAAATTCGAGTGAAGTCGTCGTGCGATTATTTCGCATCTGATTGGTTGAGACTGTAACATTCCAGTTCTCGGTCCCAGTTTCCACAAAAAAATAACGGCGCCAACGTAAATCATTCAAAAATGACCGCCGCAGAAAAGGTAGACAAGAAAACTAAGGTAACTAAAGCATTTATACAGTATGGCTGTTTGAGAAATGGGTAATGTTTTTATTTTAAGTCGTTCTACTAAAAACCAAAAGCTCAGCCACTGGTATACTTTGTTTGCACCTCAGTAAATGCCTCTTTACGGCAAAAGTTGGATTTTTTGGCGTGTTCAATTTTCCGAAGTTCTGTTCCTGCTACACACGTTGA